CTCAAAACCTTCTTTGAATACCTTAATATTTTTTAGATAAAATTTTAAAAAAATTACAGATTATAAAGAAAAGGAATTAAAGCATGTTAAAAAATAAGCCTGTCAGAAACCAACAGATCATTTCCTTATAATTAAGTACATCACATAAAGTACATACTATTCTTGAATTATTTAAATGTACAGTTATCATAATACGCATCTACCGGTATGTGAATTAATTTGGAACGTAGATTTTATCCGTACAATTACCCATAACGAAATCAATTTAAAGAAACGGTTCTATTCATTTTAATAACAATTCTTATTGGGTATCTCGTATTAATGGATGTAACTTTGACTTCCGCTGTAACTGTAAAGGTTATATGTATCAAATCCCTTTTCGTATTAGTACCGTTAAAGAGTCATAGAAATTACATACATATATATTGCTTGTATTGCTACTTATATACTACTAACTTAAATATGATTCTATAATTTAATGCTGTCTGTATTTACTTTAATATATATTTTTTCATGTACATGATAGGTACTTTAAATACGCTAATCTAAAAATAATTTTGACAAACTTAAAAATAAGGTTATTTGAATTTGAAATATGAATTGAATATGTTTAAATTCTGTTTGCTCGCCAAAGCGTTTCGTGTTGGACAAAATTACATATATCTGTCTTATTTCAGAGTCATCTTTTTTCAAAGAGTTGAAAATTTATTTAAACTGAACTCATAGACCAATTGATGAAGAAATTAATATTTGATCATTTTTCTTCTGTATTTTTTTTTTACGTACTCTACAAGTTATTTTTAATAAATAAAAATGCTTCTATTTTAATACATATGTATATTACTGCAATATTTGAATAAAATTATCCATTAAAAGAGTATACGTTTATCACAAGTACAATAATTATAGTTTTAAACCTTAACGTGAATACAGAAACAGAGGGATAGAAAAATTTATGGTGCGCTTGTTGTATTTTCTGTAGCTCATATTATTTTTCCTGTAAATATTAAATCCTACGAAGATTTCTATTAAAAAATATATTATCTGTTATAACAAAGATATACAATTAACAATTACAGTCACTTCAAATTAAAAGAATTATATCCTCTACATATGTATGACTCATTTAAATTAAATATTTTGCAAGCCCGGTGGGATTTCAGTTTATGTACTAAATCTCAATGACAAACCAATATAGAGACCCAATATTATAATATTTTCTCTCCTCAATCGTTGTACTGTAACGAACAATAAAGATATTTTTGACGATATTTAAAGAGTTTTAATAGTTAAAAATCAAATGTAACACTTGCATTTTACACTATAAAGTGAAGTTATAGCCAGTAGTGAATTGACCTGTATCTGAGAGGCTAAAGGCCGTTGACCCCGGATCTGTCAGGACAGGCCACAGAACTACCCAACGAATACTTACAAATAGGACACATTGTGTAGAAACAAACAATAATTTAAATAGAATAAAAATATCCCCAACTTTAAACAAGAGACATCTAGCTAGCTATCTCTTATGGAAAATGAAATTTTGACGGTTGAATATTTCGTCTTTCTCTTTATATCAATTGGTAATAATGCCTATAATAATTTGAAAAAGAAAGTGTGAAAATATGCACCTTGATTATTTTTAATTTTCTATAAATACATGATAAAACCACCGCTTACTTGCTAAATAAAATGTTGTTCCTTAAATCAATATGTTAATCAAAAACTAATCAATTCAACATGACTCATTTGTAATAAGTTGTGTTGTTAAAAGTGCCAGCAATGGAGAATAATTTAAGTCTGATAGGAAAAAGTGTCAGTAAAAATTTAATTTTAGGCACTAATTTAAAAAGAAAGCTTGAACAGTAAAGTACAAGCTAGGACGCAAATAATTATACTGGAAGTATTATTAAAAAAAAATGATTTATTTCCCTACAATACCTTCTGAGACACAATCAACGATTGTGATACTTATATGTCATCAATAAATTCCTATCCATAATCAAACTCAAACTCAAACAACTTTATTCAATATAGAAGCATTACACTTTCTTATTGATGGTCACTTGAGACACTACCACCGGTTCGGAAAAGAAAATACCCTGACCTGAGAAGAACCGGCGAAAGAAACTCAGCGGGTTTTATTTTTTAATATATATATATATTTGTCTCATACGTTATATACACAATTTAATATGAGATGAAATAGCCAGGATATCGTATACAAGTAATATATCGTATACAAGTTTTACTACCGGTCATTAAGACTATTTGCCGGATCCACACTCAAAAAGGAAGCGCCATACAAAAGATAATCCGTTTTCCCAGTATAGTTTACCGAGACGTTAGCTTTTCCATGAGGCCGTAATGGTGCAATAATTCCTGTGACTCAGGCTGTGTTTCTACTAGCTATGTAAAAATTATAGTTTTATATTAAAGAAGAAATATTCCTTTTTCGTTAATTTTTTTCCTTAGATATCTTTAATAATGCTAAGAAGGGTACTTGGTTGGATCATTCTATTTGTAATTTATGCCGTTACATGTGTAAAAATCTTTTTCGTAAAAAATAATGCTTTTATTTGGTTTGAAGGTTTATTTTTATAATATTATTTATATACTTTGTTCGTATATCCTGTTGCGAACAAAGCCTTATACTAGGAAACTATCAGACTGAGGTACGTAGATGGAATCGTGAGGGCCAGTCGCCTCCGGGCCGTGACCCCACTACAGTCCCTGGCCAAATTATTAGACGCACTGCATAATTATATATAAAATATTAATTACAGAGCGATATTGTATCATTTTATTGTTTTAAAATGATCTGTTTGATATTTTATTATTATTTAATCAATAACGGATTAATTTAACACAAATAAAACAGCATTAATTTAAAAAATCTTATGTTTATTGAATTTTAAAGAAATGTAGAAATAAAGTACGTAAAAGTCAATATTTTGTTGAGCTACCTTTAGCCGCTATCAAAGCCTTAATTCTGCGCGGCATGCTATCAATGCAAGACTGCACTGTCTCCTGCATTTGTGGATGATGATTCCACACGTGTATAATCTTTTCTAGGAGCTGGGTTTTGTTGGTGATCACATCCTTAGCCACTTCTCTTTTCATCAGCTCCCACACATTTTCTATTGGATTCATAACCCGGCCAATCCAACAGAGGAATATTATTTTCTGCCAAGAAAGCTTTAACTGATTGAGCAGTGTGACAGGGAGCCCTATCTTGCATGAAAATGAATGGTTCCCCATTTGGAAACCATTCTCTGAGCTGCGGAATCAACCGATTTTCTAAAACATCTTTGTACTGGTCTTGCCTCATTATTCCTTTCACGACGTACAGACGTCCAGTGCCCTTGCCACTGATGACTGACCAAATCATCACTTTGGTGGGATGTTTAACTGTTGTAACGACGCAGTCAGGACGAAACTTTTCTCCTGGACGACGACGCACATACTGTAAAATTTCGAATGTGCTTTCGTCACTGAAGCAGACCTGTCAAAAATAGAAAAAATATATAAATATCCAAGTTCTTTTGCTTTATTTTATTGAAAATGATAATAATCTATATTTTTTATTAAATTACATTATCTTACCGATCTCCAGAAGTTCACATCTTTGTCTTGCCATTGCTTGGCCCACTTCAGTCGCTTTGTTTTCATTGCAGCTTTTAACTTGGGCTTCTTGGCGGGGCGACAGGCTTTAAAATCTAATTCTTTCAATTTTCTTCGAATAGTCCGTTCAGAAGCATTTACGCTAGCATCCTGGAGTTGTGATTTTATAACCTTTGTGGTAGCAAATCTGTTTTCTAGAAAAATTTTCTTCAAACATCTCTCTGACCAAGGAGTGAAAATTGGTTTTCTACCACATCTTTTCTTTCTTTTCGGGCTTAATTCCTCCCCCGACTCAATTACTTTTTTTATGCGTCGTACACTAGCTTCAGAAACTTTCAATCTTCGTGATATTTCCCGGTTCGAAAATGTTTTCGCATTTAAAAGAGCCTTTACTTCAGCTTTTTTACGCGGTGAAAGATCGCCCTTTTTACCCATAATGAAAATAGTCCAATGTTTATTTTAAAACACTGAATACAAAATAAACTAATAACTGAACAGTAAAAAACTGTTAAACAAACAATCACAGTCTATAAACCCCGAAAAAGAAACAGAGAAACTCGTCCAAATTGCGATCGCGCCTGAAACAGGTTTATACTTGTTTACGTTCATGTATCCCTTTAACAACACAAAGTGGCCATATGCTAAAAATAAATAAAATAGATAGTCTACAACAAATCTTTTAAATAAAAATCAATAATACTGTAGTTTAAATACACAATTACTGCATAAAAACATTTAAGAAACATGAAATAATTAAAAACAATACAATGCGTCTAATAATTTGGCCAGGGACTGTATACTACCTATCTGACTGAAGATATCTCCGCTATTCTTAGTTTTCTCTAACTTAACACACATAATTTGAATGAAAAAATAAAACCAATAACTCACAAAACAACGACAACATATTTATATCGGCGCTACTATATATGTATATATCGGCGCTACCAGCTTTAATAACGGATGCGACATGAAAATAATTTGAGGCCGTCATCAATTCTTATTAAACCTCATTAGTATTTATGATTATTATTAAAAGTAAAATGAAATCAAAGGGTGTTTAAAAGGAGAATAGAACTATGTTTAAATCTTGTTATAAATATGACGTCTGGACTCACGACGGCAGACTGCAGAATGGAGAAATCAGAGTTCAGTGAGTGCGTATCATTGAAGTATGTGCTTATGAAGAACCTTCGAGAAATACAGGAGCATTAAGAACAATTGAAGTTTCATTTTAAAATGTCATGGAACGTACTACAAAAAGTGACATTTGTAATGTCAGCGAGGCTGGCGTCTCTTTCTTTAGAAACAACGAATATGTAAAAAATCCGATATATATTATAATTAACTTTATTAATTGATGTTATTTTTCTATATAGAACACAGAGAGCAGTGGCGACTTTACACCGGTTGTAAGTGCAACCTGCAAGAATGGTGCTATGTCGATCAGGATTAACTTCAGTCAACCGTTCAATGGAGTTGCACATGCAAGAGAGTTCAGGTGATTATAACATATATTATATAACACATATATGTATAACATTGTAATGGAATCACTATAGTTTCGGACACAGACTAATTGAATTTTCAACTATAAGATAATGAAAAACAGTTTCTATACTTCAATCAAGCAATTTTATAATAATTAATAGTCATATTCTTAATGTAGACGTGTATAAGAAACTTTATCGTCTAATCGAGATAATTAATATAATGAGATCTAAGACTTTCAAGAGTATTCATTTAAGATAATTAATTGTAAGAGAAATAATGTTAGTTTAAAAACATCGAACTGACTTTTTTATATTGTTATTTGATGGGTAGTTATAATATATTTTTTAGTAACGTAGTTAAAATTTTTCAATATATATTTATGTTTTCAGAACTCTAGCATGCATGGCCACTGGAAATGGATCAGAAAGTCTAACTTTCGACATTAACTTAACAGCTGCCCAGGGATCGCCAGATTACTGTGGCGTATTCTGGAATAATGTGAGACAATATTTTCAAATTATTCAACTATTTTCATGTTTTCGTTGTCATAGTCACTTAACCAGTATATTTCAAAGTCATTTGTAATATACATTTTCGAGTATCAAGCGATGATATGAATCTTAAAACTTGATTTTATTATTTTATTTGTAGAATTTCTTAGAGTAGTATCTTTTTTGGACGTCCTTTTCTTTGTAAACATCTAGATGAGAAGATCTCGTCAAGATAAAGTAATTATAAAAGATGAAATAGCAGCATAAACAGCTCATATTTCATTTTAAATTCTTTGTTTAACCAATACATTTAAAATTTAATGTAATTAATGACGTCTATGTATAGAATCGAGCGTGTTATTGCATAATGAATAGCCGTGATTAATATTCGTGTTGTCAGGCTTTCCTATAGCAGATAGTTATATAACATACAAACATAAACCCAATTGTATAAAGAAAAACTAGGTTACTGCCGAGTTTCTCAAATTATTGCCATAAGCAAACACCCACATGGCGGTGATTTGCATTTACGAGTATTTAAAGTAATCCCTCATTCTATGACTATAATTATTTGACACTAGAATCTAAACATTGATCTGGAAAAAAATTGGTATCAAAGAAAGTAAGATACTGAAAATGAAGATGGGATTTTTTCACACAATAAAAAATAATAGCTTAAGCAGAACCCTAACAAAAGCAAGTTATGAAATAAAAAGAGTTAAGTAGAATTGCTTCTATTTGAAATATCTGGTCACAAAGTTCCAAGCTTAAAAAGGATTATCCGTATCAAAAAGTTTAGTTCACAAATAAAAATGAACTTGTTTAATCAAGATTTATGATGATAAAGCTTCCAGGAAACAGATAAAAACTCAAAAACTAGACGGAGAATAAATTTGTAGTAAAGAAAACTTGAAAATGTAAATTAAAAATTATAGTATCCCGTTTCTTGAAATGTTCAATTTTTTATATATCAAGTTTGCATCCTCAAACTTAATACGACAAGCTTCCAGATTTTTATCAACAGCGCATATCAGTGTAATTTGTATAACAACAAAATACATTTCCCTAGACTCCTAATGGCTCACAATTTATTCTATACATTATATGAGAAGTTTCTAAATTTGAGATATTTTATAATCAAAATCTAAAGATATAAAATAGTGATCGTATCCAAAACTATTCCTTACATAAATAATATCCAATTAAATTTAATATTTATAAGAAAACCATTTTGAAATGTTTATTGTTTTCAGCGAACAGATGAACGCTCTTTGCCGTTGGCCGTCCGAGTTCATAGGACGTTGGAATTAGCTGATGACAAGTTCTACGTGATCACGTGCGGCAAGGCCGGCTTCAGAAACGCAAGGTCCATACACTATACACACCACTGATCATATTAATAACAATATTTAATAATTCCAGATAATATAAGATTGTTTTACATTTTATTAGGTTTAGGTTTAAAGAAGTTTATTTCCAAAAAGAACAAAGTTCGCTTACAAAGGAAATTTTAAAAATTATAACTACAATTAAGATTACAAATAATAAACAGTAGTGATATATGGGTTCTTAATCGTTTCTTAATTATATTTAGAGATTTTGAATTGACAACACTTAGAGGCAAAGAGTTATTAGTTATAGTTTTATTACGTAATATTTATCCATTGTTTTGTATTATTTCAAACTTTTGCAAGCGATTTTGGCATCTTTGATAGGAATTAATTTAAGTGTTACAAATATTTCAGAAACGAGACGTCACTTGTGTCTTTGCGGATGCTGAATTCAGATGGACGTAAAGTTCTGAATGCTGCTTTCGGTTTACCTTACACACTGAGAGCGGAGATAAGCAAATCCGATGGTAATTATAATCATTAAAGTTATAAAAGGAAAAATAAATATAATTAGTCTGAGATTTACCAATATTAAAGTTAAAGTTTGTGTAGAAAGAACTAATACGGAATAAAATAATATATGTATTACTAACATATTCAAAATTTACATATTTTCATTTCAGGCGCTCACGGCATCCGTCTCAGGAATTGCTTTGCATTCAATATGCGAAACAACACAGTGGACCTTCTGGATAAACGAGGGTATAACTTAATACTTATATGATTTATAACAAACTTAGATAATACTCTTAATGATAGTTTCGTAAATCAATTCATAACATTAGTATGTATTCTGTAATCTGTTTCAATAATATCATCTGTACATATAATAGACATTATGGATTAGTAAAAAGGGTTATCAAAAAAAAATCTTATTGAGATCTTAGACTTTAGCGAGTTAAATTCATTTAAATGAGAGTAATGTTTTTCCGATTACACTATGCGTATTTTATTATTGTAAAAAACTACATACTCCCGACGTTTCGGTTACTTTTCGGTTAAACATACGTAGTATAATATGAAAAATATTCGTTTCATTTAAAACATGTTATGTTTGTAGATGTCCCGTTAAGGAGCAGTCTTTGGCAGTCAAAATGGAAAACGGTGCTGCCGAGCTCGCAATAGCCTCTATGTTCAGATTTCCTGATTCCTCACAAGTTAATTTTCAATGCGAGATCGGCATATGTAAAGGTACATGTAGACTAATGAAACAATTTTATTAGTTCTTTTTTTGTTTACCGAAAGAAAGTATGTCTTTTCTTTATATGATTGTACGTACATAGATAATCTGGTTAATAAAAGAAAAGGAAAAAAATGTATCAATTTATTAAAAACAATAAAGTTGTATTCCAAAATAAAAGTCAACTCACAGTGATTTACATGTAAGAATAAATTCCCGTCAGCATTTCTACTTTTTATTGAGAATCGAATTCTAATCGTCAAAGAACCTTTTTAGGGCTTTCATAAAGTTTAAGGAAAACTCATCGGGTAATTTATAAGAATGAAATGTTCAAAAGAAAAGTTACTTAAATAAAGAAACATTTTATAAAAAGGGATATTGAGATGGATAACCGTTTTCGGAAATTTATATTTTAATAATAAAAAAGGGAATCCTAATTGCTCGTGATATGACATATCCTTTCATCTTAATTCTAATTTTAAAAAAGTGGTCCCAGGGCCTATTCATATACATATAAAATTCGTAATGTAACAAACTAATTGTACAGCCAAAACATTGTCAAGAGTCATACAATTTTAAATCCACTAAATTGCTTAAAAGCGGTTTAACTGTTTACATATTTCAAAATTTCTTTCAAGACATGTAGTTTATATGATATTTTTTTTACCAGTCAGACAATAAATATTAATATTCTTAATACACATGTGTGCTATAAATAAGTGCTTATTCGGTCCATAGAATTATAATATATGCATTATAGTCCCTAATTTACAGGATTTTTGTCGTAATTAATTTTAATTTATTATTAAGGCAGTTGCACACCATCCGATTGTACGACGGAGGGTCGTACGGAGCCAGCAGACGAAGAAGGTGCTGTCACCGCCTCAACAGGAATATTTGTATTAGATCCAAATGACAGTGCTGGTAAGACCATTAAAGATACTTTTATAATTATATATTTAGACTTCGCATGAACGAAAAATCGATAGTTTCATAGTAAATGAAACTAATATTAATCGGATTACTACGCGTATTTTATTATTTTCAAAAACTAAATACCTACTAACTATTTCGAATACTTTTCAGCGACCATGATCACGCTTTCTTAATTTTCTGGCGTACCCCTCTGTATGCTGGCAGAATCCGAATAATATTTGTTTAATACTCATGAAAGTCTTAGATCTCATTAAATTTCATACTATTTTGTGATACATAATGATAATATTTCAGTGGCAGCTATGGCATGTACTGAGAGCGGTGTACGTCCTCTCTGGCTGTTGTATCTTGCGATAGCCTTAGGAGTCATGTTCCTCGTCATGTTACTCATTAACTGCTTCCTCTGCACAGCCATGACTTGTTCTTGCGCCAGAACTGATGTGAGTAATACTTACTAAAGAACACATTGACAAACCTAACTTTCATGTTTGTTTTTGTTCAGCCATACTTTTTATTTCAACGAATTTATATTAATTTTATTTCATATGTTATTTTTATCGACTATCGTGTAACTTTGGTATACTTTAAATTCAAAACCATTCTTTAATTACGACATTATATTATTTTGATCGAACTATGCACTGGACAGAATATGTGTCACTCTTGATAACTCAGTCACTTATGTATGTGTCACACAATACTAATTAATATAATTTATTACATGTTTCTTATTTGATGTCATTAGTGAATAATATTTAATAATTGTAACCAATTTTTGTCGTTCACTATAACCTCATAGTCTTTGGTTTTAAGGGTATTTTACGTATGTAACCGAGGCAAATAAATGTGAGGTTTAGGTAAAATATTAATAATTGGTGACAGGTGATAGAAAAGGATCCTTCAGTGGTCGAGGACTATGACCCTTACCGCAGCTGGCACGGCAGCCAGTACGGCAGCCGGTACCCCTCGTCTACTATACACTCCGCGAGGTAAATGATTTTAAATTAAAAAGGAAATGGATTTCGACAATACAACTTTCTACTCTACGGAAAACTACTGTTAGAGGATTTTTCATCTGTCAACACTAAAGTAATGAAGACATTACACGTTTATACTTCAAGAATAAACAAACATGATTCCACGTTTTGGAGAAGCGACAAGTTAAGTCTGGGTTAAGGTTTCGATTTATTCATAACTTGTCTTTCAACCTTACAACCGATTATATGTATGTGTTATCATTTGTTTCTAATATTTAATTTGTTAACATTATGCACCTAAATCATAATATATTTTTATTTATTCTATTTCAATTTTTAATATGTATATTGTAATTTATTTTTCGTGTAGGTCAGTATCAGACAACAGCGACCATTACGCCATAGTCCAGTCGAGGCCGGGGAGTCGACACTCCGGTATGCACCGAAATAGACACTAATACACACTAATAAGGTACATTATAGAAATATATTATATATGACTATCAAAATATACTAAGATCTAAATAAAAATATAATTAATAAATCATTTTTTCCAGTTCTAATTATGGCGCTGACATGAAAAACTCTTATGGAAGTGATATTTAGTCATTTATGAACGAAAGTTTTTGAACAACACTACCTACTGAAATATTTTTATATTTTTACAAGTGAACGAACTCGAATATTAACTTTAACTAAAGATTATTTTGTCATGATATTCAATTATATAATAATATTTTTTTTACATATTTTAAACACACTCGTGCCATTTTCATATGACTATGAAATATTGTAAACTTATTTACATTTTTACCTGAATTATGCAACGAATCCATCCGTTAGTTTTAAGATATGTATATAACTATTTAGCTTGTAGTTTAGTTAGGTATTAACTAAGAGCACAATCAGTGCATTTAAACATAACCACATCAATACTGTGAAATAGTTAATTTTTAATCAACAGTATTAACTTCTCGCTAATTGTTAACCACTTATTTTGTAATAAGGTACTTTATTCTGATTTAAATCATTGAATTAGTTTAAGAGTAAAAAAATATACATTAAATTGACAATGGTTTAAGTCTACTATAATTTTATCCTGTAATCTTCTTAGTATAGAATACGGTGCCTTTTGTAAGCATTCTCTTATATTGTCAAGTATATTTTAATTCATTTCGAAGCTTTTTATTTATCTCGATTTATTCTTACGTTCTTTCTATATTTTTATTGTATCATTCTTATACTGTATATATCTTGGTGCTACATAAGTATATGTTTTTTCTTTTCTTTATTGTTTTATGAATAAAATATGTTTGTATTGATATTCTACCTTCGGCCTTAAATACTTATTTTGTGAAGTGTAATAAACTTATTTAGGAGTGTAGCTATGTAAAAGAAATGAGTGATATGAATGTAAAATGAATAAAAAAAATAACAAATATCCAGTGCATTTTAATTAATTTATAATTATAATTTGTAAGTGTCAAAATTCTAATGATAATAATATATTAAACACAGAATTATTGAATTTTGTCACTTAAAAGCCTTGCTTGACAGAATAAGTTATTTGTATCTACATCTCACCAGAGAAAAGGATTTCTCTAATCGGGGATATTTGGTATGGAAAGATCCGCCAAAGTTTCGGATTTTTTGACTCGAATCTTAGTGGACGCGAATACTACATTTGTAATCTAATTGTAAAATAAATCTATACAACAGTCGCACTACACACGGAAAGTTAAGTTTTCTACTTATAAATCTTCACACATTAATGCATTCAAAAATAATTAATTATAATTATGCTTTATAGCACTCTTAATAAGAACACATAACTATAAATCTTTGTATAAATCTCACTAAACTACAGTAGGTTTCATGTCTAGAAAGGGCTTCGGTTGAAGATTATTTTCAATTTCTTTTACTTTAAATTTGTTTTTTTGCATATTTTTGGATAATGTTGGGTTGAGTAAAAAACTAAAAATATTACTCCATATGATTGTTTTTTAGATTCTTATTTAATTTATTAGCTATTGTATGGAAGAGTGTGCGTAAATTTCAATCCACTTAAATAAATGTGATAAAGAATAGTAATATAATCGATTTACCTCAGATATCACCCAAGTACTGTGGGATACAAAAATAATAGTGCCCAATGCAGAAAGTAGACTATCGAAATAAACAACATTGAAGGCTTTATTGAAATTTAGAAAAGTACTTACTTAAATAAAATAGCTTTTCATCCATCCTTCAGTCATTTGTATAAGAGATGTTAATGTACTAAATATACAAATACTTTGGAAAGATTTTTTTGGCTAAGTGATTTACATACTTCCAAGTAGTTGGAAGTGTTTTGATTAATTAAACATTTAAAAAGATACGCGTTATAGAATTTACTAGATCATAATTTATATGACCAATATGATGAGCACTAATTTCACCTGATTTTTTTTTTTGAATCCTTAATTTAAACCAATCTAATCCCTATATAATAACGAATCTGTACCCGATTATAGTAATTTTTATCTACATCACTAGTTTTCTGTAATTTTTACCAGTGTAATTAAGCCCCATCCTCCTGTAATTTTGTCAAATCCGTGTTATTAACGTTACTCAAACAAAAAACTTTAGAATAGATATTTGTATTTATATTTTATACGAAACAAAAGGCGATCATGAAGAAGAAAACTGTAAATTACTGTGGTATGTGTAACACTGACCAAGAACAAAAAACAAAGGAAAAAATACAGATAATACGCAACTTATGGAAAACAAAGTAAAAATCATATTTTTAGACACAGCTTACATTATATGAATATTAATGTGCACCTAATTTTAAATGTTCAGAAATGTATTTATCCATATTTTACAATATATTCCAACTCTCACAAATATTTTCAAATTTAATATGAACCATTTTTGAATAATACAATTAATGTCCTTTCGAGCGAATATAAAATAAATTATAACCGTTTCTTAATAAACTTTATGAAAATTAAAATTATAAAGATTTAAAGTTGGCCATCCTTTTGTTAATTTTTTTTTGTTACTCTAAATTCTAGATAAGTTTTTGAGTTGACAATTGTAAGAAAATCATATTAATCGTGACAGTGTTAGAAAATATACATAAACATTTTATTATCACGGATATAATTTAAATAAAATATTGATAGAATTGCGCATTATTTATTAGAAGTGTCATACACAGAGTGACTTATATAAGAACTAAGATATAATCATATATAATTGTTTTATTTGAGAAAACATTTTTATTATTCATGGGCTTTAAGATGCAGTACTTTCCCTTAAAAACTTTAGAATGACTTGGCCTTACAAAAACTGCCATAATTCTAAAATGTTTCATTCAGGGATTTTTTTTTTGGCAGAAAACTAAAAAAATGGGAAAAACAGGCGGATACAGTGAAAGTATATTAACTTTTTGATACATATTTCAATACATAGATATATTATCAACCAATCAAAATTATAAAGCACCAAAAACACTATTTATTGCCCTAAAACAACTAACACAAGATAATTTATCTTAATATGAATAAGATCGAAATTATTTATTTACAAATAATTTAATTATAAAACTGGTAACTTCATATAAAATTGATCTACAGTATGTCACAAACAAACATACACTTGATGCACGATCTAAATATAGATCTCATAGAAACTTAATATGGCACGTATATATATAGTTTACCACAAGTTTGATCGACGACTACGAAAGTATTATAGTTTCTATATGTATCAGAAACGAGAAACGCCTCGTAAGGGGCTGTCCATTAATCACGTGAGGCTTGAAAGGGGGGGGGAGGGGTTTGATAAAAATCACGAAATAAACACGAGGGTTTGGGGGGGTGTAGTAAGATATCTCGTGTATTTATTTTTTCGTCTAACGCACGATTTTTAAACAAATATTAATTTATTATGGTCCTTATTTCAGAATAAAATAAGATTATAGTTTATACCTGTATTTAAATTAAGATAATATTCAGAAAATTTTAAGATTCGTTGTAGGTACTAAAAATACACGTGATGTTGAGAAGGTGGAGGGGGGGTGGTCTTAAACCTCACTACGTATCACCAATGGGGGCGGGGGGGTTAAAAAATGCTAAAAAAAGATCAAGTGATTAATGGACAACCCCTAAATAGTGATGCAAACTCGTGTTAAGCGTACACAGAACTATTTATTAGCAAAGATGTGAATTATTTTAAATACAAAATACCTATCATTACACAATTGAGACACTTTTTCAATAACGTATTTTGTATTTTATTACAAATACAATACGTATTTCAAACCTATTTTCATAACATATAATGTATTTAAAATCTTTTTCATCCTGGCAATTTCCCAGCTATAGCCAGGGTCTACCTTACATGTTGTGAATAAATACAAGTTTTGGCTAATTGTTATTACGACCGGCCTGACATCAACTTTCTTTGGTAATCAGGAATTTTGTATTCAGAATATTTTAACTACATTTTCACATATCTGTTTATTGGTTTCAATCTATATATTTTACATAAATGTTATATATGTATGTGTGTGTCTGTTTGTGTATTCTCATTCCATATTCAGTGCGTCTTATCGAGCATAGCGTTGGCGACCTTGTGGTAGAGGGATCGTTTGTAAATCCGCGGCTGGCCGTCTCTAAGACCATGAGGGTAAACGCCGAAGGTATAATCGTCGAACCAGCTCGTTGTAGGCTGAAACAGTTTAGGAGATATATTGTAACATACATACATACATTTACACATCAGGGCTGTCCAAACCAACAAAATACATTAATGAGCCACTAATGTAATTAGTTATTTTTATTGGCCCTGGTTGCGATGGGAACTAGATGTAGTTTGGACACCCCTGCAATACATCATCTTCTATATATATAAAAATGGATTGCTGTTCCTTAGTCTCGCTAAAACTCGAGAACAGCTGAACGGATTTATCTTATCTTAGTCTTGAAATGTTCATGGAGGTTCAGGGAAGGTGTAAAAGCTGAAAAAAATTGATTCATTACTGGGAAAACCATAAAAACAGCCCTTTTCTATTTCCCATACAAACGTTTTCTTTGACATTAGATTTGACAACTAACTAATATGTCAATCATTCTGTTCGATTGAAACAGGAAAAACCGAACTATTTGTGTCCTCTAAGACGGTATAGAGTTCTCCCGGTTCAATACATATGTTATTATATATGACGAAACTAACGCGGACGAAGTCGCGGGCAAAAACTAGTGTATTATATAAGTTTAGTCAACTCTTATCGTTTAATAAGAATTGTTATTAAATTAATTTTCCCCATTCATGTTTATTGTTTACATTATATTGTACATGCACGAGATTCGATTGCGAGGGAAATACCCAGTGACATGACCGAGGTTCACATCAAAGTCATGAGAAACAAAAGTATTTTATCAAATAAATCAGTTTATTGTATAATATTATAGAATTATTATAAATAAAAAATTATGAGTGGAGAACCCTTCGCGCGGAAGAAGTGAAACTTACGTAATTGTAAACAAAATTTAAAAATAAAATACTGTCCTATTAAATATGTGAATATGAAATCAAACTAAAAAAATTATGAATATTATAAATCAATCTAGAATATAGAACAAGTACGTATTTCAACTAATTTCACGACGCTCACACTGTTCACTTAAAAACTCCAAACTCTAAGTACTTGATGAGATCTAATATTTTCGCGAGTACTCATTTAAATGAAACTAGTGTTTAGGGATTTACTGCGCGTTTTTTTATTCTTGACTATAAACTACCTACTCCCGACGTTTCGGTTACTTAACAGCAATAGTGGTCACGGTAAAAAAAATAGCGTAGTAAATAAGAAAATATTAGTTTCATTTATATACGTACTTAGTTGAATGATGAATACTCGTAGTTATTTAATTACAATCCTATTAAATAAATAAAATAAATCCTTTATGATGCATATTCCTATAGAATCTTTAATATTTAAATGAAGTCTATTTACGTATTCATTATTATGACATATATGTTAGATGATAATTTAAACGGAGGCGATCACTGAACCAAATACGCCTACACTAATGACAAAATAATTATCCTTCACCCAAAATAGATACAGACGTCATTTACGCCTACTAAATTGCTTATATGCGATCTCTAACCGACTTAAAAATGGAGATTTGCTGTTCATTGTAAGTTTTCTTTTAACAATTTATGGAAAAAATTAATATATTTTTCATTGTATCATTGTATGCTTCCTGCACTGTTAATAATTCATATATTGGAAATATATACAAATGATCATTTTGTATGGAAATTCTAAATATACCTACCTATTATACAGTATATACGAACAATATAAGAAATTAATTCATATACATATCCCTACTAATATTATAATTGCGAAAGTAACTCTGTCTGTCTATCTGTCTGTTACGCTTTCACGCCTAAACCACTGAACTGATTTTAATGAAATTTGGAACAGAGTTGGAGTTGACCTTAAGAAAGGATAAAAGATAGTTTTTATTAGAAATTCTTGGAAACGCTATATAAACTAACTCGAGGCGGGCGAAGCCGCGGGCAAAAATCTTGTTACTTCATATATATAAAAAATTAACCTTTCATATTCCAAACTTATTCGACTTATCAGTGTCCTATTAAGTTGATATCACGATCAATACCCATCGAGTGTCTGCAAACATCGCTGTGACGTCATTGTCGCGATCAATGACGTCATCGATGACGTCACACCAAACCGAAATTGACACAAGATTTACGATATTTTGATATTAAACGAGTATCAAAATGGATTATTCACAGCTGTTAAAATTAACTTATGACGATTATGCTTTATTAAATGGAAAATACAGTGAATATATTTATGGTCGATACGACAATCTTACTACAATATGTATCGTTCTAACAGCTAACTGGATAGTTTCAAGATGTTTAATCGTGAAAGTATCAATGTATATTAATTTAATTAGTTAAAAACTTTTAATTGTATATGTTTAATTTGAGTTCGGAAACTCAATATATTTTGTTGACATGGAAATTGTAATTTCAAAGGATAAATTAAATATCATCAGAAATATAGAATTATGGTATAAAAAACCTCTTACTCTCAAAAATTACTTTTACTATGTTTTAAGGATTAAAGCTACATTCATAAGGCTCGACTTATTCAATCAAAGTTCCCCAAACCTAACAATTATTACACTATCAAAATATTTCAACATTATAACTAACCAAAGAAGTAAACGTGAAAGCTAAGCTTCTCAACATATCTGTCGACATTAAAGTTAAACATATTAATTTTTTGCTATGAAAGATATGTGACTCATATTATTTAATTCCTACATCACTTTGGGATTCACTGACGTAATAAAATTTCTCCCCTATCACGAAACATGACTCATATGACGTATTATTTCTTTTACCTCACTTTGGGAATCTCTGTCATCTCACCTCTAGTTTGAAGTTGAGTATCCTCGCCGAAGTCTGGTGTGTGGGCACGGTGACGACTCGTGATACAGGGAAGTACCCGGGATGGCTGGCAGTCACTTCGTAATGACCCGGAGTTAGTAGACGGTAGTAGTCACCGTATATACCTATAGTAATATAATTATATATAAGATTATCACGAGTAATTTATATATAACAAAGATTTTTTTATAACTACGCGTTTTTTATTATTTTAAACTTCATAGAAGTTTCGAACCCGAAGTTTCGGTTATTTAGCAGCAACCGTGATCACGGGAATAGATTAGAATGTCTGTCAGTTGGTCTTATTATTTATAAATGAGATTTATAATAAACGCGTAGTATATCCGAAAATATTAGTTAATTCATATAAAATATTATTGGTTTTGGTATCAGTTTTAGTCTATAGAAAGGGACCTCAATAATAATATTCCAAAGCTTATCGTAAAGAAACGCACTTTTCACGTTTTCTACTAAAAAATCATCTCACATTGTATCAATATGGGTAATATGAATATTAAAAACTAATTAATGTAAGGAGTCCGTGATAACACAATTATGACCATAGTAACATTAATCAAGTTCACGGTTTAAATAAAACAAATAAGTTATGATGAATCGATTAAACCATTTGTTACCAATTTCAAACACTTTAGGTTTATTGAAAATATTAGGAGAGCGCATAGATTTTAATGGTTCATTTTATGCTGGTAATGTTGTATAATATCATTATTCATTGGCCTTCCTATTTCGATATATGTAGCTTTAGGCCAATTAAAATAGACCTTTGTATATTGAAAAGCATTTTTCGAAAAATTCTATCAAAACCTGAATATAAAAATTATATTATGTAGTTACGTGTGTTTACGAGAAAATATTACACAAAAACTTAAAAAGTCAATCTTCAATTAATCAATTATCCACAATTCTCTTTTACAAATAACTCTTCTAATTATAAAGTAACTTCTAATTAAATAACATTTTTTTGATACATTTTAAAGCCAACCGATTTTGACTTTCAGTTCTAAGTTATTAAAAACATATAGTTATTTGTATCCAAATAATTTATAAGCACGTTGATAACACCTTTTACTTTTTATAAAAATAACTACAGTAATCTTCATTAAATAATTATTATATGTAGGTACTATATCTGCTCTTATTTCCTGTATCAAAAGGATGTATGGTAGAGATCTCTTTTAAGAGATACGTTATCACCCTTTGTGAATCATATTACTTTTATTATACTGTAATTATTAATTATTACATAAACAAATCAATATAATATAAAGGATTTTTTATATATACAATTATTCATATAAAAATATCTATAGATTTCAAATTAAAATGGAACTAACGTGTTATTTTTGTTAATATTTAAGTAATTAATTTTAAATAAATATTTTAATAAGGATTTTTTTATCATATTGTAAGCTACTGAGTGATCCTTTATGATGTCACATGTTTTGTTTTAAACGTTCGTAACAATGGTTATATTTGTTATAACGAATTACTCATTTCTAATAAATAATAATCAGTCTTACTATAACTTTTACTTCAACAAACCATTGTTACCCAATATAGGTATTGTGAGCAAAAACATAGGAATAATATATAGGGACATAAATAATCCCTACTAATATTATAAATGCGAAAGTAACTCTGTCTGTCTGTTTGTTACGCTTTCAAGCCTAAACCACTGAACTGATTTTAATGAAATTTCGTACAGACATAGAGTTGACCTTGAGAAAGAACATAGGATAGTTTTTATCCCAGACTTTTGAAAGGTTCTCTTGGAAACGCGATATAACCGAACTCCACGCGGGCGAAGCTGCGGGCGGTAAGCTAGTGACAATATACACTATATATAGGGACGTACTTTCGTAAATTAAATTATATGGCATTTAGTTAAGAGAATGTTATTATAAGGTTAACGTGCGAGTAAAAGTTCCGCATACATGACTTATTTATTTTGACATTACAAACATAATTTAATGAAAACTGAATCCGCTTCATGAATATATGAATTAAAAAGACCAACAAAGAAACATAGTCTCTGACTTAAGCCGGGAATATTTATATACTATAGTATATCCAACTAATATTATAATTGCGAAAGTTTGTGTGTATGTATGTTTGTTACTTCTTCACGCTCAAACGGCTGAACCGATTTTGATAAAATTTTGTATACAGGAAGCCAGGAATAACACATAGGTTACTTTACATCCCGGAAATCTTGGAAATCCGCGGGTAACACCGCAGGGCGCAAATAGTATATATATACTTTTTTGGACAGTCAACATATTTTTAGTATGTGATGAAGTCACATATCAACTTAAAATATTACTTTAAATCTAATCCGCATTATTCTCAATGAAGAGATTTATTCTCATTTGGATAAATCTCAAGGTTCGTACCGCATTCAGCATTACAAGTAACGTTACGACAAACTTTAACAATCATTACGCAATATTTATATAAACATTACAAGGAAATCTTAATGTAATGGTCCAGTATTAAGAATTTATATTATATACATACTACATAAATATACAGGGTGACTGGTGAATTACTATCGATATTTGAGGACGTGATATTTGACGATCATATATGACGAAATAAAAATTAATATAACATAAATATTAATAAACTTCTAAGTAAAGTTAATCAAAAGTTATGTAATTAATTACGCATCGTGTGAACACCCTACAGATTAGGTATACACACACACTCACACATACGCGTGCGAAGGCGTGGTGTTGTATCAGTACGCCACCGTACGCGTCCACACTTGGAACACTTGGAACGTGCCCGCACTTTATTTATTTATACGGAAATTTGGTCAAAAATTAAGTACCTGTTTTTTTTACATAATTCGAATGAGAATCATGTACCGAGTATGCTCCTTAAATATTGATAGTAATTCACCAGTCACCCTGTATATATATATATATATATATTACCAAGGAAAATAACAAACTATATATTAAGTAATATAAGTCCTTATGTAAATGATCTACGTATTTATAATGCAATAACTTCACATACAAATAAACTGATGTTTGATGTTAAGTGTTATAATTAACATGAACAATGAATTGTATCAGAACTATAGACTTGTTTTCTTATATGAAAAATATATATATATATACATACAAAAAAGGTTTTATATAACTACTAATTAAATATTAAATTCATATTAAATTATTAGAGTACTAAATATGCAAGACCAGTTGAACTATTTGTAGAGAGTCGGTTTAATTAATCGTAATAGTCCAATGAACGGTTAACGAGATGTTTCCTTGAAATTATTGGACTTATGAGATAAGAGACAAAAATTTAACAAAGAAAAAAACCAATTGCTCAATACATTAAACAAAATCGATAACATATCACCGTGTCAATATTTACAGAATATAATGTATAAAAATTATGTATTATTATTTTTTGGTTTTGAATATCGAATATATCAAAATATTATATATAAAAAAAAATGTAAAATTAACCCACCATACCATTTGTATTGGCGTGGCGGGTTATATATGCTCACCGCTAGTAATGTCGTGTCTTATAGGCCGTGGAACAGAATCGGTTATATTGACGACGGATATCACAGCGTTTTGTATGAAGCCGGAATCATCTTTAACAATCCCCTTAATACCAGTATGGGCTTTCCATATATAAGCTAACAACGCGTCCTTATTACGTAACCATTCCTTTTCTAAATCTTTCTCATAAGGATACTTCTGACAACCAAGCTCTAGAGTCACTTCGAAAGCATTCGTCGCTAGATAATTAAAATCTTGCATGCCTGAAACAAATTTCGTTTGAATAATTCCCTTAAAAAACCTCATACATTATGTATTACCTTTAAAACACTATATATTTGTTTTAGAAAATAAATGTATATGTGGATATTCGAAAAATATTTTAACAATAGTACATAATTAGCATCATAAAACCTGTTTAAATCTCATGGCTAACAAGTAAAATGTCAAAGAGAACGACAATTATAGACACTGTTTCCTGTTATATAATTACAACTACTTTCAAACAATATTACCGATATACAACATAATGTTTATGAAAAAAACTTGAATTGAATGTATAAAAAAAATAAATATATTAATGTGGCATATGTTTGCTTTGAAAACTTATCTTTTTTGTGTGACTATACTTTATATAACAATCTATCTATAATAAAGGTAAAACAAAACATTTGAAAATGAAATATAAATTTCAAGATTCAAATTTGGAATAATTTCTTTTGAAACATATACCTATGTATTAAAATGTATTAAACAAGAAATTATGAAATTAAGAATGTTAGGATTTCTATAGAACTATTTTGACTGTTTAATAATTTAGTACCCACCTCCTCTCAGACTATACCAGGCTGCGCCATTAGTAACACCTCCTTGCTTTCCAAAGTTATATGCATTACTTTCATCCCCAAAACGACAGCCTGGTCTATTAGCAGATGCCATATCTGCATGGGCTTCAGCATATGTCATGGCTAATTCCCTAAGAACATAGTTAATTATTTATAACTCGCTGAATGTAATGTATATTCAATACCAATGAGGCAATAAAAAAAAAGTTAAAAACTATTCAAGGAGGTTTTATATCTATACCTAAAAGTATCATCGTCGGGGCTGGCTGAATACTCAGAGACAGGAGCTCCACTCCTACTCTCGTCATATGTATACTTTACTTATTTATAACTCTAATTTGTCTGGCTGAATATAATGTATGTTCAATACCAATGAAACAATAAAAAAAAAGTTAAGAACTATTCAAGGAGTTTTTATATTTATACCTAAAAGTATCGTCATCGGGGCTGGCTGAATATTCAGACACAGGAGCTCCACTCCTGCTCTCATCATATGGATAGTTTGCTACCAGATCCCCACCATGCATGGCTGCACTCAGTACAAATGGAACGGACATTATCCATCTCATTACAGCTCGAGTTTCTGGCTCCAACTATCATAGCAAAGTTAATTTTGTCTCATAAATTTTGGCTTAACATATAAGACATATATCAAACTATTTTATTCTATATCAAAAAAATTCAAGACGGTTCAATTAACAAAGAATCGTAGAGTTAGAAATAAATAATAAATTTGTATATAATATTATATCTTACTGGTGCTGCAAGACGTGTGAGGTCTTTGAGTAAATGATTGTTGTGGCTGATTCCTTGTCTTTCAAATTCAAATGTTATCGCATCTAGATCTGGGAAATTCCTGTTCAAATCCACTGAATGATTGTTGTTACGCCCCAATAGAAAATCCTGACCACCCTAGATACAAGAAAACCACATAAATATTTAAATGATATATACAGTAATAGTTTTATTGAATCAACTTACTGTGTCAGTTGATAACTGCCAGCCATCGGGATTCATGGAAGGCAGTAAGTGTATGCGAGTGTTGTGAATCAAATTTCTTATACGACGATCGTGTTTATTATATTCTTCACATAAGTAATATGCCAGGCCCAAAAGTAATTCGCGTCCCAAAACCTCATTACCATGTATGTTTCCGACGTATTTAACTTCTGGTTTATCTATTTTGGAATTTATATTTAAAGTTAAGTTAATTCTAATGCTTGACGTAATTTATTAAATTTTACTTACATGGTTGGTGAAATCCGGGAGTGTCAGAAAATTCAATAACATACAATGGTACATTTCTCACTGATGGTTCTGTTAAAGCGTAAACTCTAGTAATATTGGGGCAGTTTTCGTGAACTTCTTCTAGTATCGCAGACAACTCTTCATTGTTATGGTGTTTCCAAACAAATTCACTTGATACCCCAAGAAAAAAAGCACAGTAGAAAAACGCATACATCGCCATAACTACGTCGAAACAAACTTTTTATAAATTCGAATTCTTGAATTTAATTTAACATACTACCGATAAAACCACTGTATATTCTAAAAGCGCTCACAATACAATCTCAACACCGTCCGCTGCACTCAGAACAACAAGAGACTAGTTATCGATCGATTTTCCCGCGATACCCGCAACCTACAACTCAACTTACGCACTTCCTTTCACAATTTGTCTGATTGGTCATAAGTAAAATGTTGGCAGCATTGTGAACCCAGTGTTACAAGTAAAACCCTAAACTCAATTACATAACTTTACGAAATAAAATATATTTTAAAAATAATAAAAAAAATTATAATTTTTACTAATATTAATTCTTAAAATACCTTTTTGGTGTGGTTACATCATGACAAAACAGTATAATGTTGCCAGTTTATATTATTTTGAGTCACTGCTGTCAGTATAAACAAAACTCGTTCAGAAATATTTAAACTAGGACTTTAATAAAATAATTGCTTATTATAAAAAAAATATATATAATTGAAAATATTGTTTTTGGACGTTACATAATAAATATTATAAGTTTAAGTGTTTATTATAACAATGTAGCTTTTACTTTCTTACTTTACTTTCTTTATACATTTGCTTCTCTTTTTAACTGCAGCCTTTAAGTGATTTCCAGCTTAAAAATTAATATAAACAGTATCCAAGAATCATAAAGTTTATAGGGTTGGCATAAGGGGCCACCATTTAGTACGTCACGGTTAATGGGGAGGGAGGGTATCACTTAAGGTGAGGGTTTTGTGACGTCACATATTTAAATTCAAAATGCTAAAACGCAAAGTTTGGATGTAATTTGAAAATTTTAAATAATTACGAACTTGATCTACATTTATTAATAATTTAGCATGCTCCTAATTGAAAACACTTTTAAGTTTTAACTACTAAATTCGGTCTTTTCGTCTGTAGGTATATATTTATTAACATACATTATCTTTTTGTCTAATGACGTTTATTTGAATAAATAAACAATATTTATATGTAACTGCTTAAGAGTCATTCTGGATAAACGTTCACCAATGAATCTGCAAAAGTCTTAAATATAAGTTAATACTAAGCATTTTATTTTTTAACTAGCTTTTGCCGTGACTTCGTGCGCGTGGAATAGTGACTTCCGAGAGATTTTTGGTTCATCCCACATAGTTCCCGTTCTTGCGGGGTTTTCGGAATGGTCGAGTTCCCGTAGAATTTTCAGGATAAAACCTATGTTTTTTTTATTCACAATGAAGTACTCTTAACCAACAACATATTTATTTGTTTATTTGAATAAAGATTTTATAAAATTATTTCGACCAAATTAGGTACCAAAAACGGTTTTTGTGAATTAATCTTAAAAGATAGACATATACTGTCGCGGACTGTTTTTTATATCATTAAAAGAGCTATTATTTTTTTATACATATTTTTTGTGTATCTTGAACCGTTTTCACGGCGCACGCAACGGAAAGCTTCAAAGATGAAATAATTTCTCCCGTTTTTTACACATTTACCACTATATCTTTGCTCCTATTGGTCGTAGCGTGATGTTATATAGCCCAAAGCCTTCCTCAATAACTGGACTATCCAACACAAAAAGAATTATTCAATTCGAACCAATAGTTTCGGAGATTAGCGCTTTCAAATAAACAAACAAACAAACAAATAAACAAACAAACTCTTCAGCTTTATAATATTAGTATAGATAGGGAGAGATTGAGCTTATCTATAAGATAAACCACAAAACAAGACAACTAAACAGAACTAAATAAAAGTTTTACTTGTTTTATTATACTATAACTGTGTGGAAACTCACTTTTTTTAGTACTCACTCATCCAAGGGCTCTTTACCAGCTAATAACAATACTTTTTGATATATTATATAAAATTACTGTAACGCAAGGAAGTTCTTATATAACTAATTCTATAATTAGGGAAAACATTTGAAAATTAATGGTTTTCAAAGAATAATTATACTTAGAAATATTATTGATAGTCACAAGTACCTAGATGTGTTTCACGGATTGTTAAACTTCTGCATAAAATCGAACATCCAGATATTATGGTTCTATTTAAATTTAAAACCATTAATGACGCTTCTTAAGATTAAGTACACAGGTAAAATAATTATAAATGACTTAACAACTTTATTTAATTATGTTTTCATAAATGTTGTTCGAACTTTAACAGTTATGCCTTAATATTTACGTTTGTTATACTTATAATAAGAATAATAATTATTTTTTTCATTGTACTTGTTTTTTACAGCATGAAATTTCAACCAGGAAAACTACGAATGATATTGTTACTCCAACGCCATAAATGATAAAAATCCCCTGCAAAAGAATATTTCAAAATAAAAATATTTGGCGTATAATCAGTAACAAAGCTCAAACAAATATAATTCTATTTATGTATGTGTATAAGTGCAATGTAAATAATAAAAATATAATTTTTTTAATACATCTTTATAATAGGACACCAAATTGTTAGGCTCTAATGCTAAACATTAAATAACAAATAGAAAAGATCAAACTAATGGCTATTTGTTGAAAATTTAAAAAATATTAATATTATAGTTTAATCGATTATTATGATCTAACAGAAAAATATCTTACCACAACATGGCGTATCGCAAGCGGTTCAATATTCTCTACGTCTCTTTTTGAACGTGATAGTTTCACTTCTAACTGAACTTTATAATCCAAATGTTGCAATGCTATCTAAATAATATTAAAAAAAATATTATTAAATTAATCTTAATAATTATATAGAGATCTAAGACCTTCGTATTATTACGCGTAGTCTAAGCGTAGAATAATCTGAAAAATATTCGTTTCACTTAATAGTTATAGTTTATTTAAACATTACTTGGGTCTCCCAAGCTAACAGGAGTCCGGATTCGTGAAGTCTCCCAATAAGCTTATTAATTTTATCAGTGAACACCGAACTCTTCCTCATCATGATAACACACTGCTCAAAATAGAATTGCTCAAGCATTATTGTTAAATCCAAGGACGCCTCTTTTGTAATGTATTCGCCGATAGCAAAATAACCTTAAAAGATGTTTCTCTTACAATTACGTATAATTTGTTTCTTAATAAAAATTATTAATGAATTAAATACAATTTTACCTGCAGGCAATATTTCAATGCTAAACGCTAGTTGCCGAGTAAAACTCTTTTCAACTAATTCTTCAGCCGAATAAGTCTTGAATTGACTTATTAACTGCTTAATCATGGGCTGTGAATTAAATTAATCATCAAGTTAATATCGAAGTATTACTTATTATATAAGTTTATGCGTTTCACCTCTTGGGAGAGAGAAAGAGAGAATATCCAAGCGGTATGTGTGGCTCCCCATTCAAGTTTTCTGTCAACCATGTCTCTGATAGTGTCTACTGTAGGCTCGTATTTTGGGACTGTAAAAGTAGATGCTAAACCTCCTCCATAGGCGTTGTCTAACACAAGACCAGTTATCATCATCCATCCTAACACGCTGCGAATACGCCATGGTTGGAAAAAAGTCGAAGATACTGACTAAAATAATATATTATAGTCCATAATTGCAGAATCCTTTAAAGTTTGCTCAATTAAAACATATTAAATATATATAACTATCATCATCATCATCATCATCAGCCTATCAGACGCCCACTGCTGAGCAAAGGCCTCTTTCTCACATGGAGAAGGTTTGAGCATTAATCACCACGCTTGCTCAAGACGGGTTGGTGATTTCAAACTTATAATTGTGAAACTATAAGTCCAGGTTTCCTCACGATGTTTTCCTTCACCGTATGTCAGAGACGTCTAAATACTCTCAGAAAGTACATATGACTCAGAAAAATCACATTGGTACTTGCCAGGTTTGAACCCGCGTCCTCGGCAACTATATAACTATAGCTTAGTTTAAATAACACATGAAAATATGTTGTCATTTGCTAATAGACATTGGTCAAATTGATATAGCTCTTGCCCATACATATAATACAGAACAAAATTGAATAAGCTATACGTTTAATCGATTATACATCAAAGCTTCGTTTGCAGAGTTTTTCATTTTATTTGAATTGTAAATAAAACAGTTGGTTTGACCTTTTTGTTTTTTTTTTTGTTGCTAAAAATACATTTGCATTTGTTAATATATTCTCAAATTTACCTTTAACAAAAAATTTAAATAATAAAAGCAAGATTATTTAAGAGAAAAAATAAAACTCTTTTCAAACAAGTATACATTACGAATATATTTTTAAGGTTACTTTTTTGGAAGACGCCCCACGTCCGGATGCGAGGAAGGTCTACAATGAAAGGATGGGCACCCACCGTGCATCAAGTATATGCAGGAATTAAAGGGTGTAATAGATCACGATAAAGCCACACAAAAGGAATTGTACCCAGAAAGGTAGTTTTTATGAGTGGCTAGCCCACTAATCGAAGTATCCACTGACTGCAAAAGCCAGCGGAATACCCGTCTTCGGATCCCGCTATCCTCTACGACCAGAAATCCTATATAACAAAGATCATTGATGTTTGAACTCAGTTCAAATTATACGGTAGCTATTCAAACCCAATCCCCTAAGGGTTTTTGAGGCAACAAGCAAGAGTCCGACTACACGGTTAGAGGCATGACCTCTTCTGATAGACGGTAATTATTTAAGCTTCCAACGGAGCGTTCAAGTATTACGTAACGCAATTTTGGGGGAGGGGGGTCTCGTAAAACGTTACGATGCGTTACTGGGGCGGGAGGGGGTGTCTCTTACAAAACGTTACGTAGCATTGTTTCTAAAAAAATATATTAATAAAAACCCCCAAACTGGCAACTCCTTTCATATACGTTACATTATGTTGACCAGATTGTATTAGTCAGGTCGATATTTTTATTTGTTATTCCAAGTTTGCAAACCTCTTTATTGATATTTTACCGGGGATACATAGATTGCATTGTAAGTCTTTTGATGAAATTGATCACTTGAGTGTTACGTAACGTTTTGAGAGGGGGGGGGCTACAGCAAAACGTTACTGTGCGTTACGACGGGGGAAGGGGGGGTCAAAAATTTTCGAAAATTGCGTTACGTAATACTTGAACGCTCCCCAATGTAATGGTCTCCCACCAGAAAAAATATATATATTTATAAATTGAATAAATGTAAATGACTCACCTGTGTAATCATAATAGCAAAAGTAGTGAAAAAAACCTTATCAAATTTAAAGCCTCTTGCGATACTAAGTGCCAGAGACGAATAAAGAAATGTAAAGAATATACCAATCCACATATACAGACTGAAAGGCAATAAAGGCATTGTCCAGCTCGCTAATAATCTAAAAATTGTAACAAATAGTTTCAAACTGAATAAATGTTTTTTACAGTGATGATAATAAAAAATCGGAATAAAACCTCGGTGATGGAGCAATACATGTTATACCAGTACGTATATAAGGTGCGGAGAAATCCATCTCAACATATTCTTCATACCACGAATACAGTGCAGCTGTAAAATAAAAATTATGAATTTTTCATACTTTCTCATGGAAATGGTTGAAAATATTTTGAGTACTTATTCCAAGATCGGCTCTGTCTTCAAACACCGCTCCCAAAACACCTATACCAGTTTGGTTTGCGTATATTTCACCCCATTCTTCATCATCTTCTCTTATTATTTCAATGGTGCAGTTTATCCATCTATACAAAAGGAGGTATTAATTTATTTATAACAAATTGCTTGGATGTCCATATATTGCAATTTTACCTGCAAAATTCTTCCACAATTCGTACATCTATACCATCTCTTCCCTGTTTCACAATACTAGTGTCAATGTCTAATAAAACGTATGGTTTGTAAGTAAACGCGGCTACCGTAACTACTTTTCCGTATAAGTTCAACATATTGTGTGGAAACAGATTAACGTTATGTGCAAATTGAAGAGTGCATGAATCCCATTCATCGAGATATACTGACAAGTCATGGTTATCTATACCGACGAATTGGTGCGTAACTAAATCGTACTTTTCACATTCTTCTTCCAATCTTCCAAGTTGAGGTAAAACAAGTAGAATATTTGCCACAAAACTGGTTTCCTTCATAGACAATATTTTGAGCAGTTCGTAATTGGACTCATTCAATGGTAACTTCGTCGAAGGTATCATAACAATCTTTCGATTGCTCCTCCTAACATTTCCCGTGTGAATAACTTTATCAAAATTCATCATAAAACTCTGTGGATCATCAATTTGAACAATGTAATCGGAACATCCCATTTCTGACGCTTCGAGCGTCATGTTAAAGAGTTCTTCAGTATCATTATAATAAAAATGCATCAAAGTTTTATTGAAATTTAATTTAAGTGGATCTTCCAAAATCAAAATCATGCAATAAGACGAAATAAAATATTTGTCTATTATCATTTGTAAAATTATTTCAATTGGAAAAACAATATTTTCTACCGACAGCATTCTATTACATTATCTCTGCAATCAAAAACAAATATATATTTTCAAGTAACGTAAACTTGTGTCACATATCAGACGACCTTACATTTACTGAATGTATTTTAAAGGATTATGGTGACTTAACAATAGTTGTGATGACAATAGTCAAGCCTTTTAACTGGTGATATTATAAATAATACATCTTCTTACCTAATTGATACTTGTATATTAATGATGCAAACATAAACCAGGAATTTAGTTCCATTACGTATTCTAAATGACGATAATCAAATGATACCTATTTACCGTTGTTTACGAGGTGGACTCTTCAAAAGAAATTAACGATGTGTGATTGCAGACTATGAAATGGCTTCGTAATATATCTATGTAAATGCAATGTTTAATATTTAACTGTTAAACGTTTTACAAACTGTCACCTATCTGTCAAACGATATGTTTAATAGAATTGGGTACACAATTATTTTAAACAGCCGAACATATGACCAAAAAGAAAACGTTATGTAACAAAAAATTGTTATCCCGCATTTCATAATTAGCCGTTTTATTTACACTACAAGTAATAATATATTTCTAAGATGTTTTGCCGCCTTGGCCACTGACTGAAAAGCTAATGGATATTTTATTATTGTTACGCGACAAGACACACGCGGTGGTAAGCGCCACCATAGTATAGAGGAATTGATTGATTTTGATCGTTTATATATTTTAAAGTAGGATTTTTTTAATTAAAAAAAATATTTATTTCTTACAATATTTGTGTGAATTACAATGGAGTACACTATAAATTAGCAGCTTTACGCATTTATAAATAGAGTCGTCGTATACCTAATAACCAGCTTTCCACCCACAGCTTCAAACTTTCAAAAGTCTAAAATAAAAACTATCCTATGTTCTTTCTCAATGTCTACTGTATCTCTGTACCAAATTTCATTAAAATCAGTTCAGTGGTCTAGGCGTGACAGCGTAACAGACAGACAGAGTTACTATGGCTTTTATAATATTAGTAGGGATAGATCCTATTCACTGATTTTACGAAAAACTAAATTAGAGTAACGGAAATGTTAGTATGTGAAATAACTAATAATATCAAGATTTATTCAGCTGACTTAGATGAGTGTCACTTGTGTGGTCCAGTTTGTATAACTTCAAATATTTCTGACAGTAAAAGAACAGATCGAAATACCGCTACAGCTTCTACTTACGCAACGGAATGTGAAAATAAATTAGAAAGACGATATATTCTTATAAATTAGTATAATAACGTATGTTATATATAGGTACTGATTTAAGAATGGAAAACATTAATTTTAATATTGCAGTTTTTTCAAGAATTATGGACGCATTTAAATTTTTTATTGAATAATTATTATTTACAATTTACTATCATTTCAATTCTGCCTTTACACTTAAATCATATTTACTTTTTACTTCCGCTTATATTCACCTTGCATTTTGTTTATAAAAATAAAAATATTAACGTAGTTTTTTCTGTCACAAATACTTACTTATGGTTATTTAAAAAAAACTACATAAATTTAAACAGGGTCTATTCTAAAGAACCAAACGAAATAGACGATTTTTTTGACAAGGCGTAATTTAAATATGTTTATTCATAAATAAGTATTCATAGTTTCAACGTGATTAATATTCAAAAGTTTCGCATACGAACCAAAACTTAACAATTCAAATGGCAGAATAAAGTTAACATTTTATATTATTAAATACTAGTTTATTATAAATGGAATATAAGTATATTTATAGCTTTATCCCCTGTAATCGACACCCAGAATACACTTAATACCCTAATACAGTTAATAATGTGCAGGTTGTGTAAACAGTAACCCGAAACTAAACGGCGAAGCGACATAATGTCCCGAAATTCAATATCCTACACGACATTGGTTGAGTTTAAAAAATGATAAATATGCAAACTTTAAAAAACATATTTATTTCCATTTAATAATGTATATATTTTTATGATATTAATCCTTCTTACGCAGTCTCGCGCTAGATATCTCGATTGCCTGCAGCCAGTGTTTGATCTCTTCGGGGCATTCGGGTTTTTTCTCGACTCCCGGAATATTCTTGAGAAGTGCATCAGCGTCAATGTTAACGAGGTTCTGACGGGATAGTACTATAGCACGGACGAAACCGTCATGCAAAGTAATGAACTTTTGTTCTATGAACAGAGATTTGTCTTCCCAATACACCAACTAAAAAAAACATAAGTGATACTTTAATATTTCCAAACTGTATAATGTTAACATATGACGTAAGTTATTAAGAATTTTAATTTTATAACTCCAATTTTTTAACGGTTATTAAATAATGTGAAACTAAAAAAAATTATGTTCATAATTAAATTGCCATATTGTTTAAGCGTATGAAATAAAATTGTCTATTTTTTATATTATATTATTATATTATGTAATACTGGGCAAATAGAATTAAAATGCTTTTAAGTCTTTTTCAATATAGCAGTCGCACTAGACAACTAGAAATTACACATTGCCAATTTATAAGATGATAAGTCATCATCAAGAACACATTACACTATTAATTATAAGAAACTTAGTTACAAAAAACATTTTATGACAGTAGGATATTTAAATTTAATTACTAATCATTTTGTATTAATTTATACAAAGTTACAAGTAATTAAAATTAATATTGAACTTTATATACATCAGTCAGATGAAGTTTATGATGTATATATTTGTATAGCAAAATATATCCAAGATATTTAATAAAAAATTATAAACATAAAATTGGAATCTGACTGTGGTTGTGTACTTAAAATATTACGTAAATATGACACTGACGTCATAATAACAAATAATTACAAGGAAATCAATCAAAAGCAAAATAAAAAAAACAATGTCTTAATGTATATTGGTTTCAATAACATCGATTTAAATCTTTATATATAAAAGAAAGTCGTGTTAGTTACACTATTTGTAATTCAAGATTCGCTTTTCGGGTTATATTGAATATTGGTGAGGACATAGTTGAAAACCAGGTAAAGGACCTAAATTACTTATTATACGATCGAAACAAAAATTGATATTATATAAAATCTTCTTATTTAGTGACTTTAGGTGATGCAGAGTTCGACCGGTCAGCTATACCGATCATTTTTAATTTTGAAAGTAACGCAGACGAAACCATGGGCAAAAACTAGTAGCATTTAAATAGTAGCCGCTAAAATAATTAATTTGTGGTATACTCACCCGTGTCTCCACTTTGTATGCATTAAATATGGGAATAGTTCTACGGTATCGTATACTGGATGCTCCCTGGAGAACATGTCCATCTACTGCCTTGATGTTCTTATAGATGCCAGACCTGTCATAGAAATGGAACCTGGCGAAGTCCAAATCTCTCACGTAACGAGCATTATTCATGTGACGCAAGAAAATGTCGACATCTTGGGTGGTGCATATTCCTGAAATAATAATATATGCTATTAAGAAAGGGATTCAAGATTGCATAAGCTAATTTAAATATCTTAATTTTTTTAATTTTTATTCCTATATATATATGGAACAAAGTAATTTTTACAGAGATAAAAATTCTCATCATTCCAGGGATCCATCGCGTTGTAAGAAATAAAATTTGAAACGAACCTACTAGGGCTGCTTTCGAAGTACGTTCTAAGAAGGAATTGATATTGGTTCTGGACAAAGCCAAGACTTTTTGTAGGTTGTGAAAAGATTTATCTATTATATCTACCTATCGCTTCCGCTTCTACTACGTAAAAATTTTAAACGAACCTATTCTTAGTGAATTCGTTACTGAGCCATAATACTTGTTGATTTTTATTGCATGGTCTTTAGAGATATTGGTTTCCCAAAGAACCGTGAGTTCTATCAACACAACGCGCTGTTAATACTGAAATATGTCTAGTCTGTATGCCGACGTACAATTAATATCCTCTGGGATTTTATATTGTTTCTCATACATATCCATCATTATAGTCTAATCCGGAGCAGATTTAAGGATAGAGTAAGACTTGACGTTTGATTTTATAGCCGTAGTTCTTTCTCTCACAACACATATTAATCGCTCGTTATTGGTTATTTCATTTCATGTGGTTATGAAGTGTAAGGTAAATCACGTAAAGTTGGTTAATGTGTTCTTACCATACTTGTCTCATATACACTTTGTTTTGGAGTTAACAATACATGGCAACGACTTCCTGCCATGGTTTAAATATTCGATAGTGGATCCCATATATTGTCTTTATATTACATATTTTCCAAGTAAATCATTACAAAGCAGTTGTGATAATTTACATACAAAGGATATGCAGACATTGTTTTACTTTATTCTTCACGTAATTTTATTAATTTGTGTAGTTGCTATTGAAATTTTAATCACTTTAAATATATGACAATATAATTAAATAAGCGACAAAATTTTAACATAAACTTAGTTTATTATAAAATTCTGTTACATTCATTAGAATTGAAGAGCCTTTGAAACGATTGAAGATTTTTGTGAAAAAAAGCAGAAATTTATTTTCATTTTTTTTTTTAATACATTGATTATTATTTATTATAGGTGATCAATCATTAATTTTCATTAAAAGTTCATCAACTCTTAATAGCACGGCAATTGTCAAAACAGACTCCTTTATAAGTTGAGGAACTATAGAATTATCGAAATTTTTTATAATTTTGACAATTTTAAGAAAAATAGGTACGTATACTTACTTAAAAGAATTTTCATAATTAGTTGACTTTTCCAAATTAAAAACTACTGTTGCCATGTTTACAAGTATGTACTTTCACAGGAATTATTTCAAAAATATATCGATTTTTAAGAGAGGTTCGAAAGTAAAAATCGATTTCTTTAGATCCATAAACTGATGATTAGAAGATTAAAAAATAGCATACTCATTAGGACTTACTTTATTATGATATAGTTTATTTTTGATTTTAAGTGTCTTATATGGAACTGAATGTCGGAAAAATATTTACAAAAAATAGACTTTTCAGAATCCACATATCAGCAGTACTCTAGTCTGATATAATTCTAAGTCTTTAAACAAATTAAAAAGTAGGGTACTAAAATGCTATAAAAAAATAGTACAAATCTGTAACAAAATGTTAATATTAATGATATATTTATGATATAATTTTTTATCTAAAGTGTTTATACATTTAAAACGTAATTATTATTCTCATTTACCAATACTGCTAACGGTGGTTGTAATTACATATATTTTGAGAAAGCGTCCATATAATATCTTTAATAAAAATTTATTTCAAAAGTTCCACAGGTATCTAATTATCCCAGTGGATTTAATCACACAATCACAGATTGATCTTTGATTGACCTCTGTCAATATACGAAAAAAATTATCACCTTTTTTTTACAGCGATCAAAATAAACAAAATAAAACCTTGAATCTTTGTGAAGTCAGAGCCAGTTCACACAAAACCATTAAAAGCCTCTTACCGTTAATGTGAAGTGATCAAAAGATTCCATAGAAAGAAACATTAGCAAAACGGAAAACCATTACTGGTTTGAATTAAAACTTTCTCATAAGATAATGAGTAAAAAAACTGTAATATTAAGAGGAAAAACATATCTGTCTTCAGCATATATATTTTTACTGTGTATAATGAGAATTTAAACTCAAGATATTGCTTTATAGCTACTTAATAAAACTCACACTCACCGTAAATTGTTGTGAAGTCATTAACACCGCATTTCTTTTGGAACAGTCTTCCAAACAAAATTGTGAAACCAACACGAATAAAATAGTTAACATCGAAGAAAATATATGCCAACAGCACTAGCGCTACGATAAAACAATACATTTTAAATTAAAAAATAACTTTATAATGACAGATATTAAATTATTGCAAGGTATATTCCGGACAGGTGAAGTTAATACGACTCATGCTATTTGTACAATACACAAACTAAACACGAAGCTATCGTACGAAGTTCATATCTATCGGATATAATAAATGTATGTTATACAAATTTAAACCTTATGAACGCGCCTGGAAGTGAACTTTATGTAGGAATACATAATAAATTAGCATAAATTAATTTGAATCGCTAACATAAACTGTTTTTTTACATTTTGTTCTCAATTCATTATTTATTCATTTAAAAGTTATGGTCATAATGGGTGTCTGAGTTTTATAATTCTACGTCGAAAAGAAAGTAGTTAAAATAAAGAACTATAGAAAAATCTAAACGGTGCTTAAGTGGTTCTTAACTTTACTGGTATTTTTACCCAGTATACTTATTTTTAATGTGACTTAAATGCCCAAGTAATACAGTAGTATAGATAAAATATTAAATAGGACATATTATGCTATATACGAATTATATTAAAAACATAATAAGCATGTCCACAGATAAAACATAATAGCATTTATTATTTAAAATTACTTTTTATTCCATTTATTTTATGCATAAAAATGTAGATGTATAAATCTTCCATCATCTTCGGTAATCTCAATGTCATTGTCCAGCGTATTTCTTTTTTAACAATAAGTTTAAAATTATTATTAAGGTAAAAAAATACCAAATTTTCATACTATGGATTTCGTAGATGTAGTTTTTTAAGTCTAAGTTTTTGCTTTATATATACTTTATTAATACTTTAATTAAGACTTCGTACTTGGTAAATTTCGAATATTTAACTACCAAATCTATATACAAATCTATAGTATAACTTTATACTAAGATATAAAATAATATATCTTTTAGTATTTATGTTAAAGAATTGCTACACCTTTTTTAGTTTAAATAATGATTGTTGGGTTAAATCACATTTTGACTTATTGAGACCGAAATCATAAAGATATTTCAACAAAACATGAAATATAAAATTATTTAATAACTTTGAGATATTCTCTGCATATAAAGTAAGTTCAAATAAACAATGTTATATTGAAAATCTTTTCGAGATATCATAATTGTCGTCCAAAATTTTTTTATTCCCATATATTTTTGTTCTATTTATATTATTTCTTGTTTCTATTCTTGTTTTCTATATTTGTGAGTTACGAGACTTATAGGTATGTGAGATATCTTAGATGAAAAATGTATGTAAAAAAATATAGTTAAATACTTTTATAAACATTTTTATTTATAGTATTACTCTTATTTGTAGTATTATTTAATTATTAAATAAAACAAAATATTTATATCCTAATAATTTTTTTACTGGACATTTCCATACTTTGCAGCCATTGGGAAATGTAAAATGGACAATCTGGTTCACATTCAGATCCTGGGAGACCTTGTATGAGATCTTTTATATTATTTGTATTTTTGCCCATCGCGTATTGCCGAGAAACGAATAGACATCTTATTTTTCCATCATGTATCGTTATTACTTCGTGTTCGAAGAAAAATGACCTCTCATCCCAAAATACCAACTGAAAATAAGAATACAAATTATTTAAAATAATTTCACAAACATAACATAAAAACTTAATTAAACTATAAGACAAGTATCGTCAGGTCATTGAAAAACGACTACAAATAGTTTAGTTTAACAAAAAATTAAGCTAATTCCTCACTTTTGTATTAATTTTATATGGAACAAATATCGGCACTTCTTCTTCATGTACAATCAAAGTAGATCCCTGCAAAGAGTGTATTCCTAAGATCCGACTCCTGTTATAAATACCAGTTCTATCATAAAAATGATATTTCCCAAAGTCAATGTCACGAATTAAACGATCCACACGCATCGACTTAAATGTTAATTGGCATTCCTTGAACGTACACATTCCTGTAAACAAATATTAATATGCATAATGTTTATTCAAATAAAACGTAACTTTGTCGCTAGTATTGTTTTTAGTAGATAAAATTTATATTGGATATTTAAGTTAGTTTGATTAAAATACCATAAATCACAGTAACATCTCCCAAAGAACAGCTTTTCTCGTATAAACGGCCACTCAACACGGTAAATAATGTTCGTATACCGTAATTAATATCACTAAACATATAGACAATTGTTATTAAACATAGAATACATAAAAAAATCATGTTTAATAGAACTGATGTTAGAACGCGATCTTTATTTGTCCTAACTTGTTAACAGTAGCACAGTAAATTTTATAGTGTTGCTGCTCAGTATGGTAATGATTTTAGGTTGACCTTTGCACCTTCGGAAATGCCTAATATATTCACAGAATGTCTCTTTTCAGACAATCTGTAAATATTTATTTAGATAAATACAAATTCTATAATATTTATTTTATTACTTTCGTTTCACGAATCTATCGGAAGCATTATTTAAAATATGGGCTCTCGAAAGTCTTAGATAATATTATATTATTACATATTTGACAAACTATTGAATAATAGGCACAAAATAGATAAATAATAAGTATGAACTTTTTACTTGTAACATTCGCAAATCAATGTTTTTCAGCTATTTTTTAAATACCAAACTGTGAAACTGTAGGTGTAATACGTAAGTTGAAACTCGTACTTAGGCTACTAAACAACTTCCTATTGAATAACTTGTGGTTATTGTCTAAAAAATTCTAGGAAATTCTATTGTTTAGTGTTCGCGAGAAATACCTTGTTTTAGACAATTTAAAAGACATTGACCTAAAGGCCTCTTCTTGATGAATTTGGTCGACGAACTCTATTATTACAAAAAAAAATACACAAAGAAATGACAACTGACACCTGAAATCCTCAGCGACGTGTTATCAGATTATAAATAAATTCTTCATATTAATTTCCGCAGTCCGTTTCATTCAAAATTTATATCTATTCATTTAGTTACGAAAAAAAAAATTGTTCCATTTATTTTTTATGTTAACTAAACTATTTGTTTTAATTCAACTTAACAATAATAACATCATGGGATTATTCGGAAATTTAAATTATTGAAACATCACATTATCTTAATCTAAAATTTTAGCGAGTATTTATTTAAATGAAACTATTATGTTTCGGATATACGTAGTTCGTGACTTTATTTTTGATAACAACTACAAATTCCCTTCGTTTCGGTTACTTTTCGGCAACCGTGATCACGGTCAAACAGCTATCAAACACCTGGGGTCCCCTTCTTAAAAATATAAAAGCCCATGTCCGTTACCACACCGCAGGACCTCGGGACACAGTGAGCGCATTCTACCGGCATCCAGAGCGGTACGCCAGAAAATTAATAAATCGATGGTGGGATGATAAATAACAAGACCAACATACACTCACATCTCGTCTGCCCGTGGTCACGGTTGATGAAAAGTAGCCGAAACGTCGGGAGTACTTAGTTTTTACCAAAAATAAAATCACGTAGTATATCCGACAAATAATAGTTTCATTTAAATCATATCTTAATAGTTATTAAGTTAACTTATCAATATTATTTCATTTAACATAAATGATTAATGCTAAAAGGAATAAAAGCAGAAATAAAACCGAAATAAAATACAGGTTTCTTGGGAATATATACGTCTTAATTTTAGAGTTGTATCACGAATTTGTTATTGTCCGTGATAATAGCTCCCGGCGATAGGGGCTCGGTAATTGTATTTACTTAACTGATTTATATTAATTCCTTCAATCCGTGAGCTCTGTTTTCTTATAATACATCGCCAATTGCTTATATTCAGTGATACGGCTGTAGAACTTTAGTAAAAACATTTATCGCTTCCATTGAATACATAAGTTAACAAAAATAATTAAATTCCAAGTTGACTTACTCAATGTAACTTAATTAAAATAATTAGGTCTTAATAAAAACGTTGTATTTCTTTCCGTTTCCAATTACAATGTAGAATTTTCTAGATACAACAAAAAATAAAAAGTACATATTTTTTAATAAAATCTTTTTACAATTTTAAATCAAGCCAGGTCCATATTAAGATATAAAGAAAACAATTTTCACACGGCAAAGTTTAATTCACTACAAAGTTCCTTATAATATAACATACAATTTCGATACTAAAATATTCAGTTCTTCCAATGCTACGTTTTTTAACAGAACTAATTCAATTCAATATAATTGCTCAATTTAGTTTCGTTACATGATTCTCGGGTAATAAAAATTTTCACAACTTTTAACCTCAGAAGATTCTATTCTACTTGCAGTAAACCCGTTTCTTATGATATTATTACCCTTCAGTAAATAATTTTACTGCAATAAGTAATTTTTCATTTCATGTGAAAATGGAATTTATCGCTTATTATTTTTGATGCAAGCTACCACTGACACAAGGTTCAATCGTCAAACTAAACACATAGTTCTCAGTTTTTTATTCATATTGTACACGTTACCACGTTAAATAAAAGGCTGTGGCCTGTTTGTTTTTCGTAATATCCACATAAACATTTACTGTTACTGCAAGTTAAATTGTATTTAATTAATCATCACGTATAGCAATAACAGCTTTTAAGTATCGGAGGCGAAGTATATTCAACCTCTGAAGAGACTAAAAGTTTTATGTGACTGAATCTTAGGTTCGGTTTTGAATACTTGCCAACGATATTCGTTAATACATTTATTTTAATAATCTCAGGTTAATGTTTTAATTTTAAATAGGTATTTTTGTGAACAAAAGCAAACAATTTATAAATATTATTATATTTTATTAACCCAATAACACTTTTTGGAATTAATTCTTTGGCATAATAATAATTACACTAACATTGCATTACATGGAAATACATAACTCATTAGCCGATTTAAAAAATAATTAAGCATAGAAGACATTTCACTTAATTTATACTTAATATTAATAATATATATCAGAGTCTGGATGTGTCATTACATAAAAGGAACACAAGATATGTTCTAATGATGACTATTGCACTGCCTACAATCTGGGGCGCAAGTTGGTGGAGTGTGTTGCAGTGGCAATAATAACGGGCCGGATAAAGTTGGGAGTGCAGGCAAAGGCACAAGCCATTCAGACCCGCACACACGACCCATCACTAGTGTTGGCAGCAATGGTCTTGGCCCCACTGGACGAAACGCCGACCATCTCGATTCAACTTCTTGAGAACTCGATACGTTTTCGTAACGAACACCGCTTGAGCTAGCTGTTGATTTGTCACGTTGAGCCTAGAAACACATTATTGGAATTGATTTTATAGAAAAATAGATAAACAATTAGTTTTAAAACGTTTATGAAACTGTTTTTATTACGTGTATAGCATTGCAGTGCTCCACAGCACGTAGCAAATCATGGTTGCATCTTCGCAGCACCAATTCAAGAACCGATCTCTTCTTCCCTGGGAATAATTTCCTGAGCATATCCAATCCAGCCGAACTCACGTTGCTCAAACTATCTTCGTTTTCACTAGCGCTAAAAGATATATTTATATTTTATTTTTTTTTTTATATGTATTAACATACTTCATACCTAATAAGCAACTATAAGGCAGCTTAACTTTTATCACAATATAATCTAATCATAAATAAGAACTTCAAGTGCAGAAGATTTTTTAAAAATAACCCAATTTTAAGCAGGGCATCGTACTTTTGAAAAAGACGGGAATATATGAACTATTAAATTAACAATATTAGGGATCGATTAAAAATTTACCCGTTTCCAATCTGAATTGTCTTTTATTGTGAATTAAATACAGTAACTTATAAAATATGAATGATATTATTTACCAAGATCGCGCATTTGCATTCGAATTTCCATCGTTGTCTTGAGTGGCCGTGCAACAATCAGGTAAAGAATCGCTCGTTTCGCTGTCAATGTGGATGGGCTACAACAACAAAAAGGACATAAAATATTGACCTACTAAAGATATAATATCTTATATCAGCAATCATCCACTTTCTTTCTCTTTCTTTCGTATTTCTGTCCCACTCTAAAATTACTCACGCTGTGATCATCAACAACGGAGTCTGGCTCAGGTCCTGAGCTTGGTGAAGGTCCTGTAACTCTCATGCCGTAAATACGACCTGGAGGCAGCGACGCCAGATTTGTGCCGCTCTCGACAGACGCCAGATGTAAGGCTATCTTGTCCTCCGCAGCTTGCTGTCTTTTTAGGGCTACCTACGTAGGAATTTCATAATTATTGCTCTGTTTTTACTTATTCCATTGGCCCAAAAGGTATTTTGGGATCAAAAAGATAATAAATTATAACATTATACTTTGTATACTTAGTGTTAGGTAGTGATTAACTTTTTAAAAAAAAAATTAAAAAAAAAAATAGAAAACATGTAAAATATATCGCGCATTTTTATCCATAAAAATGTTACACTACGATGAACATTTAGATCAAGAAGTTTTATCGTCAACAAGCTTTAAGACATTGACCGATTGGTAAACTGATATATAAATTAATTTAGCGGAAAATCAATGACAAACAGACAATGTTTGTGTTTGGTGAACGGTCACCCAAGGGATCATTGGGCGACAACCGTCGGCCGCCTCATTGGAAACGAAAATAAAACTTGATCCCTACAAATTAAATAACTAACTCCCCGGAATACTTATACGGTAAATTCGATACTAAAACATTTGCTACTAAATATTTCATTTTATCTATTAAATAATATTCAAAACTGTTAATACTAACTTCGTTCGTTCAACTAACATTTAAGTTTTGTATAATGCAAAAAGAAGTTCTACAACGCAATAATGTCATTTCATTTATTTAAAAAAAACTGTATTAAGTAAAAAAAATACTATTTGAAGACTGAATTTTAATCAATATTACCAACATAATATTTAAATAAAGGAAGTGCCTCATAGTATTCGGTCGGGTAGGACTTCGACAGCGATGCATTACTGAACAAACCGATCGATGTTTCATCCGGCGTCGACATAAACACGTGCCACTTGTTTAAATAAACCCGACGCATTAGCTGGTCTCGATTTCACTACATTAAAACACATTAACGCATCTACTTCGCGTTTTATTTCTGAACTAGGTAATGTGATGTCCGCGTCTTTAAAATGAAGTTTCGGTATTTTAATACTTCATATTAAAGCAAGATTAGTTTAATGAGATCTAAGATTTTGGCGAGTTTTATTCATTTAAGTGAAACTAATATTTTTCAGATATATTACTCGACATTATTATTGTAAAAAACTACTCCTCACGTGTCGGCTACTTTTCAGTAACCGTGGTCACGGGCAGACGAGATGTGAATTCACATCTCGTCTAAACTTCGGAACGTCAGGAGTATGTAGTTTTTTTACAAAAATAAAGTCGCGTAGTATTTCCGAAAAATATTAGTTTCACTTACACAAGACTAGTTTGTTAAAGATACGTATATTGGTACCACTTATCATAAATACTATTTCTATTTTTTTGCATTTTCAATTGCAAAAACAAATAATCATTCTTTTTTTTTTGGAATATTCAATCTGTTATATTTTGGATAACATACTTACACGCACGACGAAGGGCGAAATGGCTTGTCGAATACAAACGAAAATAACCTAAGATTATGTATCTATTTTACCTATATCATGTAAATAATACGAGTATATGTGTAGTAAGAAGGAAAATGAAAATAATTAAAACAAGACTTCATATTAAATATACTTAATAGAAGTGGCATTAGTCCACAGGACTTAGATTATTCACCCAAATTCTAAAGTTTAGCAAATAGTTTCGTCACCATTTTTTTTTTGGTATCGTAGTAGTAGAATTCTATATAGGTAGATACTGACGAGTGACTCTAAGGTTTTAGGATTTATAGGTATCTATAAATGGTCAATGATTGTAAAACGTATTTTGCACTTCTATCCCGGAGGTGGGGATGATATTATAATGCCTAGGTACTGCAAGTGACAGTAGAGTGAAACGTTTTCCTTATTGATATCAAAGTAGTTCTGTTAAAACCGATAGAATAAGTTTTAATTAACGTTAAATTAAAACGATTAATTAACTTTAAATCAATTTTAGTCAGCCGTATTTACACTGCACACACATATGTACCTACCTATTTAAAAAAATCTCAAATTACAACTATTGTTCTATTTTTTTAAAGAATTCTCATTGATATCTTTATACCGACGACTTTATACATACTTGTAACAATATATAAGAGAAGATAGGTACTTATAACATCGATACTAAAACTTAATAATTGCACATTGATAAATTCTTAGAAATTCTGTCAAAGTTTATTTTAGAAATCGATTGGTTCTTAGACTAGTAACGCTAAAAACTCATTTATTTAAGATATACCTACAGAATAATCCTTATATTAGATTTGTTTTTATTTAGGCAATTAAAATAACTAGATTTTATATTAAAACAAAAGGAATCAAATAACCTATATATATTTATATGATTGTGATTTGTGAAACGTATTATTTGCTCCTATCTTGGATGTGGGGATGGTCTTGTAAAGCTTATAAGTAGGTACTGCAAGTGACAATGTAGTAAATTTTTTTCTTATTAATATCAAAGTAGCTCTAATTAAACCGATAGAATAATTTTGAACAAACTAATATTTTCGGATTTTACTTCGCGTTTTTATTTCATTTTTTTATTACAAACTACATATTCCCGACGTTTCGGCTACTTTTTCAGTAACCGTGATCACGGGTAGACGAGTCTGCCCATCTGCCCGTAGACGAGTCTGCCCGTTTGTAATCAAAAAAAATAAAAACGCGAAGTAAAATCCGATAATATTAGTTTCATTTAAATGAGTAGGTACTCGCGAAAATCTTAGATCTCATTAATAATTTTGAAGTAACAGACATTAGATAAATCAATTTTAGTCAGTCTTGCACATATGTAAAAAACCTAATTTTATTCACAACTATTGTTTTAAATGAAAGTTTAAAGCAGTTGTAATATTATTCATACCTAAAAGCAAATTATATTTTCTGAAAGAATTTTCATTGATATCGTAATACCAATGTATAAGTGAAGATACCTATAACAGCAATAGTAAAATTTTCTGTAGTACCCATTGATAGATTCTTTTTAAATTCCTTTCAGTCTAAGTTTGTTTTAGAAACCGATTATCTCTTAGACCAGTTAAAACTAATAAATCATTTATTAGGATATACAGAAACAACGTTATACCTAGTGCATCTGTTTTTATTTAGGCAATTAAAATAACTAGACTTTCTTTTAAGACAAAAGTATATTAAAACCAAAGGAATTAATTTATTATAAGTATTATTTCTTAAATTTCTTTGATTAAAATTTTATGATTAGGCATAGCAATATAGATTTAAAAAAGTTTAATTAATTTACGATATACCTATAAATTGTACAGTTATTGCAAAGAATATTGGTAATTTGATTTGAGAATGGAATCTAAAACTGTCGCGAGTACCTACCCTATTCGTTTAAATAAAACTAATACTTTTTACTACGCATAGTAATCCGACAAATATTACTCTCTTATAATTGTTTTGCGAAGTTTCTATGCTATCATAGACTGATAAACCTATACTTATTAACTTTACTATATTTATACGACAATATTATTAAAGTACTATTATAAAACAAAAACCACGACAACTCTAACGTAAAAAAATATAAAATGAAATATGCAGGGCATCATATGTTTAGTTCCTCTCATCTCGTCTAAAATTGAAAAGTCGGGATAAATAATTAATTACGCGTAGAACATCCAAAAAATATCAAGTACCTACCTAGGTACTTTCATGTCCATAAATAGTCGCGAAAATCTTAGATCTCATTAATTCTCATATCTTTACAGTGCCTCTTATTTAATTATAAGTTAAGGTATGAAAACTATTATAATCTCACCTGTGCGGCCATAATTCTCTGCCGCTCCTTTATCAATCCACATTTCGGACACTGACAATCTCGATAAGCACAAGACTTCTTGTGTCCTCTCAGACTTGATATAAGACCGTGGTTACGACATCTAGCGCACTTCGGAACACGGGCTCTGCCGTTGTTCATTTTAAAGTCAAAACACAATTATATATGATCAAAACTCACAAATGATATTAATTATAAATGTCAAAAAAACCACATAGTAACTTTAGAACCGTTATAAGAATATAATTAGATAAATCTTCCGCCCACACAACACTCCGCCCTGATACTATCGATAAGCTTGAGTATTTATTTCTTATCGTGAAACGGTAGGCGTCGCTACAATAAGCTTGTATCCTGAACATGAGAACATCGACTTCATATCACAGGAGTTAGAGTCAAGTTCCTAAAATCTTCCCAGCATCCCGTTCACCCCAAGCCGCCCCCGCGACGATAGTCAACCAATGAGAATCGAGAGCAATCTTCATTGGTTACAAACTTCAGTTGGAAAAACAACGGAAATTGTGTAGCTTTTGGCTTGTATTACATTTATAAAAGCAACAATGTCAGTGTTGTAGGTGTATTTGAGAGTGTGTTTACATTATTATATTTCATATATATTGATTTTATCTGTTTCTCTTCGATAGTAATAATACTTTTTTATTTGCGTTTAGGTACTTTTATATTTCTTGGAATTTGCTTAGGCAATACCTAATATGTATTAATTACTCTCTACTTATTATACTTATGTAGATATATTTTTTCGAACTAAGTAGCACAAATGCCGAAATAGGTATTTTATACATTAATATATATAACGCTAATTTTTTAAATTTGTTCGATATGAATTACTAATTAAGTTTTTTGTTAAGGTGTGAGACTACCTTGGTAGGTAATTTAGATTTAAAACTTTCAAACTTCATGAAAATCAGTTCAGTAAGTAGTTGGAGTTTGAGAATAGGTAAAAGGTATTAATTAACTTTTTGATTTACAATTTAATTAAAGATTCGTCGCTCGTGCACTTAGGACATTTTAAATCAAGCTTGAAATATAATTTCCTTCAAACGAAAGAGGAGTTAAAACTCGAAGAGTAGGAAACGAGCTGAAATATGTAGGTAACTAATATTCTTCACTCCTACTTTCTTCTATGAAAGGATAATATAACTATAATCTACAGGCGATTTCGCATATCTTTAAAGGCCTGAAGTCAATTTTGAGCAGAGCACTTTATGGATAATAAAATTTTAATATTTCTTTTAAATAACCATTTTAATGATGAACTTAAATATCATTATTTAAAGATTATTTTATATTTATTTAACTAAAAATAAGTATGATGACTAAAAATAAGAAAAATCCTTAAATAATATCTACTGTATTTTTTAAGATTGCTAAGTACCTAGTAAGTACCTACGTACATTAAAGGTTATAAATCAGTCTTTGTTGAGATGTAAGTAATATGATAATTTGTTTTTTAAACTTTTTGCGTTTAAATTCTCGGTCTTAAAAACTAATCTCCTATTATAGTATTTAAACCCAAATAATATTACAAAATCTGCTAAAATATAAAATTTTATAAATAATAAATAAATAAAATATCCAAAACGAAGATAACCTTTTATATTACTCTAGCTGTACCCCGCGGTGTTACCCGCGGATTTCCGAGATTTTCAGGATGTAAAGTAGCCTATATATTATTCCTGGACGTCAGCTTCCTGTATATAAAATTTAAAAAAAGAAGTAACAAACGTACACACACACTCACAAACTTTCGCAATTATAATATTAGAAGGATATCTACCTAATAACATTTTTATCCTTATTTAAATTATTAAGAAATTTAAAGTTTTTTACAATTATCTGGGAGTAACAATAAGCATCCGGACAACATAAACCTATCTTCGGGAACGGTTCCAAAAAATTGAATAAGCGGTATCTACCAATTCAACCGCAGTAGTTCTAATAATAAAAAGATAGATTACATACTAATGTCAATGTCAACACATGACAGTACTCAGCAGGAACTTTCGCATTAATTTTAACTTTTTTATTTCGTTACTTCGTGTTTTCTCTACACAGTACTCAAGATTATAATTCGTCCAACAAAAAAAAATCGTTGACATTGCCAATATATTCCACTATTATAGTGCCAATGAAGCCATAGCATAAAAAAAATCGTCACATTACATAATTTTTGGTATAAAATGAAGGAAATTCAATTTGAACGAAGTCAAAATTTTAAAAAAATGCCTTTTTCTAGATGTTTTATATTGGTCTATCGAAGTATCCATGTTGTGATTAATTTACTAGTTTAGGATTAGTTTACGAATAAGAAATCGCACTAATGTAATCTCATTTTAAGTTCGGCTTAATTTAGAAGTTCTATATTTTTTACAAAAGTATCTGAACTATTTCGTATTAATTTCAACTTAATGCTTTACATGTTTTTAGGAAAAAGGGATATCAAGTAACCAATGGACAATTGGACTTTACAAATCCCGCTACAGCCATTTTTATTTGGTGATTCTTTACTCTGAAAACTAATATCATTCTTAAGTTATTCTCTGAAGTTATGAGAACTTGCTTATTCTTAATGATAAAATTTTAGAACAGGTAAATATTTTCTTAGAATTCAAGACATACTTTTCTTACAAAGTATCTCTAATAAAAATACCCATTTACATTACAAATTATTTATTTATTTTTCTTTTTTTCATGTTGCTTAGCTGCTTTTTTCTTCATAATTTGTATTCTTTTATCAGCAGATATGATATTTATATTTGGAGTAACAACTTTTGATGGTGATGAGGAGGCTGAACTACTGCTAGATATTTTCACTGGTGTGGTAGACCCTGAGACTTGAGTAGGTGACTTTGGTTCCGAAGCCTTGGTTGGGAAAGCCGTTGGAAACTGAGATGATAGACATGATGCACACTTCCATCCCGATGCCATGTCATTATCACTTATAACGGGCTTGTGACAATCCTGACGACAAATAATATAAAGTTATAGTAATTTATTTGAAATAACATTCATGCTGACTAGCAAACAGATCAAAAGCTTTTAGAATGAAATCAGTATGGTTAAATTGTAGTAATTAGAATACAAGTCAATTTATAAAAGTTAACAAATACCTGATGGTAAAGTGCATGACAAACATCACATTCCACTAAACGATTTCCAGCCTGAACTGCAATTTGTCTGCACACAACGCAATTCAAGTCTTCTTGTAAGAAATCGAAAGATAAATCTCCATCCATAACTGAACAATCGTCGTTCTCCCTTTCAGGTATTTGTATTTGTTGAGGGCTCTGTTGCGGAATTGCAACTGTTTTCGTAACATTTTTGTCACCTTTGTGTTTTGATCTCGAAGGTGATTCCATTTTTTCCTCATTTAAATATTTTTTTGGGAGTACATTACCTAAAGTCTTTGAATTACCGTAAGTTTGACGAATCATATCATCCAGAGTCAAACGAAGTTGCTCTGTTGAATCGGACGCACTTGAATGAAGATACTTTAAACATAGTTTAATAGAAGGATCAAAATCAATTGAAGACATTATTAATATATAATTAATCAATTTCAATTTAATAATAATCAAAGTGTTTTCAGTTTATAATTGGCAAGCGAATTGACAGTTCCTAAAAGTCTCAAACCGAAATGTCTTCTTATTTGTTGTTCAGATTGAGCAAATGTAGACATTTAATAATACTTTAACTTTATGATACCTATTAAAAAAACTTAATTAAAATTATATTAAAAAAAATAAAGTATTCAACTCTTTATTTACCTTAGAACTATAAAATATTTCGTTTTAGAACTGATTGTTTCTTTTTAAAACGTCAAATGTCAGTAACAGAAAATGAGATCAGACCCCTAAATTCAAAAAGTAAACGTGCGAATAGATGTTTTCGTGTTTTGTACAAAAAGACTTAAACTAGTTATCCTTTCCATTTCCAAGACATAAACAAGAGACCCTTCTTTTTTACGTTTTAAATAATTATCTTTGTGTGGACAAAAACATACAGAGTTAGTCACTACACCTACGATTTCATTCGTTTCATATGTTTTTGTTACATTACAATGATGTTATCCAAGAGGACTTATTGCAGTGTCTTTATTTTTTTAATAAATATTTCTGGGCAACTATGTAACGTACAAATAGGCCCTGATCCCTGGGATTACGTTAGTCCTATAACTTTTGACACAAATAACAACGCAGAAATACCACCCGATCTAAGAACTGCGCCACCAAAAAAAGTACAAACTAATAACCTGGCAACAGGAGAATGGTTTTACAAACGTATTTTAGCTTTTGTTTTAAAAGGAGGGCAGATTAAGGTAAGTTGTCATTTTGAAACATTTTAATTGTTATAAATCAAACTTGTACCGATTCTTAAAAAACATAATTTATACTTCTTGACCATTGTTGTAATATAATTTAAGCAATAAAAATTTATTTGTATTTTATCTCTGCATTTCTATGGAAACAGATTATTACTTTTTCTATAGAAAAATGAAGACGGCAGTGTTGAAGTATCACTACAAATGAGATATAACACAGAGCATTGGAAAGTTCTCAATGAATATGTTCTGCCGAGTAAATCTCTGTCTGAAGACATGTATAGAAGATCAATGGGCTATATAGAGGAAGCTATCTATAAACCCACAATTACCGAAAAAATTGTTATGGCTTGGCATGAGCATATTCAATATTACTTTACTGAATACAAGGTAAAAAAATTGCAAGATAAAATTATACAATATTCATATTTAAATGGAATAATTTATTTGATATTTATGAAACCAAATATTAAAGTTGTATGCAGATATTTTTTGTTTTATTAAAAGAACATTATTTGCTCTTTTTCAGAGAGAAATAACATGGCTATTCAGTATTACAGCAGGTATCGCTACAATCATGTGGTTATGGAATCATATGTCTCATAAACACTTGATATTTATTGTATTTATTGCACTATATTTGTATGAAGTATTCACATCATATAAGGTTAATATACATTTTTATAAAGTAATTTTTATTATAGTTATACATAAGTAATCTAATATATCGTTCTCTGATTTCAGGAAGCAGAAAAACAGGAAATGGAAAAGTTTATGCAGGCCATAAATACGTGCAAATGGTATATTTGGACCTCAGAATGCGAGGTCCCGCCACCCGATCCATTAATATTCATAAAACATATGAATCCTCTTAAGATTGGAGTAAGAATGTTTACAATATTGATATCAGAACCTATGTTATGTATCAGCGAAACTACTAAAGTTATGATACATGGAGTAACAGGTAAATGAATTTTATTTTACTATTTCTTTTATAAACTGTTCTTTTAACACTACAGTAATGAGTTTTGGATATAATAATACAGAATATAAAATCTTAATACATAGTACACTTCTTTAAAATTGCTTTAATGAGTAATATGCACATGTTGAGTACGTTTGTGAAAAAAATTCAGAAATTTCTATTTGTTTATTTAAAACTTTTTTCTTTTGTCTCCATATTCTAAATGAAAAAGAAATAAGTGACCTCATGAAATACACATGTGCTTTATAAACACAAATAAAACTCAAACAATTGGACACAATAATTAGTAATCTCATATTATTTACCAATACATTCTTAACTGTCATTATTTAATAGTTAGTACAATAGACTGCATTTGAATTGAATATTAATAATGAAATATCTGTTTTTAATTGTATAACTTTATTATTTAAGGTTTTGATACATATAAAAAGCCAATTATTAATGTGTTAATTTAATTATATTAATATAATATATTATTTCAACAGATGGTCTGTTTTATCCGTTTGACAAGATCGCGTATGGAGTTCTAATGATATTTTTGAATATAACATTAGTTTATTTGCTTGTAATGGTGTTATTCAATTTTGTACTCAACATACCATTCGACCTCAGTTTTGGATTGGTAAATATTGCATTGAAGCAGCGAGATAGATCCATACCGATAGTGAAACACCAAGAAAATCCACAAGTCCAGGCAGTTGCAAGCGGTGATAGAATTAGCGGAGAAAATTTAAATAAACTTCTAGATATTTGTTCAAGAACACACCTAACTCAGAAAAAACCCAACGAAACCTTGGCCATAACATGCGAACCCAAAATTAAAAGATCATCAAGCACCGGCAGATTGCCTAGTTTGGCTACTTATGATGGAAATCAGAATAAATTATAAGTTTATATACAAATACTCTAAACTATACCTATAATGTACAAACTAATTAGTGTCTAATACAATAATTGAAGGTGTACAACAATGTTAATGTAAACCTACAGCTTTCTTAGTAGGTGTTTTCATAGTCAACTTAAAAACTGTTAATTTAAAGTTTTTCTTTCAACACTACTATTTGGATATTCCCATGAAGCTAACCATATATAAAGGAAAAAAAAAACAGTTTATGTTGATAATGTAAAGTTTTAGATATTTTTATCCTAGTTAAATGCGTCATATTTTTTGTCGCGGGACAGAAACCCTATTCCAATTTCTGTATGTTTCATATATTTTGCGTTAATCCGCCATAATAACTTTTGTTGTGATAATGTTTTATTGTTTACACTTAATGAATTGTGATTTTTTATTTTAAGAGTTATGTTAGATTTAAGGGTATTTATATTTTTAACGCTTGTAAATAAAATAACTTTTTTATGTAATACTTTTTTTATTATTTTCATTTCGTGTTATGATGCTCGATGACAAGTGAAAAAAAATATTATGAATCGCTTTACTTTAACACGTTTGGTTCGTATATAAAGCATTAATTTATACAATTATCAGAAGCAAATTCTAACTTCATTTGAAATACAATAATTACCATTGGTCAACAAACATTCGAAACCTCATAGTAAATAACGACGTTATAATAACAAAAAAACATTTAGTTATATACAAATACTCCATAAATTCAGATTTTTTAAATAAATACAAGGAAACATTTATAAACAAAAACATTTTAATTTCAATTCTGAAAAAAAGGTCGATACTATTAACCCAAGTTTATTAAGACTTACGCAAATTTATGGAATAATAAATAAATAATAAGAAATTTACAACTGATGTAACAATAGATTTTTATTTATTTTTTGCTGAAATATGTTACGCTATTGAAATTTTTCTTTCACAGAGTACATACCTAATTCCATTCTAAGAGTGTAATAAGACCTACTATCTGACACATGATTACTGATTAGGTACTTATATTTTAAAGGAATGATTTGAATTCAAAATCGTTAAAAATTTTCTTTAAAAGGGATTGGGATTGCTACAATGATCACTATTATAAACCCCTATTTAATATTATTGCCATAATGTTCGGGCACCACGTTGTTAAAGATAAAACGTTAGTATTCTATTTTGAATATTTATTACCTTTATTGTGAAGTTACTATACTTTAGATTTTATTTTTTAAGCTTCTACACTATAATACTTGGAATCTACTACATCTTAAGTTTTTTTTTTGGCATAAATATTGTTTAATATGAGATCTTTTTCGTTGGGATGGATAAATAATTATTTTTTTTATAACTACCTAATCCAGAAAAATTTATTACAGAAGGATTTAAATGGATGTCGAAACAATAAATACTGTACTCACCGCTGTTTAATTTTTTAATTGTAACATAATTCTGACACCAGCCTGATAATTTCAATTGGTAATGGACTGTTACAAATATATTTTTACAAAAAATCAGAGCATGTTAAATTCGATGTGCCATTTATTATTTAATAACAAACTATTTATTTCAAGAGAATAGTCGGAAAGCTAAACTAATCAAGCTTGTGCTAAGAGTAAGCTTCCATAATCGCATCTATATAAATAGGACAATTGCGCCAAACTCACCTCCCTCTCATACGCCTTTTAAAGAAATGGAAATCTTAGAACTATTAAAAATGAGATCATTTATTAGAAGCTTAGACAGAGAGCAAAACTTGACTTCAAAGATAGATAGTTTTGAAAATAATCTGAATATACTCAAAAATGTGTTCAACTTCATACAAATAAAACATAATCGCGCTCAAAACAATGAAAGATAGAGGAAGCTCAATCATGTAATTTATTAATGTATATTATATCACCATAATCAATGAATATTATTAACAATTAAAACGTTGTAAATATCATATCGTAGAACATTTTATTATATGATTGAGCCCCATACAACTTACATGTACATACCACATTAAACAAGATTCAATCATAATCAACACATATATAAAACATAAATAGTTAAAAATACATCAAACAACATTAAAAAACTTTGGTCCAGTTTTAACTATTCAACAATCTCTCTTTAATTCTAATTCTTTGAATTCTGATCACAAGGCAATGTTTGGTATTTATTTGAATAAGTAATTTTTGTATAACAACTGGAATGTCATAGACAAATACCGCTCTTTAAGCTTCGCGAATTGCCCATTTATAATAATAATTATCACCTACCGCTGCTTGCTAAGCAACACTATACAAATCAACTTTCCTATATATAAATACCTTTCCTAAGGATAACCTCACTATGAGTTACATACGTGATAAGGATAATCGACTAGATAAAATGTTAATCTATGGACAATTCTAATTGGATATGTAAGTGAATGATATTAAATAAAGTGCATTAAAAACTAGCGAATGCTACTTTTAAAATACTCAATAATTATGACAGTTAATTAAAAAAAAGATGTCATTGTGATAGCAATAAATGGTTTGCTATGGTATCTATTATTCTTAAAATAATCTCAAATGAGCATTCAATGGAAAATATTACTTAGATAGTAAACTCTTTGAATGGATGACCTGTATTGAGGAAACTTTACTGTTGTAAAAAAACTAAAGCAATTTGTTCTCTTTTGGCACATTGTGGTATCTAACAATGACATCTTAGGTTCTAAGCATCTAATGATATTAAAAGCAAGTATTAATTACTTCGTAAATAAATTTTTGATTATTTTATTTGAGCTGCTCATATTTATAGTAAAAATCACAATTTCTGACTAATGTACAACTATAAATGTTGAACAAACAAGTTCATTTACCAGCTGTTAAACTGCAATTCAATATTAATCAAAATAAAAGACATGTCTATAAAATAAATGACTAGAACAAAAAGATTTTGTCTCTTACTTGAGTGTACCAAAAGCTATAATGATTATTACAATAACTATAGTCATGAAGAATCAGTGAGTTGACATTTAAGTTATGATCCACATTCGAGGCAAGCTTGAAACAATACTATTTTCAGGTACTATAATCATTAACCATCCTTAATGTTACTTCAAATACAACATGATCATTAATAAATCAGCATATAATGCATAACAGTTGTCCTAGAGACATCATTTCGTTGTAATTTACACTATAAAATGGAATTTACCATTCAATAAGTGTCATCTCAGTCATTATTAATAATAATATTATGTAATATGCAACTAGTGTAAATAAGTAATTCTTAATAGCAAAATATACATTTCAACACTAGGGACCATAAGTATGAGAAAACTAATATAATAGGCATGAAATTATCATACTTCAAATGTAATGTGATGTAACAAATAAATTAAATCCTAATAAATTTGGATTTATGACTAGAAAAATTACAATAGTTATTGTACAAGTAATAAACAACATCAGGCATCAATCATTACAATTGATATAAACAGAACAAAAGTAATATCAATAAATGAAATAAAATATGTGTGTAATAATATGAATGGCTTTAAAATACATTAATTTAATAATATTATACAATAAAATAGGAAATTGACTTACATGTAGCTAAATAGCACAACAAGAATTTACATTATGTAATGAAAGATGTATTTTATGGCATGGATCTAAACTGTAATGAATCTAAGAGAAACTATCTTAATATACTCATATATTGTCATTTTTATAACACAATGTTGCTTATTACTTGATACTTTTAAGATGTTATAATTACCAATTAATCATAATTACATGACAAGGCATTTCTCTCTACCACTAGCCGACGGTTCGCCACCATCTTTTACAACTTTATCCTTTTTCTTCTTACCCTTTCCATCAACTTGAAGTGACACGTTTCTATTCTTTTCCATGTTAAGCAGCTCCTGAAATGTGAAAATAGTACATATAAGTTTCAAATAAGATGACAAAGAGAGTGTATATACATATGTATAGTCATTATAAATACCTGGAAAAGCTGTGTCACATTGTGATTAGTTTTGGCTGAAGTTTCCATGAATGACACTCCCCAGTTTTGAGCCTGAGCCTGACCCTCGGCAGCCGATACTTCCCTTATCTCGGGAGTCTCGTCACACTTATTACCGGCCAACATAACAGGTATATTTGGTAATTCGGCACCTTTAATCTCTTTTATTGTCTGCCATATTGGCTTCAATTCCTCCAATGATTGCCGACTGCTAACTGAATACACCAGTATGAAAGCATGGCCCTGAAATATTGTAATTATTTTTAATGTCATAGTAAAAGATAATATGACTTGAAAATGGTGTGAAATCATTACCTTACTAATAGATAACCTTTGCATTGCTGGAAACTGGTGTGACCCTGTTGTATCAGTTATTTGAAGAGTGCATATAGTTTTGTTGCTGCTTATGACCTATAATTACATAATATTACATATAAACTTATTTTTATATTAACTTGTATGTATTCTTTAAAAGATAAGTAATAAGAATTCTACATTTATCAAAATGCAATGTAATATTAATTATTATGTTAATAATATTCGTAAAACATTTTAAACATTTTTAGTAGAATTTTATTATTTAACAATAATTGGAGTAACCTACTTGTCTATAAGTATCTTCAATCGTTGGAATATATGATTCCCTGAAGGTACCTTTAACAAATCTCAACACTAACGAACTTTTACCAACACCGCCTGCACCAAATACAACAACACGGTAATCATTGCTCTGCTCCGGCATCACTACTTTTTGATCGAAATACTTTTGTAAAATCAATTACAAGATTGCAGTTTAATAGCAATGTACGCGATCCCTTTATAGCATCTTAGGCGTTGTGAATGAGATACCTAGACCAGACAACTTTATTTATACTTTACAATTTCATGTATTAGTAATTTATATTGCATTTAAATAAAAACACATCCTTAAATTCTCCCATTTACAACGCCCAATCAACATACACAATGATTATGACCGCAAAATGCTAGACGACAGCTGTCAAAACTGTAAAGCAGGCTTCCTAAACAAATCCCAAAAAAAATTGTTCCGGTAAATAGTGATTTTAGTAAGAAATATATTTTTTAATTCTTGTTTATATTAAAATCTTACTTATATATACTATCACAATTTTTAAACGTGACGTTGATATAGTCTGTTTAGACGAACATTGAGCATTGAGCAAGGAACAATTTAGAAAATTACTAAATTACAAATGGCTTCCGTTTTCAACTTTCGGCTGCCGTATTTTATTGTTGGCATGGTTTTTTGAAATAAGGTTCGTGGTCAATTTTAATCGTCATCAAATAAGAGATCCATGGCGGTATTTCAATGCACACATTATAAAATAGTGTAATATCACATTTTTATATTGTACTAAGACTTAGAAGCGTGCCGGTTATGTGTTAGAATTTGTGCATGTTTTTCTAATCTATTTCGCATATATTATGGTGATAAAGCAAATAAGTGAAACAAATTAAATTCTTATATTTTTTTTACCTCGATCACATCTCTTTAACTTGTCTTTTTTTTTGCAGGCTGCGTAATTAGTCGAGACGAACGTGTTCGATCGAATTTCTAGGTATTTTAGTTGCCAATAAACATGGGCATACAAGATTTACAAATATTTTTAGAAAACGAGGGTGTAGGAGTTGATTTGTTTCGAATTGCCCGGACACAACCAGGAGGCTTTAGGCTTGTTCTTGACGCTGAAGGATGCCTAGACAGACTTTACGGAGGATATTTTTCAGGTACTCAATACATAAAAAAAAATATCATAATAATAAAATCCACTCGTACAACAATTATTAGAATATGAAGGTAGTTGAGTTCTTCCCGTATGTTATTATACTTTCGTAAAATTTACAATTTACATACATATAGCAATCAAAAATTATCAGAGAAGGAAAAAAGTCCATTTGCTAGAACATAAATATATAAAAAACTACACATTCGTAAGAAGATATTTTTTATGGTAAACTTAATAACATTAAATTTAAAAGTTGTTCAATAATCATTTAATTTAACATATTTTTCTATTTTTTTGAGATATTTCTATAAGACTAAAATTTCTACTTATATAAAATTGGTAAACTTTTCATAGATTGGGCATGTGGTGGACAATGGGCTCGTTGTGTCCAATTCCTTACAACACTAGCACAAGCTTTAGCTGAACATCAAGTAGCATTGTGTGTTTGTTTCAACGGAGCTCATCCCACTCCTCCGGCTTTGCCACAGCACTGGATTCAAACACAATCTACATATAGACAGCGAGTTAATTCTGTAAGTGGACTTAAACATTACATTTTCTTCTAGTATCAATTGAAATAATACTTTGTCATGACTGATCTTAAATATCTCAAATTATAGCTAGGAGTATTAACTATGTTTATATTTGTAGGTATTACGTCATATTGCTACAAAAGGTACTCCTCCTCCAAAAGTATGGTGGGTTCCTCCAACGGGACTCCATTCATGCCTAAGAACAGCTTTGCGATATCTCAATATACCAATTGTAAGTTTTTAATATTTCCATTGCTGATATAAGTGATTTGAAATGGTAACTTTAATTTCTTTTAATGTTGTAAATCAACAATCCTAATCATATTTTTAAATTCTAGATGGTATCAACAGATGATCATTGTCAAGAAGTTGTTGGTTTGTGTCGTGAAAAGACCTATGCAGGTCTTGTAGGCTGCTCAGGAGAATACTTAGTATTCCAACCACCAAGATATTTCAGTTCATCGCAACTGAAACTTACATATAGAGTGAGTATGAATGTAATGAGATCTAAGATTTTCTCAAGTATTCATTTAAATGAAACTAATATTTTTTGGATTACTACAAATATTTCATTATTTTTACGAACTACATACTCCCGACGCTTCACGATCACGACGTTCACGGTTGCAGATGGCTAACGATGAAATGCGCGTAGCAATTCGAAAAATATAAGTTTCATTTGAACATGAATATATTTAATATATATTTATATGTATAAACAAATTGATTTTAACTTAATTGTATCATTGTTTTAGTCCTCACTGGAAACCAAAGAGTACATGGTACATGAATTACCTAAGCTTCTAGATGTTCCTCAAGATCGTCTATGTTTAATGGCTGCACTATTAGGGGGTGTTATTTTATCCGAGCAGAGTCTCACTGATTTTTATAAACGTCTAGGGATCGCACAGAAAAAGGTGAGTTAAATTACATATCTTCTATATATATATAAAAATGGATTGCTGTTCCTTAGTCTCGCTAAAACTCGAGAACAGCTGAACGGATTTATCTCATCTTAGTCTTGAAATGTTCGTGGAGGTTCAGGGAAGGTATAAAAGCTGAAAAAAATTGATTCATTACTGGGAAAACTATAAAAACAGCCCTTTTCTATTTCCCATATAAACGTTTTTTTTGACATTAGATTTGACAACTAACTAATATGTCAATCATTCTGTCGCACTTAAAAACACGAAGATTTATAGCTTTGATAGGTAAACTCCAAAAATATAAATAAAAAAACGTAATAGATATTTCTTGATTATAGGGCGATACGAAGTTCACCAGGTCTTCTAGTCTTATAATAATTAGGGATTACATACATTGATAATAATAAAGGTTTATTTTCAGCAACAAATTCCACCAGAAACTTTAATCAAGACAGTCGGTCAATTTGTACGTGACCTACCATCGTCTGATATTGATGCTGCATGTATTGAAATTTTTGGTGACCTTAATGATCTCCGTGCTGCCAAATTAAAACAAGCCGTACAATATTACCTTAATGGCACCAAAGATGGTTTCCTTAAATATAGGACTGCTTCTGGTAAATTAGATTTGATATCTCACTGTTATAGTTGAATACATTAACAGAGCGTAGAAAGTTAACATTGAATATATTGATTCCTTAGGTCGTCGCCCAAAAAACAACAAAAAAAATCAAAAATCAGATTTAAGCCCCTTGTCAACTTCTACGGATATGGACACTTCTAAACTAGCAACCGAATCTTCAGAACATGAGGTTAACATTTTGTCATTATTTAAGTTTTACATCGCTAAGGGTCATCCACGCCTTTTACATCTACATAGCAATTGGTATCCATTGGCATAAACATATTTGCATGTATAACAAAATTGATATAAAATTTTCCATGTGCTGGGTTTGAGGAAGTTTTCACTTTTTGTCACATATAAATATACTTTTTGTACAACCCACGTCATCCACGCTTTATTTCTACTTCCGAAAAGCACTTGGAAGTTTTGAAAAAAAAAATGAAAATAAATAAATTCCAGCAAAAAGGCTTGGAAGATTACAAATTGGCTACAGCAAACGCATCGATTAACGCGGACTTTAGTATGGAGGATCACTGTCACGAGCTAGTTCAGGGAGTAGCGGCCGCGTCCCTCGAGGGCGGAGATACGACCAACGTGATACACAAACAGGAAAAGACAGAGAAACACGCTAAAGAGGTCTGATTATATATGATTTACAATGCTTTTGATGCTTTGAGTGTGCCACTGTAAGTTGTGATGGTAAACATGAACCAATGAAAAGAGATAATTAATGTAAACAAACTTATTTTGCTTAAGTATTCATCATTATGACTGACTTAATTATTTATTACCATAACGAGGTAATCTATATAAAACAAGTTAAACTTATATACTTTGAAAATAAAATCATTGAAGTAATAGTGTGTTTACAAAATTTATCTCGTTTCGTTGGCTCCTGTTTGAGTCCTAATTTAACAATTATTTAATTCCAGGCGCCGTCAACATCTAGCAGTAGGCACAGTGATGACAACTGTCCTCCGGCGCCCGCTGAAGTACTGAGGACTTGCGCCGAGCGACACACGCGCGGCCTCATGCATCCTCAGATGCTGTCAATACTAACACACAGACAGATCACTTTACCCGTATTAATGGAAGACGATAACCACAGAGAAATACCATCAATACATCACTTCTTCAGACCCATCAGACAGAATGTTTACGCCATTCTGTATAATATGCACCATCATCGCTTTATGGCTCAGAAGGCAAAAGGTTATAAAACTACCTTTCAATTAATGTAGGAAATTAAATTGATCTTTTGACTAAGACAGCTAAAGGATGTTTGATTCCAATAATATCTATAAGCAATTAGTCTGTGACTTAGTTTTAACCCATACTACCCTTGGTATTTTTTTATTTTTTTTATTCATATGTCTGATAATTTTTCCAGACGAAGGTATGGCGAGTACATCGAGTGCCAATGATCGACCGTGTACAGTACAAGTGGCTGAATGGATTTATTCACGTGTAAATCCCGGAAAAAGTCCCGAAATAGTTCACGGAGTAGTACTCGACTGGCCTGTACCTACCGTGCAGAGGCTTTGGTTCGGGTGAGATTAAATAATAAATACTAGAAAATTTAAATAATAATGTTAACAATTCATATACAAGGCGCTTAAATACTATTTTATTTAGAATTTCAAAGCTTTCCAACAGTAATTGATTAGTTTTTTGCTTGTTTATTACTTAGGTACAATTAATTTTTTTATATAATCCATGATACTTTTTAAATAAGATACAATTTGATGAATTTAAAGCTATTGCATACTTTTATTTCATATTAACTTTTTTCGCTGATCGTTTGTTTATAAACATTGAATTATCGTCAATGCTTTAATATGTTTAAAAGCTTAATTGTAGCAACTAAAAAAAACTAATGTTCACATACATTTTCAAAGAAAAATTACAAAGAGCATTACTAAGAATCTAATAGAAATAAATGCGAGATTTTATTTTATTTTATACGTGATTCATTCGTTAAAGGCGATTCTTTAGAAGGTACAAAAAAGATATCAAAATGTGTACACAGTCTTATAACTGACCTTATTACGTGGAACACTTTCCTTCCTTTCATAAAATGTTTAATAATGAAACCGTATGTAACGGTAGCAATACATCGAATAATTCCTTAGAGGCCTAAATCATTCTCCTTTCTCTCTTGAACAGAATCAACTTTCGAACATTCACATTTGAAGCCTTTATTGTTTTAGATACAAAATATTTATATTTAATACGAATTGCACAAAGGTGTGTAATTTTTGATTTATTAAACAATAAAGAGTACATTTGCGTTCTAGTTTATACGCCACTTTTTTCAAGCTAATATATGTAGCGCATCATTTACCAAATGATCACGAAATTAAAATGCCTGGGTAAAGCATTCCAAAACTAACTGACCTTCGAGGAATGTTTTAGAAATGATGAAATGATTGAAATCTTATTGCTAAATATTATTGAAAGTTTTGATTCAAAGAGGCTATTCAATGTTTTTACATTTAATTTTTTTTTTATTGCACACTAAAAATATTATAGATGTATATTATTGAAAAGTTTCTTCAACGTGAAATAAAAAGTTTTCGTTGTAAACGCTAATAATCATTGACACAAACCAACCCTTGCTTTTACGACACACATCGTATACTAATTGTGCTAAAAATATTAGCCGATGCTGTCTGGTTAGAGACTTTGAAAATAAGACTTGAAGAATACACATTATCAACTCGTACAGAAATAGAGTAAAATCATTCAATCAAGACATTCGTTTGAATAAATATGTCTTGTTTTTTATCGCTAACTGAATATTCGTTTTTTTAAAGCTTGATAAGTGTTCTAAAATACCTATATGTATGTATAAACTTATTATAAAATTATTGTTGCAGAACGGCTCAAGATGACAAGTGTCGCCGAATGCGGGCGTTCCTGTCTTGTATGAGGTCGGATACACCGCTCATGCTAAATACATCATATGTGCCACAACATTTACTTATTTTGGCCGCAGTGTTAAGGTAATTAGAAAACAATCTGTTTATAATTCATGCCTACTATACAAAACAGAAAATAACACTATACAAAATTGAGTTTGAGTTTGAAAAAACACTAAAATATCATACAAAAAATATGAGTGTACTCATTACACGTGTATAAAAATTATTTATTTATTTATTTTTGTACCAACTGAGTATACAGAACATTATCAATAACAGATGTGTACAAAGGAATATCTTATCTCTTACAAGAGATCTCTTCCAGAAATCCTTAATAATGTGGAGACCATTTGAAATATAAAATTTTAGTGTAGGTACACTATCAACAAACTACTGATTAATATTATAACATTAAGGTAGACTTTTTTTATATATAAATAAATACATTACACACTAAATACAAATAAATATACTAATACATATCTTTATCCCTAACTTACATACATTCAATTTACATACATACAAAAATACATATATAAAAATATATATATATATATACATACACACACATATATATATATATATATATACTTAATTCGAAAGAAGGTGTTGCTTAACTCTGATTTTAAAAGTTCTTACTGTAACACCATTGTGGAAAATACCATCTGGAAGAGAGTTCCATAGGCGAGCGGCAACAACGGAAAACGAGTTATTATTTGTTATAAATTATTTCCCTGTAATATATCTACTGAATATAATAAAATACTACAATATAAGTTTAGAAAGCTACTCAATAATTACTTATTTCCACTTTTCATAATATTTGTATTTCGTTTTATTAATTTACTAATGGTTTATTTCGTGCTAGGTTCATCATGACATCTCAAATTCAAATCCTACGTCGTCAAGAGCTGGATGCGTTTCTGGCAACAGCTTTCTCTAATGATCTCATGAATGCTTTACATCTTCAAGAAATGACGGTTAGTACTAAATATATTACTCTTGAATGTAAAATACTTTTTTAACATAAAAAACATGATTACTTTATAATTAACCTGGGAGAATTCTGAGTTATTTTAAGTTGAAATTATCATTGTAATAAATTGCTAGAAATGATTAAGCCTGATAGTGGCAGTGCCTAATGTATTATAATGTTTGTGTTTTTTTTTACTTTCAATTGATACTCAATTAAGTGGTATGGAAGAAAAAAATAACTTTCACTGTTTCAATCATTTAGTTTTTTAAGTTTAGTATATGAAACGACACCAGATTCAAATAAATATTTGTTAGTTAAGTAAGTTAGACGAAATGCAATTTGGATGAAGATGTGCATTCGTTAGTCATATTGAAATTTTAAATAAGGAAATTGCCAAATAAGATTAAGAAGAAACTATAGGGAAAAAAAATTAAACATATGGTTGACCTCAGTTAGATTTTGTTACAAGTGGATTGGATAAGCTATAAAAACATTTTGTTAAACAGGAAATATTAATATTCACTTTATTGTAAGTTTTAAATATTCATGAAAATTTTATCGCAAATAAAAACTTTCTAATTTACAACAATTATTACAGATGGTAAAAAAAAAATCTTGTGTAGATAGTTGATACTATCGCAATATTTAGGGGCCGTTCAAGTGTTACGTAAGCACTTTGGAGGGGCGGGGGGGTCTTGCTTTGCTTATTTTGAATGACATGCGGGTAAGGGGAGTCTAGGTGATGATTACGTCATCGGTAGTTATTTACTTTTTTATCGTCACATCGAGAAGATCCATAAAAAAATATTTTTTTATTGATTTATATGAAAAAAAAAACAATAGAGAAATTGAAAATGTTTACGTAAGCATGTGGGGAGGGGTTAAGAACTTTGCTTACTTTTGCTGACAAGGGGGATGTGGGGGTAAATATTTATAATAAATCTGCTTACGTAAAACTTGAACGGCCCCGTATTACAATTTGATTATAAATATTCGTTTATAAATATTTGATTGATCATCAACATGTACATTATATTTACTCAACTTTCATAGTATTAAACGAAAAATACATCATAACAGATATCCACAGAGCAATTAAACAACAGTGGTTGCAGGTGAACGGTATGAGTTGTCGAGGTGTACAGCTGGCTGCTCTAGTGATGGCTGGCGCGGAGGCTGCTCTGCTGGCCAACGACGCGTGCGGAGCGCCCGTGCCCTGGCTAGTGGCCGCGCCCTGGCTTTACTTCGACGGGAAACTACTGCAGAGGAACCTACATAGGGCCGCTCACTGCAAACATCTGGCTCAGCTGTGCGATAACCATCTAGATACTGTTGTTAAGGTACATAAATATTCATAATAATAATTATAATGTTTATTACCAGTAAAAATTACAGATATCCAGAAAAGAAATATACAGAGTAAATTACATGTATACAAAAACAAGAATATTTGTCCTACAGAGATGATTTCCATCTGTACATAGGACTGGCAGATACATCCAACAGAGACAATACTATTCAATATGTAATTACAAAGATTTCAAAACTTAAAAATACAACTTATTAAACTAAATGTTAATATTTGTTTGGATTTACTACGCGTTTATAAACTGTTGAAGCTCATCTATCATGGTGAATCCATGGAATGCTGAGCGGTTTTGTCTCATTTTATCTACATAGTCAAGAAGTTTCGGTTATATTGTAACTAATGTGATAAGCAGATGAGAGTGTCTGTCAGTTGCTTGGTATTTATCTACCGCCAATGTATATCACGAATATAGAGTTAAAAATTAAAATCGCGAAAAGTCTGTGGTGGCCTAGTGGTTAAAAGGCCCGCCACTCATGCACGAGTAGCGGGTTTTATTCTGGTCCGGGCAAGTATCAATGGGATTTTTCCGAGTCATATGTACTTTCTAAGAGTATTTAAATATCACTGATTAATGTATTCCCAAAGAGGGTTGATGTCAGGCAGGCGGCCGGTAGTAAAAACAATAAGGCAAAACTATTCACAACACGTAAGGCAGACCCTGGCTATGGCTAGGAAATTTCCAGGTAGAAGAAGAAGAAGAAAATACGAAAATATTAATTTTATTTCAATGAATACTCGAAAGTCTTGGATGTCATTATGTATATTATTATTTATTTATTAATCATTTTGGACCTGTTAAATGAGTTCAGTAATAAATAAGTTATTAATGTATAAATAGATAATTAATATCTTATTAGCAATCGGTTATTACTTATTACTGATCAAACATTCTATGAACATATCGGTTTTTTTGTAATTGATGGGAGGTTCATGTGTTTTTGATAAATAAAAATCTCTATTTTTAAAAAAAAAGTAAAGCTCAAAATTTTTAATAGACGAATTTTATAATATATAGAAAATATTTTCTGCGTTCAATATTTAAAAATATTGATTTATCGATTGCAGGTTGAGCGCATGCGTAAAGCTATTTTGGAAGGTTTGGAGGTTGAATTCGCGATGCCGCCGTTACCGCTGGTCGGCGTGGTGGGCGAGCCATTATCATGGCGCGGGCGAGGCCGCGGCGCTAGACTGGAGATAGCGGGCGTCGTGGTCGGACAGTGGGGTGGCGGGTCATACCCCACACACCCACGGACATCCAGATACCCTCAGGTATCCTATGACACATATTGAGGTAGACATACGATCATATACAAGTATATTCCTTATTACAGTTACACTGACAATATATTTCCAGCAAACACATTAGGGGGCGTTCAAGTATTACGTAAGCAGATTTATTACAATTATTTACCCCCCATCCCCCTTGTCAGCAAAAGTAAGCAAAGCTCTTACCCCCTCCTCACATGCTTACGTAAACATTTTCAATTACTGTATTTATTTTTTTCATATAAGACCAGAAAAAAAATTGGATATTTTTATGGATCTACTCGATGTGACGATTAAAAATTAACAACTACCGATGACGTAATCGATACCTAGACTCCCCTACCCCCCATGTCATCCAAAATAATCAAAGCAAGGACCCCCCGCCCCTCCATAGTGCAAACGTAATACTTGAACGACCCCTAACTGAAATTTATACTAAACAATACATTCAAATGAAACTTCAAAAATTCTAAATTTTTTCTCCTAATTCTGTATTAATAATAGTAATATTTATCATTCCAGCAAGTAAGCTATGTGGGCTACACTCCGCCCGCTCGTAATTCGTACGGCGGCCGCGGGTGGCGCGGCGGGCGAGGCCGGGCGAGGGGCAGGGGACTCACACGAGGGACCGCGCGCGCCAGGAGGAGCCGCTCAGAACACGAACCGGCTAAACCTACCACGATCACTATTAACGGGTAACAATAAACAAAATATAATCAATACTAGAAGACCCGACGAACTTCATATCGCCATATAATCAAGAAATATCTGTTACGTTTTTTATTAAATAAATTTAGGTTATACCTTAGCCTCAAAAACACGTAGTGGTTATGCTATTATTAGTCGCTCATATATCACGTTTGTATTTTTAACATGGCGCCATCTATTGAATACTTAACTCAGTCAACAGATAATTGTAATTAAATGACAAATAATTTTCTTTAATAGACAAATAATTTGCAATAAAATAATATTGTGACTATAAATTGAGATGTAAGCTATCCTATCTTTCAAGTTGGATCAAAATGTGCACGAAATGCAAATCAAATTTAAAATCGGTTTAGTAGTTTAGGAGTTCATCGCTTACAAACATGTGACACGAAATTTTTATACAGGGTGACTGGTGAATTACAATCAATATTTAAGGAGTATACTCGGTACATGATTCTCATTCGAATTATGTAAAAAAAATAGGTACTTAACTTTGACCAAATTTCCGTATAAATAAATAAAGTGTGGATACGTTCCAAGTGTTCCAAGTGTGGACGCGTACGGCGGCGTGCTGATACTACACTACGCTGCCGCACGTGTGTGTGTGTGTGTATACCTAATCTGTAGGGTGTTCACACGATGCGTAATTAATTACATAACTTTTAGTTAACTTTACTTAGAAGTTTATTAATATTTATGTTATATTAATTTTTATTTTGTCATATATGATCGTCAAATATCACGTCCTCAAGTATCGATAGTAATTCACCAGTCACCCTGTATATATAAAGATGTGTATTAAACTAATGTATTGGTATTCTTCTTCTTCTATCTGGCAATTTCCCAGCTATAGCCAGGGTCTGCCTTACATGTTGTGAATATTTTTTGGCTATTTGTTTTTACGACCGGCCGTCTGCCTGACATCAACTCTCTTTTGGAAAATAAACAAAATATATTCATTATGTGTATTAAACTATGTAATGTATTGGTATTATTATTATTGATAGAAACTAATTTATAAACATTCACAGTGTGTCAGTAATTTTTTTTCCTTTAATATAATCTCTTGGTAGTTTTGCGCAATCTCTTCACCGTAATTCACTGTTATAATAATAACTCTTTTCATCATGTTATATACATGTGAAAAGTAATCACATCAGTTGTATATTCTTCTTACATCTTACAAGGGAAGGTTTTAGTGAAAATTATTTAAAAAATTCTATAAAGTTTAAATTCTTAATAATGTATTAAACATATGAAACATATTACTTTCATTTATCTTTCCTTTAAACCTTACAGCCACATATATAAAATGTCGAATATAAATAGATTTGTGATTGAATTAAATATTTAATTAATAATGTTACAGTAAAACCGTAAGGCCCGATGAAATGAGCCCTACAGCGGACAACGGTAGTCCCCACGAAGATAACTCTCAAGCAGACGATGACGGTGAAGGTATCCGCTTTACAGAGAGAATTAATGACTAAGAAACAAGAAGAAAATCATACAAACATTTAATTTTACAGGAACACAACCACAGAAAAGTAAGACTGGAAAAAATATTAAGAAGAATATAACTAGAGGGAAAAAAAAGAATTACAATCAGAAGAGTGACGTGGCTCAGACGTTAGACAACGGGCCCTTAGACACGAGCCAGGTGACTGCGAATTAATATTCGACAGTCCCATATATATAACATGATGATACAGAAAGCTTTCCTCTATACATAATATATATATGAAAAACATTCGTTAATTAGTTGAATATTTTTAGGTGGAGGAATTTAATCATAACTCTGAACAAGAACACTTTGGCCAAGGTGATGCACCAGTTAGTAACTAATTTGTTTTATACAAAGGTAAACTAACGATTTACTTTCAGTTGTAGTAGTGATACTTGTTTTATTAATTTCGTTTGATTTGTTTGTAATTTTTAATTTATTATTTCGAGGAAAGCTCCTAGACTTACCATGTCGAGATACTAGTGCCGTTATTATTTGTATTTTTATTTATATGTGTTACATTCACTAGTCGTTTCGACATTCAAACATAAACAAACAAAAGTATGTAATGGGAATTAAATTTTATTAGCACGTACGTAATATACTGAGGTTGCACTTTTGATATACAAGAACATTAAAATTAATGAGATTTGGATGGTTGGTTGATATCAACCGATATGTATACGTGCCTCAAGATCTAAGACTTCCCAATGTTGAGACTGATTTTGTATTAATATAATTGTCACGACGAGTGTACAATTAACTATTAATATATGAGACGAGGTTTGAACCTCTTTGAAGCAATACAATCTTCAATCCCTGTTAAGACGTCGCCCCTCTGCACGTTTTGTGATTCCGCATATAAGTATGTTAATGTTTTAGTTAATCGAATATCATCGTTTATGAAATGGAATAACAAAATGTCCAGAGAGGAATTTGAACTACATATTGTAGTGGAATATATCTTTATACAGATGTATCTGGTAACAGCTATTATTTGACAAGTGATATTTAGAAAATATATATAAAGATGAACATGTTGGTTGTTAAGTCACGTTTTATTGTGGAAGTGACTTAGTAAATAACATGTTTAGTTTAGCATATGAAGTACTGAGTCTGCGTTATTTATTTACACATAGTATATTTACAATTTACCAAATTATTAATTTTATTTTCTGCGTTTGGTTTGGTCTGTGTGATCCTTTATTGATTTGAAAAAAAAACTATTTTATGAGTTATGAAATTTTGTCTCGATTGTCACTATTTTGGCAGGAATTTTTTCGATCTCATAGACTAAACCAACCAAATTCAGACTTGTTTTTAGGATTTCTTGTTGTATATTTAGGCTTTATTGAATGAGTGAGAGAGTGTTTTTGTTATTATCAGCCGACTATCGAATGCACTGCTGTCTAATGAGACACGGGTCTAAGTGATACTTACGTTTGGTCAATACATTACATTAAATGTGTAAGGGACATAGTCTCAGTATTAATTCATGAACATGTTATGTTCGTTGTCTAAGCGTAAGGTACATTAGATATAATATCGTTGGGAACATGTCTGTTTGAATCTCATTGAGCAGTGTCATGATCGCGTCGGTTGTTTGATACGGTAGTGAGAACGTTGATAAGATTAGGATAGAAATTGCATTTATGGAATGTTGGTGGTGCTTTCAAATTTAGTCTGTGGGACTGCCTGAAACGAGTCTGAAACTCATAGAGTTAAGTCTAATTATAGACGAACGATGAAAATGAAGGAACATTCGAATGTTGAGACTTCCACATCCTATAGGGTATTATTTCGATAGAATATCGTAGACATGTTAGTGATATATTTATATGCATTTTAGGAAACTCAAGATGTCGAATGTTCTTCAATTTATATGTATTTTTGTAAATTTGTTATATTGTTATACTTAAAATTAGCTGGAATGACTAACAACAAATAATATAAAGACAAACACGATGTACTGGTATGTACCGGTGACACGACACCGGACCATCAGCATAATACAAGTTACATTCCATTTGATAAAGAGAATGAGTCGCTACAGACGAACGAACGACGTCAGTAGAGAATGGAACATATGAAGACTTTACAATTTGCTTAAAACCCGGCTGGGACAAGATATGTTGCCACAATAACATAATAATTGATTTAATGATAACGTGATCAGATCTAGTGAATGACATTCGTCGCAAATGATCGCCAAACAAAGTTAATAAAATGTTTGAGTCGAGTCGAGGCCGCACGGCCGTACTGCTGCGGCCGTGAGTCGCGGCACACAACATGTAAACGTATATTATTGCTTGCTTATTAATAAACACGATGTGTAGCATTTAGAATTTTAACTCCAATGTATTATGATTTGTTTAAGAATTATGTGTAACTACATTAAACGCATGTTAGAGGTTTGTTTATATTTCGTGGGAGGTTCAAGATTTTTATAATAACCGGTTTGTACTAAGAGGCATTGTCTACTTTTAACTGTTCTTTGATATTTATTAAATATAAACGGATGCCTTTTACGTTAACGTACCGTATTTGTGCTGCTTGAATATATATACTTTGTCACATATTTTAAAGTTAATGTTAGTGGTGAATCCAGGAAGGATGTAGTTTTTATTTTTTCTCTTAAAACGTTTATTCAGTATAGTTTTAGAATATTCAACAGTGTAAAACCTTTAATCCATTTTATAACTTGTTTGCTGACAATGGTCTTTTAAATATTGTCAACGTATAATAAATATATTAGAAAATATTTGTCATGTAATACATAACACTTTTCGTAATTGAAGTAGCAACATGGAACTGTGGCTTTTTTGAAAACACTTATAACTTAACTACATAAACCCTGCTGTATGTGAAAATATATAAAATGTTCAAATACTACTTTAGTTACTTGGACACAAAAAAAAAACAATTAATAAATAAAATTGTAAAGAGTTGTATTTGTCTTCAAATAAAACGTTCCATTATTAAATTTGTGGTTTTATTTCAATCTTTCAGCTCCAGACGTTTGTGAATCTCTGAAACAGAAGTCCCTTCGATATTGGCTAACTGGTTAATAATAATCTGTGTAGCGTCTTTGATGTCGTTATACTTGTGTAACAGTTGAACTTGGATGGGTTTTGTGTTTTCGTGTTGAAGATACTGATCAATCTTATTTTCGACCTCTAACAGTTTGTTATAGGTATCTTGTTTACTCTTAGACATCTGAAAATAAATATTATGTTATTGCAAACAAATAATACATGTCACCAGAAACTCCAAAACTCCCTTTACTTTGATTAGACACTTGCACCATGTCTTTAGTCACAAGTCGTCACAAAACAAACGAACACAGTTACATTCTTTTAATTAAACTATAATTTTCAGATATATGTTCAATATACACGTAACTAGTGTTTTATGATCATTATTTCATCTCTTCTGAAAGTGGTCGCAGTTGCTTAAAGTTTAAAGTAATAGGAACTGATAAATATACCAAATCGCGTAATGTATCTGAAAATCATATTTTCAAATAAATGTTTATTTGTGAAAAATATAGATACCATTGTCCAACACAAATTAAATTACATAAATGCGGAATTTTTGATAAGACAATTTTATTTTTGCGGCTTTTCGTTCAGCTACCGAAGTTTCTATCAAATAGAAAACTGATTTTATTTGAAAGCTTTTAATTTTTAGAAGAAAACAAAAAATGGGTGACATAAAATGCGGTAATATATATTTTTATCTAAAAAAGAGATATTGATTTTTAAAAGGGGAATTTCAACAATAGCTTTTACTTTTATATTTTTATACAAAACAGATTAGTTTGGAGAAATAAAACAATTGTATTTATAAATGGTTTATTCAAAATCATTGTTTAAATTATCTGTAACACCCATAGCGCAAGCTAACATGCTATTTATATGTCTACCCTCTTCTGATTTGAAAACATATCCATTGGCTTTATCCACTAATTTCTTAACATTAATCAAACTCTGCTCTTTAAACATATCTACTAAATGGAATGAGACCAAGCTGTAGTCTTCAATTATAGACACCAATGCACTATTCAATTTCTTATATTTATTTGTGAAATTATCAGAATCAAGACTATCCAAAAGATAATTTAAATCTAAAACTTCTGTATAGAAATCTATACCAAACTGGAGCTTATCAGCATGCTGCTTCAGTAAATCTACTTTAGTGAGTAAATTAATGTGCGGTAATCCAATTTTCAACATGGCATTCAGAGATAATATCAGTGCTGCTATAAATTTTCCTGCATCAGAGCAGTGGTGTGAATCTATCAAGTGCACAACACAGAGCTGCATATGATTTACACTGGATAATTTACTAAATATATTACTAAGAGAATCATGATGACTGTAGAGCTCCACTTGACCGGGCAAGTCGAATATAAAATTTGTAGCATTATCGCCTTTTATTTGGTCTAGTAACCAATCTAAATTCTTCTCCAAATATTCCATACAATAAACCAAAGCACCATTAGGTCCCAGACTATGTTCTTCCATAACATTTTCAAGACCAATAAGATCTCTTATATCAATATCTGCTTTATATGTCATACATTCATTTGCTGGATCTAAGTTTACGATAACAACTTTTCTATCTATTTTTCTTAATAATTTTGACATTTCACTGCAGTAAGTCGTCTTCCCTGCTCCTGGTGGGCCTATTACTAATTGGCCATATAATTTATTTACAGACTTAAATGTATTTAAAGATTTTGCTGCAATCATTATTCGCTTTCCTCTTTTTTCAAATCAAGTATAATATCTTTGCAAGCTTTTACTGTCTCAATATCATATGATTTGAGATTTATGAATATGTATAGCGGTTTAGTAATTTGAATAGCCTCTGCCAGGTACCTTGCTGCAACTTGTTGATCTTCTCCTGTGGCACCAAAAATAACTTTTGTTGTAAAAATATTATTTGTACCTAAGGGACTGTGGACTTGATCCCTAGTTATCATCAACATACTCCCAATTTTTTGGTATTGTGATACAATGAGCAATATTTTTTCAGCATATTCAGCAAAAACTATTTCTGTTGAAACTTCATCGATATCTGCAGCTATTGATTTAAAAAAGGTTTGTTCACTTTTACTACCGGAATGTTTTATGGTCAAATTTTTCATTATATCTAAAAGTTCCATATTGCCGTTATCTAAAATGGAAATACAAATCATATTGAATTTACAATTGCTTAGTGACAATCTTAGAACAATTATCAAGTTTCACCTTTTACACATGTATTTAAAATAGTGTATTAAATTAGCCTAAAACTTAAAATCCTTTATTTAAAATTTAAACAAACTCTTTAATAAACAACTTAAACCTTGAAACCGTATATCAAATGTTAAGGTTTGTAAAATGCTGACTGCTATAGCATACTTTTATTTATAATATGTAAACATATCACGAATATAGCTTTGCGCACACCCGGCATTTTGTTTGTATTATTACGACGTAATTTATTATCCAAAATCATAACATATAAAGAGTATTTTGAAATACCATATAAAAAACCCTTGCTTTACAATACTCCCCGAGGATGCAATATTTAAACAAGTCTAGTTTTAAATATCAAGTATGTATATGAATTGCAACATGACAAGTTAATATTATGAATAAGTTTCTCACCTCCAAATATTTTTTGTGAAACGAAATTTATTATTAAACACGAATTATCTCAGTAGGTGGAGTCGAATGAAGTTCAGAAATCCTCGGACTTCTGATTATTTCTTGTTTCAATGTACCATAAACGGATAGAAAGATAATTGCCTTGCTGCATCCGAACTCCGAAGTGACACCAATAATGACAATTGTAATTTGTATTTTGTATTCAATTACATTTATGGTATACATTAAAATTCGCTTGTTGACATTATAACAATTATAAATTGCTTGCAAAATTTAATTAAAACTTTTAGTGCTCTATAATTTATCACACCAAATATATAAATTTATAATTGCAAAATTATTTAGTAACTTGATAAACTTGATATTTGTTAAAGAAATAAAAAAAGTAAGAAGTTTATATTTTGTGAATTATTATATTATATATACAGCACATAAAATACAAAAGGGTTTTAATATAATTTTATTATTAAATTATTAAATTATTGACTGACTATCAAAAAATACATATATAATTATTATATAACAGAATATTGCAATTTTCTATAATCTGAATTAATAATATTAATAGGTTGATAATGAACTATAAAATCCTACAAAAAAAACAAAACTTCGTCTTTTTTTCTGATTTAGTATTATACCATAAAACGCAGCACTATTTTGAAAATAAAGAGTAGCAACACTGACATAATATCAGATTGAATGACGTTTCTTTCATCGTTCTTTCATTGTCAAATTCCGCCAAAATGGTAGTGTATTTTCTAATATTTTATATTTAATCTCAAATAATCGTGTGTTTTATTATATTTAAGTGCTATTTATTTTTAACCGTGGCTCATGTTTCATATAATTTTACTATAATTAGTAATATTTTTTGTAAAAGTGAAGTTATAATGTTCTGGTAAACATTTCAGACGAAAGGTACATCAAGTTTCGGTAAACGCCGGAATAAGACACATACATTGTGTAGACGATGTGGAAGGTCGTCCTATCACATTCAGAAGTCTCAATGTGCTCAATGCGGATACCCTGCAGCTAAACTGCGTTCCTGTAAGTCATAATTTACCGCATTAGTTTAAGGTTAAGTTTGTTTTTTATTCTGGCTGAAAATAACCTGCAGTGATTGAGGAGATGTTTTTTCCATCTAATATTTCCTTGTATGTGCAGGGAGATTATATTTGCAGTGAAATAATGATATAAATATGACATACATTGTCTGTCATGTTGAATTATGTTTTCATACATTTCACAGGATAAAATTAACATAAATTATCTTCAAAACTCAGTATTCCTTTATACTCTTTAGATGTAATCATCATTAAACACACCATACTCAGAACATCCAATACATTTAGTGTTATTTTTGTTAATATTATTAATACTTTTACAGACCACTGGTCAGTTAAGGCCAAGCGCAGGAAGACCACAGGAACTGGTCGCATGCGTCACCTTAAGATCGTAAGAAGGCGTTTCCGTAACGGCTTCAAGGAAGGAAAACCCACCCCCAAGAAAGCTGTTGCCTCATCGTAGACTTAATGCTTAATATCAATAAAAAAAATTAAAAAGTACTTGGCTTTTCACTTGAAATATAATGACAATAGGTAAAGGATTTACCAATATACTAGAATTTGATAACACCTTATTTAAATTAATATTGTTGTTAATTATTTCTTATAAAGTATAACGAAGTTTCAAATATAGTGGTACACAAACATACATATAAGATTAAAATCATTACTACTTAATTTGAATTCATCTGCTAGAATTAGCCATATGTGCTTCTAATTATAGAATTATATCAAGTATTCTGCTTAAATATTTTAGTAAAATCATATTGTAGAGAGCTTAAAAAGTAAGTTATTTATAAATATCCATTTTGCCCAATATTATATGGTTTAGATCGCCATTACAGAGTTGAATTAGAAGTAATACCTAAACAAAACTATGTAGGCTTGACAGTACATATACACAGTGGTCATATGAGACAGAATTGCAGGGCAGAAAATTTAATATGACTGAAGCCTTATTAGGAGCATGGGGGAAATGAAATAAAATCCAAGTGTTTCCAAGTAGCTTACAAACAACGGAATAACAATATAAAAAAAGTTTTAAAATTGTCATTATCTCTTGGTGTCCAAAATATGAATGATTCATTAGAATAAAAAATTAAAAGAATTGAAAAAAAAGATAACTAGTTTTAAATGTAACCCTTTGGTCTTACCAGTCTTTTCACTTACTTTAAGGTCTTATTTCTTTTTTTTCTGTACTGTGATATATATTAGATTGATGTAACATCCATAATGAAAACAAAAAAAATGTGAATGGAATTATTGTGAAGAAAATAATGAGTTAAAGATATTATAAGATGAAGACAAATTAGAAGTTATTTCTGGTTCTAATGTTTATTTTCTATAAGTACATTTATATTTTATATATGTTTTTGAAGACAGTTTTCTAATTCTATAGATATTTGGTCGTATTTTTTATAAAAATTTGGTAGTACATATTGTTGTATAGTGTCAAAATTTTGGTTAGACTAAGGGAGAACAAGTAATTCAAGCAAAATATAAAGGTTTTTATATATTTATTCAAGGCACATCGTAGATATGGAATTCTCATAATCCTTTTGATACACACAACACATATATTTATTGTTCTGTTGGTTTTAAAAAGTTACCTATTTATTATAGACCAAACGAATCGACTTTAGGCTGTGAAATATTTGCTCTATTTAGCCCTGACAGGTTTTTTATATGCATTTACAAATTTGAGTTGTAAAAATTTATTTTACACCAAGTAAAATTGTTTATTGTTTTCTTTTGAATAATACATAGTAATTTTACATAAAGGACTTTAACTTAATTTTCTTTAAAAAAAAAACACTTTTATTTTTTTATGCTAAAGGCGGCAACCGAGTAGACCATAGATAATACACTATATTGGAGCAGTCGGCCTAAATGATGTAGGTATAGTACCGTCGCCGATGGACATCCGCAACGAAAATATGCGGATGTGTTGCCAAATTTCATATAATCTTAATCACACATTGATTGCTAATGTTGTCAATTTTTTTGAGTAGATGAATTTATTATAATACACCTGTAAGTCTCAAATATATGGAACTTCCTTGATATAGTTTTTAATGGTAAAAATAATTTTATCGATTTACTTGTGTCAACTTACAATATCTCATAGTTATAAAATATTTGGGCTTTGTGATTTTTACTTATTAAATGGTGGGTTACGTATATTATAAATATATAAAAAAATAAGAGGTTTTTTTATTAATGTCAAAAGTGGCAAACGAGCAGACGGGCTACTTGGTGGGCAGTAGCTACCGTCACTAATGGACATCCGCAACATCTCTGTTGCGGATGCGTTGCCAACCTTAGTTGTTTTGGAATAGGGAGAGATGTAAATAAGGAAATGATAGGAAAAGGGCAACCGGCTCTCTCACTCATCGGACGAAACCCTGCCAATAAAGACTACTTCACGCCGATCTTCTGTAAGAGGGTGATACTTCGAGCCAACCCATGTTCGAGCTGTAGTTACATGACCACAGCTAGGCTCTACCACCTATCCGGGCTGAGGTCGGCTTGGTAACCCGGCTCCTGTGAAAGCCCGGCATCGTCGGGGTGGTCCTAATTGCCGGGATCGCCCCAATTCTCCGAGGGAGTAAGTCCGGTCTTTGCCAGGCCTGCCCAGGCCCCTACTCACTAAACTCACTCACACATCCTTTCCGGCCCGACCAAGGCCGGTACTTGGACGGCTCTAAAATAGAGTTTCACTGCGACATCAAAAAAAAAGGCGCTCCATCACCCATATAAACAGCCTAAGACGGAGAATTTTTCTTTGAAACCTTTCTAATTAAACCTAAAACAAAAAATAGAGTAGATTATAAAAATATTGTTCATGCTTTTATACTAACAATTCATGTTTTGTTATTTTATTTAACAATTTATAAAATACAGACCAGCTTTCCGTTGGCTTGTAATTAATGCCGCCTCACAATAAATTTAGCAAAAACAATACTTTGTATACTTTTTTCAGTTAATTATTTATTCAGACTTATTCTATAATTAATAAAATCAAGTGTAACTCCGTAAAAGGACTTTCCAGATATGGACAGAACTGGTGCAAAAGCAGTTATCTATTTTAATGCAAGACGTTATGATTATCATTAATTTAATCTGCTGAAGTTAAAATTGTAAACCTATAGTGAAGTACGTTACAAAAATAAACACAGTTTACACTATTTTAGCGTGGAGTTAATAAACCAACGGCCATCATGTTAAAAGGTTGTTCTACATCTTACATATTAAATCGGCATTTTTCATCAAAACTGGTCACATATTTTTAATTATTAGGGTTTTGGTAAGAAAATTCTAATTCTAATTTTTAATTGACGAATCTGTATATGTTAATACTTAATATTAATTATTTTTAGATAGATTAGATATTTTTTCTTCATAAATTAAAAAATTGAAAAAAGTGAGAAATGGCTCTAAGATTTAATGATGTGTGTCGTCAAGTGACAGATTTTGGTATCTAAAACAAACCTTCCTGAGATTTTTTTTATTAGAACAGCCATTTTTTTGAGAAAGTATGTAAGAAAAATAAAATAACTTCCGAAAAATATACAACTAGCTTAAGAAAATTCATAACGCTATGAAACCGTTCTTAGTTTTTTTCTACACCATCTATTTTCGTAGAATAGATACCTACTAACATAAAAGCTTGCGTTAATAGAGTAGAGAGTTTGTTTTGTTATCAAAATGCTTTAATGACGGACGAACTTTGAAAATTTAGGAAAAATAATAAGGAAACTCAAGATGACTAGTGATAAATAGTTTTGAAATTAATATAAGTACTTAATATTTCAAACAAATTCTGAAATTTAAACGAGAATTTTAGTCAGATATAAGATTTTTATTTTTAAAAATATATAGAAAAATGCACATGCCCACTTCAAAGTTTTCTCATGACTTAACGATATCGTTTATGTAAAAAAACTCACGAATTTTTAAACCAAGTTCTGGTACCAAATACCAAAGTTATGTTCGATCTCTTAAAATTAATAAACATATTTTTTATGGTTATGTATGGCAAAAAAAAAAACCTTGAATGTAGGTCCATATTTATCTTTCTTCCTCATTATATTTTTAAGCATATTTCCACGCACTTTCTTCTGCTTTTTATCCTAAATATCAAGTACAATAGGTAATTTATTATTCCTAATGACATAAATGATGTCAAATTTGCGGGTGGCCATTAAGTTTATATGAAACACAATAAAATGTCACGACACAATATTTTATAGTATTGAAAACACATTTTGTAGTTTTGTTAATTTTAAACTTCTTTTTGTTTTCGTCAAAATTATCTTACATACGCAATACATAATTTAAGTTCAAAAAAATATTTTTTTACACAATTATTCAGTACATTTAAATTGTGCTTAGTGAATGTGTTCATATTTCATAACCTTCAATTCAAAGCGGACTGCTGTGATGTGATTCATATTTTTAAAACTTATTGAAAAATAATATTTGAAATCAGCGGCAAACGGTATAGTCTATCTCATTCGCACACTAACTAATCGGCTATTTCCGTACTGCTCTGTGTCAGTGCATACTGCTCTCACTCGTCAGTTATAGCTGTCCTCTCGTGACCCGTCCTCTGTCGACTTACGAGTTACGAAGTAAGTTTCGTTTGTCAGTCGGTCAGCCGGTTTGTGGTAGTCAAAACGTATTCATTTAAACAGTGTAAATAACACTTCGCTTATAAGAGTTTATTTATACACTAGTATTGAGTATAATCTTATCCGACATCGTCATTGAGTGATAAGTTATCGTGCGCTCCGACGCTATGATAGCCACATTTAAAGTGCCTTCAAGTTATGCGACTGTTCGGTGATTAATTTTACAATAGGAAGGCAAGTGTTATGTTGAGTTCTCGTTAACAATATTATAATAGGATTGAATTGAGTGACATTTGCCGTGATGTCGTTATTTAAGAAGAAACCTCCGAAGTATACCGCGCCACCGGTTCCTCCCCCTCCAGAGGAGATTCCTAGCCATCAATCTAACGGAGTGGATAACAACAACGGAACTCAAAAGTCGCAGCTTGTGTTCCACTGCCAACAGGCACACGGAAGCCCCCTTGGATTAATTTCTGGATTTTCCAACGTTAAAGAGCTATATCAAAAGATTGCTGAATGCTATGACTTTCCTCCTGAAGACGTAAGTATCTTTCTGGAACACTATACGATAATGATAGAATAATATTGTCAAAAACATGTTGAAGGTTGTAAAATAAATGATGTGTAACTAATCTTTACTTTTTCCGCTAAATGACGAATCAAAGTTTGGAATAGATAATTATAGATAAAAGATTCTCATAATATAATTTAAATTATCTCTTAATCGCTAAATTCCATTGCTTTTAAACATCACTTAACATACCTATTGAATAATATATTTATTGCCCTTCAGCAGTGCGGTATGCCCGTATGTACCTTGTTTTACAGTTTACTGCGTACGTATTATGTCCTTGTTTTACGTTCCCACATACTATGTAATGTATAACATCATATTTCAATTCGAAACTTGGGCTATCATTGAAAAACGCTAAAATCGTAAAATGACTTAAGTTTTTCGTTTTCTAAATGAATTTTAATTCGCCCTTACATATTCGTTTACAACCTCGTCAAAAATACGCTGAAAGTTAAATGATAAATATTTTACCTGTTTAACAGATAATTTGTTATGAAAATTATAGCAGTTTTTATTTGTTCTGATATCGTGTTAATGATAATGAGCACTTCAGAACATATGCTTTTGAAATCACATACAAACACTTAATGTTTTTCTATATGTCGAGTATAGTAACATTAGATAAACTCAATAATATGGACATAGATATCGAATAGTAGAATATTTAGATTCTAAATTACCTACCTAACATTTTTCAAACTTTAAATACATGAAAAACTAACTGGGTAGAAGATAAAATTACTATAATTGATTATCGATTGAAAATGGAATGCATGACAGAATTCTTGCGATTAGAACCCTCATTGTTTTTGTAAGTAACCATCTGACCTGAGATTGAAGTAGACCAAAAAGCAAATATTTTGCTTTTCCTCATATACATATACCATAGTATTTTATTACTAGTTCAAAAATTCTCTTTACACTAACATATAACATTTTACTACAGAGAATGGCGTACGAGTTACGAATTTCTGATTTAACGCTTTCCAATACTTAAATAGTACAAAGAATAAGGTTTGAATGCAAAATTGGTGTTTGAAAGAAAATTAGATATCGAGCTTTGTATAAAATGAGTTTAGGATGGAAAAAAAATTTAAGGAATGTATCTATAATATTGAAAAAAAAAGTCAATAATATTCTTGAACATCATATAAATATTATTATTTTCTATTGGTTATAGCTGTTACACGATTTTCCTTGTTAATGTCATAATTACGTATAAAATTCTATAATATGACAAGAATGACGTATCACCACAGAGTAAATATTTTTCCTCGTTTATTTTTTTTAATAATAATCAAAGGATGCGTTTTAATCAGTATGTAATTAGTTTTCTGTGGAATAATTGTAACTTATCAGAAAAGCATTTATATGTTCATTATAGCGATCGTACATTTGATAAAATTAATGGTTATTATATGATAATAATTAATTAATAGTTATAACAAACACTAACAATTTATTGTAACCATATTACGTTAATAGATTAATTTAATTATATGCCATTTAATAATTATGTTACTAAAAAAAGTAATTTGTAGCATCTTAAGAGGTTATTTTAAATACATAGATTTAAATGTAAGTAATTATGAATATAAGGACTCGTTATCAAGTTTTCGGTATTATTATGAAAATTAATTTATATCATTGTAAAGATTTATATGAATAAACTGCACAAACTCGTATAACGCGTATTACAATGTGTGATAAAAAATATTTTCATGTGCCTACTAGTATCCAAAAAGGTTTTATTACAAAAGCAATTAATTACGTAATTTGATCATTTTTACGATGTATGCCTAAATCCCCAAATTAAACTGGCGTCAATTCAATATAAAACTGTCAAATGGAAAAAAGAATAATCAAAAAAATAAAAAAAAAGTAATTATCCTTGTATATTATAAAAATATGCTGAAAAATTAAATCTTTATCTTTTCAATCGAATGATAAAAGAATTATTATATTAAGAACTACTTAACATGCAGAAATTATGTCATACTTTGTGAAAATGGTTCGGATTTTCTTGATTTAATGAAAGTTCATATATATCAATAATATCAAACAAAAATTATTCAAAATCATCATAAATATTCATCATTTAAAATTTTCTGAATTAAAATTTACCAATAAATTACATATAACATTTAAGTATATAATCATTACTTTAAATACGAAATCTCATACAAAATATCCGCATAATTTCGTTAATTTATTAAATACATTTATACAGGGTGACTGGTGAATTACTATCAATATTTAAGGAGCATACTCGGTACATGATTCTCATTCGAAATATGTAAAAAAAATAGGCACTTAATTTTTGACCAAATTTCCGTATAAATAAATAAAGTGTGTACACGTTCCAAGTGTTCCAAGTGTGGACGCGTGCGGCGGCTTGCTGATACAACACTACGCCGCCGCCGCGTCTGTGTGAGTGTGTGTACGTATACCTAATCTGTAGGGTGTTCATACGATGCGTAATTAATTACATAACTTTTGGTTAACTTTACTTAGAAGTTTATTAATATTTATGTTATATTAATTTTTATTTTGTCATATAGTAATTCACCAGTCACTCTGTATATTTTTACGTAACGCATTACTTGTTAAAAATCACGTTAGTAGCGCTGAAAAACATCGCGATAAGGGAGAAAGTAATTTAAGAGGTAAACATGCCTGTGGTTATCTCACATGATGTATTATTATGTAAAAATTTAAAATACATACATATATCGGTAAATTTCCATCTTTTATGTCTATGTATACTGTCAAAAAATACAGCTTAAAAAACAATTGACATATATATTTTTTAATCTGTGCTTAAATAACAATCGAATCCAACTTTATACAGCCTCGAAAATTTCTTTTAAAAATGTACTACATTTCTCGGAATTTTTCTGAATTCTTTTACGCTTCCATCACTTTCACTTTTTTACAATTGAAATTATATAATAATTCTCATTGAATTGGAGTTCCTGAAATTATTTGGCATCATAACTGAATATAAGCTGTTAAATGTAATTTAACCCTGACGAGAAATTAACAGTGCTCCGAAAACTTGATTTTAAACGTTATAACAAGTTTGCATTATCATAATATATACAAAGTGTTAAAAGTTTCAGATTTAGTAATGTACGTTAATACTTTCATTTGTGAAGTATTTTGAATAAAAACTGGTAACTCTTATGTAGTGTGACCACGAAAAACTTGTAGTAAACATATTGTTCAGTTTTTCGAGCATTTTATAGTGAAACAAGAATAGAATGTATCTATTTAGAGGAAAAATGAAATTATATCTCCTTGCCACTGCAGTGCAAGCTAAATATTCTACTTTAATACCATTTAAATTTTATATAGCCCTAACAACAATTTATATGCCATTTTTATATAGAATAAAGTTTCGTACATAACGTCCATAAATTCTATATATTCATAAGGGTAATGTTTAAATAAATATTATTTAGTTGAAGTCAGTAATATGATACAGTGAGTAAGTATGTTTAGTTAAACAATATAACGTAATCAGCTGCTACTGTTACTCGCCGCCATATTTTCTAAATATGCTTATATTATGCTAAGGTCTTATAAATAATGACGTAATATGTTAGGTAGCTAGCAAGGAGTATTTATTGTGAATCAGCCATACTGCTATACATTCCCATTCTTTTGGTATGACATGCATATTATATTTATCAATACGTATGCAGTGGACGTGTCTCATATGTAAGTAGAAACATATAGATATGTGAGTATATTTAATAGAATTATTATATTGCCAAAGTAATTAATTTGATTTATTTTTTTAAATAAATTTAGTTAGTTTGTTTAAGTATATATTTTTGTATATTAACTCTGAAACGTCAATGGCCGTGACGAATCCGAACGCCGTCATAAAGGTCGAAAAAATGCCGTCTGATATTTCATTATTCACGGCCTTGTTAAAAAAATACATTTCACGTTGTTTGGCCTAATGTGTTTCGCATAAACTTTCCCCCAATGCAAATTGAAACCGGCTAACTTGCTTACTCATTAAAGACGGCTTTGTAATCTAAACCTTTGACTTGAGTTCTCTTAATTCTTAATTAAAATTTAATTAAACGTTCCAAATAATATCGCAATGATTAGAAATGTTCACATTTATATAATTGGCCTCAAAGTGACACTGCGGAAGTACGCACGGCTAAGCCAGGAAGTAAGTGGATATGTCGACCAGGGGCGCAGTCTCTCGTGCTATGAGCGCCTACAGTTCGCCTAAATCTGCACTAAATTATAACTTACACAAAAATAATTCGTAATCACATCGCTTTAAGACTTATTTTTGACTGAACTTTCAATAAATCGACCATAAAAAAGAAAGTGAAGCGTGATGCCTTGTAATAAAGCTTTAATTTGCATCATACGATTTGGAGGAATCATGACTATAGCTGTGTGATGACCCAGTGTTCATCGGTCAAGGACCCGAGCGACGAATTGGTGGCATTCCATAAAACGTTTATTATGAAATTTATATAAATTAAAAATGGAACACTATTAGTGTATTTGATTTTATCAAACTTCTAAAAAGAAGGAGGTTATCTATTCGTCTGTATTTTTTTTCTTGTAACTTTCGACATTTCAACTTGTAATTCTCACTATTCTACCATTGAAACTTTTAGCGTATTCGACTTTTCTTCCGAGTACTAATGAAACCTACCAGGTTACTGAAACCTACATAATACCAAATTTATACAATGAATTGGGTTCTAATATGATTTGTATAAATGCCAATATTTTTTTCAATAATAAAATTTTCTATTTTTATAATATTGATCATCTGAGTCTTTTTAAGTTGTACGCGTGGGTTTCTAACCTAAACTTTTAATAGTGTGGAATGTTCAGCTTTTTCTTTCGTTTATAGAGACGAATCTTTATAGTTTATTATAATATTTAATATATAGGTACCGACACAAATATTTATCTATATACATATACAGGGTGACTGGTGAATTACTATCAATATTTAAGGAGAATACTCGGTACATGATTCTCATTCGAATTATGTAAAAAAAAATAGGTACTTAATTTTTGACCAAATTTCCGTATAAATAAATAAAGCCTGGACACGTTCCAAGTGTTCCAAGTGTGGACGCGTACGGCGGCGTGCTGATACAACACTACGCCGCCGCACGCGTTTGTGTGTGTGTGTGTTTATACCAAATCTGTAGGGTGTTCACACGATGCGTAATTAATTACATAACTTTTGGTTATCTTTACTTAGAAGTTCATTAATATTTATGTTTTATTAATTTTTATTTTGTCATATATGATCGTCAAATATCACGTCCTCAAGTATCGATAGTAATTCATCAATCACCCTGTATAGATACATAGGTATAATGGAAATGTTACTGTTTCAGAAGGAATTTTATAAATTCGTAATCGTAAATTTTCTCCACAGTCGTGTCAGAAATTTTTATGTTGAGTTAAAGTTTGACTTATATATTCGTAAATATAACTTTCTTTTCACGGTAACTGAGTCATTGTCTGACGCTTAATTGAGTCAACATTTTTGTTCACTGAAATAAATCAAAATTGTATTTGTTGTTGTTGTTTCCTAATATAACTTTTCCATATTACGAAATCAGACCCATTAGTGTTCAGTAAGCATTAGAGTACAGAAAAGATAACCATTTAGTTAATTAGGAACCAAATTATGAACTTACATTAACAATTTAGCGAGACGTAACTAATTATTTAACGCTAATCGTTCTGATGGAAAATCTAGTTAACTCCACTTAGCAGTGTTCTTAATTCAAATCCATTTTCCCTCTCTTTTTATTATTGCGTAACTTTATATTTGTATTGTATTCCTATTTTAAATGCTAATCTAATAGAATATTTCCGATATAAGTATTTTATAATTCATAAAAAAACGCAAATAATATATATATTTTTTCTGTAGTATTAAGCGAGGTATAATTTAATTCATAATCTATACAAATGAAAGAAAAAACACGTCTATTGATAAATAAATTATCATCAGACACGCTACAGTTAGGCGTGTAACGGAACGATGTTTTAGACGTTCTAATCTACTTAAAAAACTAAGTAATTTTTGTATGGTTTCAGATATTGTTTTGCACCCTGAACACACATAAGGTGGATATGAAGAAGTTGTTAGGGGGACAAATAGGATTGGAGGATTTCATTTTCGCGCACAGAAAGGGCCGGCCTAAGGAAATTGAAATAGTTAAAACCGAAGACGCACTAGGCTTGACGATAACGGACAACGGCGCAGGATATTCGTTCATAAAGAGAATAAAAGAAGGATCTATTGTATCCAGAATACCGCATATAGATGTAAGATTATTATAACTATTATATATATTACTCAGCGCACATACTATAAATATTTTAATACAGATAAAACAAAGAATAGGTGATTGTGTTATCTGAGAAAAGAATTAATGCACAGATAATTATAGAATTTTATCGTTATAGAATTCTAATTTAAGTTAATATTTTGATTCATAGTTTGACTTTTGCTCAATATTTGGTTGCCGATGCTAATATCAATTAGTCTAAGAAAATATTAATAAAATAATAATAACCTTGTTTTAAAAAATATCCAAAATATGTATGTACATAATATGTATGTCACTGTTAATTTTATTTGTATGTGTATAATAGATATTATATTATTAATTAATGAAATGCCAGTAGTCCTTTATTTGTATAGAGTTGCATTCTATTATCTGCTTATAACACGCCGAAGCTTAATATGGGCAGCATCCGGTGTCATAGATTGCACAGGAATTTATAAATACCAACTTGTTTCTCTATTCTGGTAACATAAAAACATTAGTATTGTAAAAAACTATAAAATTATATTTAAATTTTATTTTTCCGACTGGCAATGATAAAAAAAACGTATTGATATTTCTTGAATACCTATTAATGATGTCCTGTAATATTATCTATGTGGAATTATATTGAATTTCCCGTATGTATTGTTAATATGGAAAGGAAATATTTATGCAATTAGAAAAATTCATATTCGTTCCAGTGGCCCGTATTTAACGTGTGGTCATTCCCCTCGTTAACAATGTTGGAGGAAGTAAACTATTATAGCATTTAACGTTCATTTTAATCTTCAGGTTGGTGATCATATTGAACGGCTAAACGATGAGAATATGGTCGGTCGGCGTCATTATGAGGTCGCAAAACTACTAAAAGAAATACCAAAAGGGACAACATTCACTATAAGATTAGTAGAACCACTGAAATCAGGTTTTGGAAGTATAGGACCTAAAACTAGCAGTGCGAGATCGGGGAAAAAACAAAGTTATGGTTCGGGTAAAGAAACTCTAAGGTTCAAGGCCAATGGACAAGCTACAATAGAAAATGAGGTATCACTGAAGTATAATTATAACATATATTTTACTACAGAATAACAAATATTGCAAATTACATTACCAGTTTGAAAAAACTATATACTTAAAATCAACTAATAATTATTTTAATCCCTTTTTTTAGCCTGACGACAGATCGAAGGCTGGCATAGATAAAATAAACGGTCTACTTGAAACATTTATGGGAATAAATGACACTGAACTGGCAACACAGATGTGGGACTTGGCAGAGGGGAAATCCAATTCGATGCAACTCGCAGAGGCCATAGACAACAGCGATTTACAAGAGTTCGGTTTCACTGATGAATTTATTATTGAATTGTGGGGTGTTATTACAGACGCTAGATCTGGGAGACTCAGTTAAAGATATTATTTACCTTGTATAAATATTTTAAATTATTGTAGTATTAGCCCAACCTTACTTTTTTATTTCTGTAGAAATTGTCATAGCATTGTTTTTTTTCTCTAAACAACAAGGCCCTAAAAAATATTATTTAAGTCAACTGTTGGTGCAGATACTGAACATTTAAAAAACTTACTTCAGTAACCTTTACATCAAGCGGGCGGAACATTAGTCTGTTATTTATATCTAAACTGAAAATACTAAAATTTATTTAAGCTTGTTTATTTATTTAGATTTTATAAATACTGTCAATTCTCAAATTATAATATTCTGTCATTAATTTTCTGTAATCATAATTGTTGGAGTAAAGTTCATTGTCATGAAATTTTGAGTTTCCGAAAATAAAGTTATATTTAAGATTAATTATAATTAAGAAATGATTTTTGATATATATAAAATTATAATACTTTATCTTAGGTATATGAAACTGTTTAGGTATAAGAATTTTCTTGAAAAGATTTGAGATTGCCATTACGAGGAAATTATGTATTTAATTCCATTTCATTGATTAGATAATGGTAACACAGTTTCCTCATATTATGTCACTACTTAAGAACAATTGAATTTTCTGTATGTACATTTAATATTTATGATAAAAATTGAACTATGCATTAAATAATGTCTTTTTTTTATAATCTCTATCCAATTCAAAGTTATTTTTAAAGTAACAATAATAATATTATTGGAATATAAATTAAATTCATTTTGTAAAATACAATTCCAGAAATAATATTTTTATGAACCTTACATTAGTATTTTGTGAAGTAGTCTTAAATATGATAAATATTTAATCAATAATGAAGCAATAAAATCAATACTTTTACATATAATTTACTACCTTTACTAGAGAATAAATGCTACATCAATGAAGAATAACTAACTTCCTAAAATGGAGGACCTAAGAATATACCATTGTATTTTTCTTTATAAAACCTATCAAGCACCCTGCACCCATGCCACTTGACATTTTTAGTTGGTTATCACATGTGTAATAACTTGATACTTTTTTATTTAGATAAACATATACATCTAGCAGATAAACAAAATCTTTGAGATGTATAAATATATCAGATGTAGACCACCGTGAAGATACATGATTTAATTGTTTGCGGGTGTTTGTTCTTAAGTCCCTCTATATAATATACTTCGACAGCGCTACCAAGTTTACGACTAGTGAATACTACTTTTACTACAATTTTTATTACTACAATTTACAATTTCTATTACTACAATTTTCAGTTTTGTATCGTTTATTTACTATGGTTTGACCTAAAATTTAAGCCAGGGTCTAACACTAATTATCAGATTATCTCAAATATTATTTGGTGCGTCAAGTCTCATCACTCGTATATTCGGAGCGAGCATTAAAGTAAAGACTATACCAGTATAAATAATATAATCTATGATTACCACTGTCTCATAAAATTATCTAGGTTCGAATTTCATATAAAATTAGTTGACACTATGTAACATTTTTTATTTTGTTAAATTAGGCAATAAGTTAGGTAGTTACCTAAATAGCCGCTACAAAGGCATGTCAAACGCAGACCGGTTTTTTGACAGTATTAAAGAAATAATTTAAAATATGGCGCGTATTATTTGACCTTGTGTTCGCAATGTGAACTGTGCTTCAACTTTCCGTTTTATATTTATATAAACATTTAAAATTATAATCAGTATTAACATATCAGTTTTATCTTACTTTGTTCGAACGGAACGGTAAACCCACTATTCTTAATGAGATAACGTATTTGTTCTAGTTGATATTACGTAGAAGTTTATAAGAGGCAATTTTTAATATTGTGATCCATTTTTGCGACAGTTTCTAATATTTATTACATATAAAATTACATTTTAAAAAGAAACCTTTGGATATGGCTGTTACCGCTAACAGGTTTTTTATTTTAACATCGTTTTCTAAAGCTAAAATATTTACCGCTGCTAAGGTATGTTTCAGTTATTTCCTTAATATTTGTTTTTTGTAGGTTTATATAAAAAATATATTTTCATGTCATTTGCTTTTTAGGATAGGTATTGAATAGAGTACAATTTAAATATTTTTTACAGATATTATCATGTGCCTCATACAGCACCTCGTCAGAAACTAATAAAATATATAGTAATATAAATGAAGCTGTAAAAGATATAAAAGATGGTTCCAAAATCCTTGTAGGTGGTTTTGGTCTGTGTGGTATTCCTGAAAATCTTATTAAAGCAGTCAACAATAAAACTGTATCTGGTCTTACTGTTGTCTCTAATAATGCGGGTTTGTATTAATTAATAAAAATAAATGTCTACCGAAATCTTCTATTTCGTATGTTTATAATATGTATAATTGTTCAGGAGTTGAAGATTTTGGTTTGGGCATCTTGCTCAAGAAGAAGCAAGTGAAGAGGATGATTTCATCCTATGTTGGCGAAAATGCTGAATTTGAAAGGCAATTCTTAAGTGGAGAGTTAGAGGTAAATTTACTTCATTTATAATAATATTTAAATATTCATTAAAGAAAATGGTAGGATGAATCAAAAACTAAGTGAATCTGATACTATAACTTTTGATTCTAGAACATTAACAAACAAAATAGTTAATTGAAGTCATTAATAAATTTATTTGTCAACAATGGGAGATTTTTTTAATGACTTTAGGTAGAACTTACACCACAAGGAACATTGGCGGAGAGAATCAGGGCTGGCGGAGCTGGCATTCCTGCATTCTTTACACCAACTGGGTTTGGTACTTTAATACATGAAGGTGGCGCCCCTATCAAATATACTGCTGATGGAAAGGTAATACTGACTGTAAAATAATAGAGGTTATTTAAAAATGTAAGCAATACAGTAAATGTTATTAATGTAGATATATTTCTAGATAGACATACCGAGCAAGCCAAGACATGTCCAACAATTCAATGGCATCAACTATATTATGGAGGAAGCTATTACTGGAGATTTTGCACTCGTTAAAGCCTGGAAAGCCGATAGACATGGTAACTTGGTATTCAGGAAAAGTGCTCGTAATTTCAATCCCGCTGTCTGTAAAGCAGCAAAGATAACAATAGCTGAAGTTGAAGAAATTGTTGATGAAATTGAACCAGATTTTGTGCATGTACCATCCATTTATGTGCACAGAATTATTGTTGGAGAAAAGTATGAGAAACGCATTGAAAGAAAAACTATTAGTAAACCAAAAGAAGATAAGCCTAAAAAGGCATCGGATTTGATGAGAGAGAGAATTATTAAACGGGCAGCCTTGGAATTCAAGGATGGAATGCATGCTAACCTGGGAATAGGTAGATTTGATATTTTATATATGTACATAACAATTATTGTCTTTGCTTTGGCTTTAATACAATTTCAAACACAAAATATTCTCAAATTTGTTAGTGAACATTAATTTGAAACCTATAAATCTAGTACAACCTATATTTCTGGTAAACACATATATATAATAATCTTATTCTTGGTTTTTATAATGAAATAGTATAGATGAGAATTTATTTCAATTTATTATGAGATTTCAATTATTATCATATGAATTAATTTTCAAATAATATATATATTACATAAAGTGGAAAAAAAAATTTTTTACTGACAAATATAATGAGTAAGTAGGGTGTATTCTGATATTAAGAAGAAGAAGAAGAAGAAGCACAAGACCTAAAGTTAAGTTTATTTAAAAAAAATTGAGTATACAAAAAATCTCTATTTCTCTATTTATTCTATATTTAAAATATTGTCCTTCATGATTGATAAGTCAATACTGGCCAGCAACTATTATAAGAAAAAAAAAATATATAATAAAAAAAAATCCTTTGTATTCATTTATTCTATATTTAAAATTCTGCTCTATATGTTACAGGTATGCCAATGCTGGCCAGCAACTATATCCCCAAGAATGTTAAAGTTTTATTACAATCTGAGAATGGAATTCTTGGTCTTGGTCCGTTCCCAAGTGAAGATGAAGTAGATCCTGATTTAATTAATGCTGGCAAGGAAACTGTTACTGTTCTACCTGGTGAGTTTATACTAGTATATTTTGAAAAAAAAAGTATATTTTGAAAAAAAAATAGTTTCTGAGGCTGTAAAGATGCTTGTAAGTGTTTCACACAAAAACTACTCCATGAATTATGATGAAGCTTTACAGTTATTGGGCTTGGACACTAGATTAACTTACAAGATATAATTTATATCTCTTTTAGTTTTCTATTGTGGTGTAATAGGTGTATTTTGTATATAGTGTAGTACATGACATCTATATAATTTTTTTTTGCTTTATTTATTCATTTATATTTATTTATTTATTTATAAGTTTCTGCTGGTGTTGGTTTATAATTCCTTTCTTTATGACCTTGGGACAAATTCTCAGCTATAAACTGGTTTCAAAAAAGTCACGGTATAAATTATGCAATCACAGATAAGGTTTCTATATATTATTCAAAAATGTTATGAAATAGTATCATTATTGATAACAATGTTTACATTATTGATAACAATCTTAGAATTCTGTGTGTCAATGATGTGCTCTTCTAATAGCATAATATGTTTACCATTGATACAGTATTCAAGTAAATATTTCTATGTTATGAATAACTACTACACATGCATATATTTATATAGTAAAAGTATTAAATTAGAATATTTTTCCTCGCTTCGTTAGAAAAGAAAAGTTTTAGTGCAGTTCAGTGATGTATTCTTAGCTTTTCGACACTGAATTTTGGATATACGTTCCGTATTCCGGTCCTAAGATTGAAATTGGTAGTCCAATCAAACTTTTTTATAAAAACTACCCCAGATAATTGGACTATCAAACAAAAAAACCTCTACATGATCAAACATTTGGTGACAGAGATCACCTACGTGGATGAATGACCCTTGTCGATATATATATATATATATATATATATATATATATATATATATATATTTTTAGTCTTCCTCTCGTTTCGCTAGATTGGTTCGTTTCTCTCAATTAATATGTTGCAAAATATATGGCTCATAATAAGAATATATAAATTTAAAACTATATAACACGCTTATTCAACAAATTATTACCTAAGTATATATGTATGTTACAGGTGCTTCATACTTTTCATCAGATGATAGTTTCGCTATGATTCGTGGCGGTCACATAGATCTAACTATACTGGGTGCTATGCAGGTCTCGAGATATGGAGATCTTGCTAATTGGATGATACCTGTGAGTAAAATATAGATATAAAACTTAATAAAATTATCTTATTATTCATATGCTAATATCAAAGCTACAGCATTTGTCTGTTTGTCACATTACTGTGAAAGTTTGAAGGAAACTTAGTATATACTAGCTTTTGCCGCGACTACGTCCGCGTGGAATAGTGACTTCCGGCAGATTTTTGGTTCTTTCCACATAGTTCCCGTTCTTGCGGGTTTTCGGAATGGTCGAGTTCCCGTAGAATTTTCAGGATAAAACCTATGTTTTTTTTTTAAATTCACAATGAAGTACTCTTAACCAACAACATATTTATTTGTTTATTTGAATACAGATTAATATTATAATGTTGATACAACTTAAACAAATTATTTCGACCAAATTAGGTACCATAAAAACGGTTTTTGTGATTTAATCTTACAAGATAGACATATACTGTCGCGGACTGTTTTTTAGATCATTAAAAGAGCTATTATTCTTTAACACATATTTTTTGTGTATCTTGAACCGTTTTCACGGCGCACGCAACGGAAGGCTTCAAAGATGAAATAATTTCTCCCGTTTTTTACACATTTACCACTATATCTTTGCTCCTATTGGCCGTAGCGTGATGTTATATAGCCCACAGCCTTCCTCGATAACTGGACTATCCAACACAAAAAGAATTATTCAATTCGAACCAGTAGTTTCGGAGATTAGCGCTTTCAAACAAACAAACAAACAAACTCTTCAGCTTTATAATATTAGTATAGATTTAAATAGCATGAAAAATGTAGACTTCGTTTGATGCTGTTATCCTAATGGATAGAGCTAAAGATAAAAGCTAGTGCAAATAACTTTAATATTTATTATAAGCAATGAGAATGACAGACAATGAAGAAATATTAACAAAATTTAAATTATGTTTTAATTAGTAAACATATGAGATGTCTAGTTTCAAAGGATAATAACATTTATAATTGTTTTTAACTTAAGTAACTATCAATACTTATATAATTATTATTAAATAGTATATATTTTGTAATACATAGTGTTTTAAATATTTCAGGGTAAAATGGTGAAAGGTATGGGAGGTGCTATGGATTTGGTATCAGCACCTCGTACCAAGGTTGTTGTGACAATGGAACATGCAGCTAAGAACGGCTCACACAAAATATTACCGGAGTGCACTTTACCACTCACCGGCAAGAACTGTGTTGATATGATCATTACTGAGAAGGTATTGTATTAGATCACTCCCTGCTAATATTATAAAAGCGAAAGTAACTCCATCTGTCCGTCTGTCTGTCTGTTACGCTTTCACGCCTAAATCACTGATCTGATTTTAATGAAATTTGGTACAGAGATAGAGTTGACCTTGAGAAAGAACATAGGATAGTTTTTATCTCAGACTTTTGTTCTCTTGGAAACACGATATAACCGAACTCGACGCAGGCGAAGCCGCGGGCGGAAAGCTAGTTGTTTTATATATACAAGTATGTATATAAAATTGGTGTTGTTTGTGCTATTAGAATAACCACTTTATACATAAACTAGAATATTATCTGTTTAAAATGTTCTTTGTCTGTCTATTAGTTCCTAAATTCTTTCAAATACTAAATCAATATTGAAGAGACTTTTATTTACGGATAGTTGATGTGATCAAGATAAATTTAGGCTCCTTATACTGAAATCTACCATCAGTATAATTTTTCATATTTTTTTATTATTAGTTTCTTTTAAGTCTCAGCTATAATAGTATAACGAAAATAGTATTGCTTTTAAGAAATATATTTCGAAATTGTTTCTTTTATGCAAGTTTGAGAAATGAAGAATATTTAAATAATTGAAATTTTTGTAGCCCTGATTTAATATTTTCTACTCATGTCAATATAAATATAATTCCATGATATATTTCGGCCTTGATATTTGTGACCATTATAAGTATCATCAACATTGTATATAAGAAACAGGTTTAGGTGGTTATGCTATAGATATACATAAATATAATTTTGCATATTAATCCTGTATTTTCCGGTAATAATTATCAAAGATTATCTCCATTTATTAGTATGATTCCGTAATAGTTAGTTATAGTGTAGTTTATAAATTGGTCTTGATCAAAATGCGATAGTTCTTATTTTTACGCCTACCCAACATTTCATTGTTAATTAGTAATTACCATATTGTAGTAATATTAATATATTTTATTTTTCAGTGTGTCTTCGATGTTGACAAGGAAAAAGGTTTGACTCTGACTGAATTGGCTGACGGTGTCACTATAGAAGATGTTATTGTAAGCACTGGTTGTGAATTCAATGTATCTGATAATATTAAGATAATGGGTGACGTCACAAAACTCACTGAATAAGGTTTTTTATTAACAAATCTGACTTCTTAAATCGTAACCATTTACTTAAAATGTATGATTATTGTGTTCATTTTTTATATTTTATGTATTGTTGTTGGTTTAAATTGTTTTTATATACAAGAATGAAATATTTTATTGTAATTGATATATCAATAAATGTTTTATATTTTTATATTATCTATTTTTTTATGCTTTGATTGTATATTTAAGTTTTGACTTTAGCAATGAGGTTTTAGTGTTATAAAAATTAACTGAATTTGAAGTAGTCATATGACATTAGACTTTTGTTTAAATATAAGACTATGTTTATTGTAACTATTTTATGTTTACTGTAACTAAATATGAATTCTCAAACTCTAAATCGTCCTTACATCGTTTGGGCGTCATGGGTGCTATGGTCTATATCAATATTTTTCATAATATGGTCGCTACTTTTATTCTTCTGTGAGTATTTATTTTCCATACATTTTCCTAAATTGTTTATTATATACTATGTTGATTGTCTTGAATTTCAGATATCAGTGATATGTTAGTTTTAACAGGCACTGATTTAGTGAATGCCGTAGTTCTACTCTCAGGCATACTTATGCTACCTACGAATGTTTATATCGTGTATTCTATTGCGACTGGCCAAAAAATTATGTATGTATTTTTTTGCGAAGTAGTTCATAATTATCATTATCAGCCTACACTACCCCTTTGTGGAGCAAAAACCGCTTCTCACATGGAGAAGGTTAGAACATTAATCACCACACTTGCTCAAGACAGCTTGAAGGACTCAAACTTATTGTAATTTGAAATTATAAGTTCAGGTTTCCTCCAAGTGTTTTCCTTCACCGTCTGTCACTGGTGTCGAAATACTTTCAAAGTACATAACTAGTGCTACGTAGTTACACAAATATTATTTATTAAAATGAATATTTAAGAGTAAAATCTATGTATGAGAAATAGATATGTCATTATTCCTTGGCATTAAAAGGGGTTTTGAATTCCTATAAATTGTAATATATAAGTTTATAATAGGAGTTATCTATTGCTAAATACATTTAAGAGTGGAAAATTGATTTTTTTCAGGTTTGCAGCGAAAGTTATATGTTGTCGTTTATGGACATGTATTGTGGGGATCATAATTGTGAATCTCATTGGAGTCGTTTTATGTATTCGAAAAATTTATCTCTGTCAACTAATAGTCAATAATAGCCTTTACACTAGCATACAACAATATAAAACGGTACCAAAGTGCAAACATTTCATTGACAATGTCCAATGGGGATTAGGTTGTTGTGGAGTATGAATATTTTTTAATCTGTTTCATAATTTTTTTTACTGGTAATCTTAATAAAATTAATATTTTAGGTTAATTCTTACGCTGATTGGTTTACTTATGAATGGCATGACAGGGATCGTGACTTTGAGTGGAGTTCTGTAAGCGAGAGTAGTGAAATGGTTACATCACGGAGAGAAATTGACAGTGTGCCATATAGGTATTCAGTGTTGCCATATCTGTCGATCGGTTACCCAAATTTATTGCAACATTATTTATGAACATATAAAAATTACGTATTATTACAAGAAATCGTTATTAATTAACATCGTCGGGGATAGTGCAAATCCACGTAACTACATTGGTAGTAGATTATCAGAAGAAAGTTTAAGCTGAAATATTTTCTATATTAACGAATTTTAAGGTAATATTTTCACAATTACTAATTATTTAGTGTTTAATTTATTACTTTAACTTTCTTCTGATAATATGATTCCAATGGTAGTTACGTGGATTTGCACTATCCCCGATGATATTATGGTTACAATTTAACATTAATAATTTATTAATTCATAATTCATTCTTGAAATACTTATACGGGAAATATATTCTTTTAAAACAGCTGTTGTAAGAGTGGATCGTGCGTTTCAAGTTACTTGAAAGAGCTCGGGACTTATTCTATAAATACTAATGGATGTGGATATTCAATGTACCGTATTGTTATAATATCTTTGAATGCACATCTGATTATGTTTGTCATTGTCGTCGTTTTAGAAGTTAGTATACCTTAATATCCTGACTTTACCTTATCCTTAAATCCAATAAAATGCCTTACTGAATACGATATATTGCTAATTATTCAACAGGCGTTTCTGTTGAGGATTTTAATATTAGAGAAGAATGAACCAGATATAATCGGAGAGATTACTAAAGGAAATATAAGTAATATAATGAATGTTAATGATAATTTTGAAATATCAAGTGGATCATACCAGTTGTATGATGATGACAGCGATGAAGTTGAAACTGCGAGACGGAACAAAAACATAAGGGAAAATTAAGGGTTTTTTCTATACTTTTGCTAAATGTATAATTACTTAATATCTTAGATGATTATATGCATTAAATGTAACTGTAACGTGCTTATTAAAAGAAATTTTAATTTTTTATTTAGATGTTATTCTCGCCTCTTTGAAAGATTTTATTCAGTGATTATAAAAAAAAAGAAAAAATCTGTAAAAATTATAATTATCTATACCTACATTATACAAGAGTTTAGGGTAGATTAAAGAGACATAACTTTTGTATATTTCTGATATGTGGACTTTTGGACTTTGTTTTATATAGTAATAAATAGTAAAGTTGCAGTAAAAAGTTTCTTTTATGTAATAAAAATTCAACACAACTTTAAATTTTTCGAATTTTTCTTTCTCAGAACAGATTCAAATCTCCATTGTAAGCTAATAATCACTTCTTTTTATGAAAATAATGATATAACTAAATATTATGTATTCTTTAGCCAAAATGTAGAAAAAAAGAGTAAAAACAAAACATAAGACGGTCCATGTCGAGGCGGCGAATTTTACGAGACTAGCTCTGGGCTCTAGAATAATTATTATCTCTAATAAGGAGACGAATAAAATAAAAACAATACATACTACAGATAATAGCGTACAAGTAGGTACACTGTTACCGTACATACCGACATAACAATTTCAAATGAATATTAAGTAAACAATTTAAATAAGAACTATAAAAAAACATTATTTATTGACTATCATTGTAATAATAATGGATATTCGTTTTACAATTCATTTGTGTGGGAACAGTTCAGACAAAATTTCACGATTGTTTAAAAAGGTACTACTAAGATAAAAAATTCCCAGAAGTGTAAGCAGTGTACATTGATTGCAATTTTAAAATTTGTTTAAATGTTTCTGCACAGAATTCCACTTCAACAAGAAAAAATATGTACACAAGGTGATTTCTATTGATTTATTAAAAAAATATCATATCTGCTGGAACATAATTGAAATATTACAAAATTAAGGATAAATAACATAATTATCTGTTTTTATTCTAAATTTAAACAATAATGCGTATAAGAGAAGAAAAATACGGGACAGGGTATGCCCTAAATATGTTACATGATTTAAATTTACTATTGTTGCATTTAAAGAATTTGGTATTTTTTATGTTAAAATATAAAGAACCTAAATATGATTTCTAGTAAAATCTGGGAAGTTTTGTTGGGTGATAAATGAAATGATTTAGTTAAGCCTATCATTTAAACGGTGTCAGAGAACTTTTTGATTCTTTCAATTAAAATGTACATGGACATGTAAGAATAAAATATTTTCATTAAACTTTAGAAATGAAAAGGGGTTTTTCTTATTATTATTTCTTATTTTTATCAATATTTTAATAATGATATTGGCAACACAAAATACATCCATTTTATATGGCCCTTCAATATTTTTTGATATCTTATCTGTGTTTTTAAAATAAATAGGTTATGTTATTGTCAAACTAAGAAATAGATATTTTCATTTATACAGATATTTCTAAAACTTTATTGAATTCTTTAATTATTCAAGTTGGTATTTTTAGCTTGTTGGTGTGCTGTAGATATGCTATTTTAAAAACTACAGATTTTCAATGAAATGCTTATATAAATAATGTTGTTTCAGGATGGTTTTCTTAAACGTTGTAAATTTAGCGCGATCTCGTGGACCAGATGAATTCTGGAGGAAAAGAAGAATTTTCCGTTTAGCGGCACATTTCATTGGGAGACGTAGAAATTGCTATTCAGTCGCAGTCCGAAATGTACATCGGGCTTTGGCGTATGCGAGTAAAGCTCGTCAATTAAAGAAGGAAGATATGAAAGATTTATGGCGAACTCGTATCACTGCTGCTTGCGAACAGCATAATATATCGTCTTTCACGTTAAAGGAAGGATTAGAACGATCTAATATTATGTTGGATCATAAGTCATTAGCTGACCTCGCTGTGTGGGAACCGAAAACCTTTCAATGTTTGGCTGCGGTTGCTCAAGAAAAATTACGTCTCGATGGATTTATCGATTACCTTGATAAGAAACAACCTACAGGAGTTAATTTAAACCTTAAAGATGTTATGTTAGAAGCTTGGCTTAAAGAAAAGAAGTAGTAACTAAAACAAATGTTATTTTATTAATTTACTTATAATAAATAGTGTTACAGTAACAATTGATCTCATATTTTATGATTTTTCCAAATCCCTTTTAAGTTGTTTTGCAAATTCATTTTGCTTTTCTATTAAATACAGATTTTCAATTTTCCTTTTCTGCTGGCGTTCTACATCTTTTATAACACCTTCATGCATTTTGTCCCTGAAATATGAATAATGTTTAAAAATTTACATTAATTTTATCAAATAACATTATATTATTGATTAAATATCCGTAAAGGTTAGTCCAAACTAAATTTTTAGTTGTTATGCATAGCATATCAATAAAAGTTCAATACATAGACAGTTAATTGAAAGCAAACTAGGAACTGAAATTAATCGAATATCAAACAATGAGAGGAAAATGTACAATTCAAATCGTAGGTATTGAACGAAACTGCTATTAATTGTATTAAATAAATTCAAATCAACATTAAAAATTAATATTAATTCATACCTATCAACCTGTTGTTTTACATGTACATAGGTTACCGTGGCGGCTGTTAAAACACATGATAATCCTAGAACAATCTTTGATGTTATTGATGACATAATTATATTAACATTATGTTAGTTTCCTTCAAAATAGCAGACAATATTTTGAAATAGTTTTTCCGAGAATTTTTTTTATTTGACAGCTCACGTCAGTCTAGAAATGACAAGTCTTATAATTTGATGCCAGATTCTTTACGTTATCGCAGATTAAATAATAGTGTTTAATGGCCATTTTAGATTTATTTTAGGATTTTAGTGTCGTAAATAAAAAAATAAACTAAATGTATTTATTTTATAATATTGCAATATTAGTAGATTTTGAAGTCTGTTTAATAACTGAAGGTAATATTATAGGTTGTAATAATAGACATAATATGAGAAGAATTATTTATTTTAATAATAACTTCTAAAATGTAATAACTTTATTTTAATCGTATATTATACAAGTCAACATAATATAAAAAATATGTACAGAAGAAATTATTTACAGAATATAAATGTAGGTATGTTGTCATATAGGAGTATTTTATTAAATAAGTGTTACGTAATTTATAAAATGGAATTAACATTAAATAATAATTAATTAATGCTAAGAGCATTTACATTGCATTTATTTTTTTGTTTACTTAAATAAATAATTCGTTGGTCGAGAAAAATTTTCGTATAAATAATTATTAATTTGTTACATAATTTATAACATTATTTTGTTCGCTTATCTACGAAATGGAATTGCACTATAACTATACACACTGGAATTATTTAAATCAGAATGAAAAATGTCTTTCCTGTTGTAAAACACCAAGTACAACAAACCAAAGGCGAATCGCCTATTGTTCCAACAAAAAATCACAGGGTAACAACCATATATGGCACTATCTTCCACAGCTATCGTAGAAACTGGCTGATCCTCGGTTGGGTATTTCAGCAAATTCTCGCTTCGGTGTACATAATTTGCTGCTGAAGTCTACGTTTCTTTTTCTGTTCAAAACACAGTATAATATATGTAAATAAGTTCTAATATTAATTCATTCTTAGTACACACTTCGAAGGCAGACTTAGTGGGTTCTTTTCAAATATGGTTAGGTAAGGAGAGGAACTTGGACAGTGGAGGTGAGCGTTTAAGGCGTGTTTGATAGGGACCCCTTAAATCTACACCTGGGTCGCAAGTTGCAGGCACTGTAGAAGCTCCTCTGATTAATGATAAATTTTAGACCATTTTTATTACTTACCCTCTGCTTGGTAGCTCCATTTGGTCTACGAGAACAGACTTGACGTAGAGTCGATCGTTACACCATAAAATACAAAGAGATCGAGGTTCCAGTACATTCATATCGTACTCCCATGACAACTCTACCTGTGAATTAAAATACATTTAAAACCAGTTGTAATATAGAAATAATAAGAAATCATATATTTTTGTACATACTTTTCTCACTTTACCACCTAAATCCATAGGATTTGTAACAACAATTGTATAAGATGTGCCATGTTCTAACCTGAAATGTAGAAATTTAGTTAATCCCTTGAAATGGAAAAGAAATATTAAGAGACAATTTTTATTTTATGACATACTTTACGTAATTAGATGGAGTAAGATCCATTCCCCTAATAACTCCTTTGTCAGATTGTAGAGTAACTTTCAGGAAGCCCTGTTAATAAAGAGTGATTAAAAATTTATTTAAAAAGAGGGAAAACTTTTTTATGTATTATGTTTTTTACCTGCACCCACGATTCAGCTCCTTTAGGATTGGCCAAATGTATAACTATTTTGTAATGACGCTCTAAAAAAAGAAAATATTTAAATTAATACTCGCGAAAGACTTAGATCTCATTGAAGGAAATATTGGTATTTTTTATAGTGCAAATTATTTTTATAATATGGTAACATTCTACAAATGTACGAGTATATTATTGTAGTATAGCATTACAATTGTTTTATATGAATCTACTCACGACAGAAGGGTTGTTCTTTGCCAGTGCTCAGGAAGTATTTTGCACCGATTGTGTCTTGTTCTTCTGAAGGATATACCTCGTTTTCTGTCTGATTGTTTTTATTAGTTATCAAACCAGGAGAACTATCAGCGTGGAATCTATAAATAAATTGATATAATCGTTTATAAATTAATAAAGATATCGAAAATTCAAATTGTTTTTGAGTTTTGAAACACTAACCCCATGATAGCACAACCATGACCGCAGTGGAAACACTTCCCGCTAATAAAATGTTGATATGAAGGACATTGATGACCTGAAGAAAGATTACACAATATGTATTACAAGGCCAATCTTTAGGAGTCAAAAAAAAGTACTTCTATATTATACTGTTAAAATTTATACCTCAAACAAGAAAAATACTTCGGATTATCGTAAACAAAATACCAATTACGTTGGTTCATCAAATCTTATATATGAGACATTAAAATTTGGTTTGTAATGTGAAATCTTACCTATATAGGGACATTTGCTATTGATTGATTCTGTAAAGAGTTTAATAGCTCGCACATGATTGCACGCTACCAGTACTCTAGAAGCTTCCTCCAAGCCTTGCTTCACCAGTGTCAGTGGTATCAAAGGTCCCTCTGTCAAATCGCAACCGGGTTGTTCCTTCCCATTGTTCGGATAAAAGTCCAAATGACCAACCGGTTGAGACATTCCATATCCTGCCATAAATACAAAGTCTGTCGCACGCGTGGAATAAACACGTCTTTAAATTAGTTAATAGCGATATAATATATGATATATACGATGATACATGAACCAGCGGACAGGCGGGAATATTTACATATAATACACATATAGGAAAAAAATGTTATTATATTATTGACAGTTCAGCAATAAGCGTAATCATTTCGACGTTGTTAATGAAGTGAAAAAGATAATGAAGATTATTGTGAGTTTTAAAAAGCATAGAGTGAGAAATTCATATACGTGATCACATCCAAGGGTTTACCTAAAAGGAAAATGCTCTTTCCATCCGTATGTATGACATCGACTAGCTGAGCGTCGGTAGGATCAAGCCTTATATGTGTCGGCATTCCTTGGAAGTAAGGTTCTGCGGGATCTAAACCGGTTATTCTTCCCAAGTTCTAAAATTACAACGGCTAAATCAAAGACAATATGAAGACCGAGGATATCGTTGTTTATGAATATAAATAAGATAATAAGATTCAGTTATAATAATCCATACCTTAATTCTCTCTCCAGCGTAACCGGCCGTGTGAGCGCCTAGAGAGTGTCCTATTATGTGAACATCCAAAGGATTTAATCCATGATCTTTCTGTTGAATAACGTTAGATAAGTATTAATATATTGTTGAAGCACTGGGAATTGGCTTACGTTATTGTTACCGAACTCTTATTTTATAATCGGAAGAATAAATCCTTTATGTAATGCTATATTTTGATATTATTAAGTTACATCTAAAGCTTACTTGGAGTGTATTCACGAAATGGGCGACTTCGAGACCTACTAATCTAGTATTAGCGGTGGCTTGTGTATATAGCGGCAAACTTCCTCCGGCCCAGTCAACTACCACCACGTTGAAATCACCTGCTTTTACCAATTCATCTTTCATCTCACTAACCTAATAATAAGAATGACAAATAGACTTCATTAATATTCAAAACCCTGTCAAAATGATCATTTATCTAATGAATTAACTTCTCAAGCTAGTTATAATAACGGAGGCTTAAACAAAAGCTGCCTGACGTAATATCAAATTAGATATATTTGTATCTAATGTGGTTACAATACGTGAATTCAGTTTCGTGCAATCGACTGGAACAATTTTTTTTATTGCCGCTAACAAGCGACCGGTCAAAATTATGTAATACAATAATTTCATCGTGCAAGAGCAAATTATAGCATAATTTGAGATAACCTTTTAAGTTAGTTACTCTTTCGTCTGCAGTCGTGTTGATGTAACATAAAAACAAAACATAGCTATTATTTTAACGAACCCAGTTAGAGAGAGGCGTGTCTATGAATCCGTGAATGATCATTTTAGTTAGACGATTAGGATCGAAGTTTGATTTTGTTATTGTCTTATTTAGATTTACGTTCAACAGCTGTCCGTCTGTTGGATTTTTCTTTGTGTATAGGATGAATCTGAAATTGACCAAAATATATGTCATATTTATAATTGAAATTATAATTAAATATTTAAATAATTAATATATAAACAAATGATCTTGCCTGGTGTTAATAACTACTCTGGGAAGTGGGAACACGTTGAACGGTCTATGTATCAAGTGGTACCAGCTGCGAGTTATATTCAGACATCCTAATTCATCATAGCACCTCGTTTCATTTTCAACTAAAACAAAAGACGATCAAGACGATTCCAACACTGAAGCAATGTTATAAAACAATAAAAAACTTATAAAAATAGGAACTATTATTAAATAGGAACTATTGCTAAGATTGATTTTGCGTTGTGTTTTATTTTGAATCGATGACGAAATGAAAAGTTTTTTTACAAATTGAGGTATTTTTAGCTTCATTAACCCGATAGTAACAAATGTTCTGCATTTTGTTAATATAATGATAGACGACGTATACAATTAATATAACACAAGTAGTATCTTTGACAGTAATCTCTCCATGCTCCACTTATTTTTTCTGTGTTAAACTTTATGGTTTGTAAACATACATGGCAGCCACGGTATGTTGACCTCAATTCGGTCGGAGCGCGCCCAGTTGAAGGGGTCAAGGATACCAGCGAAAGCTGGTTGCAGTCCGAGCAGAATGCACCAAAACATTACACGAAGGTGCCTATCTGTCAAGTACAGCCTTCGCATAATACGTCCACGACACCTAAAAGAATATAAAACATTAAAATATGAGATCTACGTGAATGTTTTTCTTTTAAATTCAATATCAAGCTGTAGATTAGAATCGCAATTTTAATAATTCATTTTATTATCCAGATTTGTACAGTAAGAAACAAAATATCAAAAGAAGTATACAAATATACAAATTTAAAATGATTGAATAGTTTTTCGTGAATTGTAAGAAATGTTTTAAATTGTATACTATTGTAGATAAATAATTATGAAAATTAGTTTTTATTATGACAGATGTTGCTTTTTAAAATATTAATATTTCATAAATTATCTTATTTTTTTTAACAACTTAATTCGTTTTGTAAAACTTCCATATATTAATTATTTATTTTAGTATCTATTGGTTATCCAATTTAAAATATAACGGTATTATGAGTTGTTTAGTATATAAATTTAAATTTGAATACATAATTATAGAAATAAATCATTATTTATTATATATTTGCGTAAATAAAAAGAATTTTGTATACAAAGAACGTCGAATCAAATTTATAGCAGATAACGAACTTTCAATTTCACATATTATACTAATTTTATTATTATTATTAATTAATATACTTACGTGATTTGAATTTTCTTTCGTATTTTTAGTTCCACTTCTACGTGTGATATTTGATGTTAAAGAACTTCTCACTTTGATCTCGATAAATCTGATGATAAAAATTGAAAATCTAATGATTTAACAAGAAATAATATTTTAAACAGTAAAAATATTAGTTGAAAATTGTATTTAACATAATTTCTGCATACATTGGAAAACTATTCATATATTTGAATGTAATCATTCAGTATGAAAATAGCTACTTTCCTCGTTTTGTCATGCAAGACAAGCTAACAATGGTGTATGGACAAAAAACAGGTTTACAGATATTTTTTCTTTGGACGTATTTTCTAGGGTGTAGAGAATTCTCACGTTCAGGGTGTCGACATTTGTATGTCATTGTCGTAACTAAAATTATGTTTTAAACTTTCACTGTACAACAAAAGATCTTTGTCTGAAATAATTCAGCTTTTCAAATGTAAGAAAAAAAGGAGTCTTCTTGAAAGAAATTCCTCCGAGTTCACTTAAATATTACTTTTGTATAAAGTGCTAGGCTAATAACGACTATAATTACGATAATCTAAATTTAAAGTAATAAAAGTTTGTGCTTTCAGTACTTTAAATAATATAAGAGACAACTTCATAATCAATGGATGTTTTGTTTATTAAAATATAATTTTGTTAACTTTTAATCGATATTTTTAATTCAAGTCCAATCGATTTATCTATGGTTGCGTATCAATTATTGTATCAAGCGATGAGAGGACTCCAAATATTGTGTTAACTTTCACTTTTATTATCAAACTTGATCGTAAGACAGCCTAGGCGGTGATTGTAAAACATTATTCTTAACTGCAGGCCGAAAACCTTTTTTTCGTCACAACTCGGACAACAGAATCATTTCCTACATGATGCAACATTAAGCCTCTGATATAACTATTATAGTGCACCGATGGTAATGCAACTTAGATATACAATAGCTAATTTCTTTTTGCAAGCAATTAACACCGTATTCGACACATGACCGAAAACCACATGTTTATATTACGCACAGGCACTTCAAACTTGTAGTTACTTTAATTGAAGTATCTTGCAAGTAATTGTACGAACGGCCTTTACGTAACCAGTGGCTTAATATCATTCGATTCGTAAAGATGGCATAACCAGGACTAAAGTCGTGTTATTGCGAATTATGTTGTGTTTTGCAGTTGAGATAAGATAGATTTTATAATACATATGTTTCATCATAATATTAGATTCGAGTTGCGTTTCTTTCTCGATAAATATGATAGGTGTTCCTTTTGAATTACATAATAAACAGAAGCTTTATACTATTTTATAATATCGAACATATAGTTTCAATAGGGATTTCTATTCTTTGGAATATTGAGACTAAAATGAGAATTATTATCCCGGAGATATAGTGAGAAATATAATATTTTTAATAAAGTTTAATTGGTTCTTAACAGACACATTCATATTTTTTTGTATGATATTTCTATCGTTACATAACTTTAAACATTTCAATGTCGAATACACAATAAAGTAATTAAATGGAAATAAAAAGATTAAGATTTATTTCTTTTAATGTTTAAATTTCGGTGTACTTACACATTGTTTTAGACTTTTCATAAAAAGATAATAGTATGTGTAATTTTATTAAGAATCAAATGTCGAGAATGTTTCAAACATTTGTTCCAGTATGCGCGTGCGTCGAGTGCGGTGAGATTTTTTTTGCAGTTTGAATTGTTACAGTTATGTAGGGTAGTGTGTTAAATGGCGTGTACTGAGAACTTTACAGAGGAAGTGTTTTATAATTATAATTTAAGATTACATTTCCCAGACAGAAATTAAAGTAAGTAATCATAAAAACTTAAATTCTTACTTGTTGCTAAGTAAATATCTATTTATATTATAGTTATTCGGCTTTATTGTTACATAATTTTGTTTTTAATAAAAAATCTTCTCCTTGCAACGCGATGGACCCGGCACCCGTACGTCGAATCCTAAGAGGTTTCGTCTCTTCATTGTCTAATCACCTTAATAATACCACAATACGGATGTAATAATAGTTTTTATTTAACATGTAACATAAGATTATTGCTATAATACAAAAACATTAAAAATATAAGAGAATTATAGTTTTTTAACAACAAACATGTATAAAGTATATCGTCTGCCTTTCTCTTAATTCAGGGTTAGTCATTCAGATCTCAATAGCTTTTAGAGTAACGTAATATAAAGATATTAGATTTTTTGTTATGCTTTAAAAAAAAACAATTATTTTATTTTGTCGTTCTGACGTACAAAAATAAGATAATACGCAATTCTTACCAAAACATAAGATAAAAATAACAAACTAGAACTCCTTATACTTATAAGCTTATACATTAAATAAAAACAGTCGTCTTTTAAATATTTTGTTACTTTCAAATCCATATAGCATTTATTTTCACTATAACTACACTTCCTAGTGTAAAAATAATTACTAAATTAGTTGTGTACCTGAAAAACAAGAATAATAACAAGGAAATAACGTGGAGTAGATAGTGTCTAAGTATTTATTACGTTGTGTTGTAACTTTATGTCAGAATAATATGCATAAATGTAATTATTATTTTATTCTCTTTCTCTATATCCAATCATATAAGATACTATTGCCAATGATAGTTCTATATTGAGTGCAGGAATAGCAGAGGTAATTTGGTAATACAAATAGCATAGTTGAAGCAAGACAACATGTGCATTGAAAAAGAAGTATTTTTTACTTCTTAACTTAAATAGGCAAAGGTATTGATTATTCAGGTTGCCATATTCTGAAATCGAAATTGCTCAAATATAATGTAAAGTTAACTTGGAATATTTTATGAAATATTTTTAACATGTCTTGGTGAATTCTAAACAAAATTATATTTTACGCTTCCATAATAATTTTTAGAGTTTTGAATTTCTATCTGACAACGACTGCTGTTTAAAAAATTGGCACATGACTCTTATTTTAGCAACAGTTCTAAAGAAAAAAAAACTTAAGTTGAAAGTATGAAAGTAAAAGCTACATTTGCCGAGTACATTAAGTTGTGCCAATATAATTTCAAAAAGACCTTCGTATGCGTCTTTTATTATATATTTTAGTAAAATAATTCGTGTTACAAGAGTTAGATAATGCTTGAGTGATACGAACCTACTCTCTATCTAGATACTTAGGTATTTCTGTTATATAAGAGCACTTTTGTGATACTATCTACTTTATATTAAGAAACATATATACAAGAAGGACTGAATATATTTTTTATTTACTTTATATAGTCAAAGGTTTGATATTTATTTTTTATTTTTGTGAAATGGCGATGCCGTTGCTAGAGTAATATTTAGGAGCTCTGTTGTTTTAAATGAGTAATGATCTTTTAATTGTATTGAAATAGATGCTGACTAAGCATCTGATGTATCTCTCGTTTTGTTACAATAATTACTTGGAGATTCAAAAGTATTATTAGTAGCAAAATATAAAAAAAGTAAAATGCTTCTAAGGTTCTGTTTATTATAAACGAACAGCCTAAAATAACAAGGGTTATGAATGAATCAATGAATTACAGAGCACAACTTTTCAAAGTCCTATAAAAAAATAATTACAAATGTTATTTATTATATAAAAAATATATATTTATTATATAAAAAAAAAATTGTATATAATACTTTAGTTCCTCTTCTAGAACCTAGTTTATTACTAATAAAATGTTCAAATCTTTGACATTTGAGATATTAAATTTTTTTATGTATTTTTTTTGTAAATGAATTGTCAGGTCTAATTTTTCTTTCATCATTATAATAACATATTAAACTGAATGATAGAACATATTTTTTAACCTTGACAATTATCTTTTGTTATCATTTTCTAAGCTGCAACTCTCAAAAAAACAAACTCGATTACCGGCGAAAGTGGCAAAACGAGTCTGAGAAAGGAGCTTGACACTGACTAGTCGATTTAATATACTTGATGTTTTGTTAATTTTGTTTCACATGAAAAATCAAATAATATACGAATTTACGTTAAATTTTGTGACTTATAATTAAAAAAACAATTATTTCCCTATTATATGCTCTGTAGATTTTTAATTTTTTATTTGTCTAAAAATAAAAATGTCACAAACTGAACGCATTCATACCATATTTTTTATTAAAACTTCTTTCTAATTTAAACAAAGAAATCTATCTCGTGCATACATACAAAAAAAATTACCAGATTTTATTGTCTATAGATGGACTAATATACAAAGATCAATATTTGTGACTTATAATTTGAAAAAAACAAAAACAAAACTTTTTAATTCCTGAATTATTTTTAATTGGCTGATTATTATGTCTAAGAAATTGATTTTTTTAATAACCTGTTTCGAATTTATGTGTTTCGTGAGTG